TGTCGGGCTATTGCATTTCGCACATGAATCTTATACTCACTATGATCATAGGGAAGAGAGTCGGTAAAAACATCGTCGCGGAAACGGATGACATCATCAAACGGTACAACGACGCCTTGGATGCCCTCATGCAACAATTCCGGGACCAGGTTGATCGGAACGTAGCTATCTTTGTCCACTCTGCGGGTAAGGATTCATACGTGCCTCTGATTTTAGATGTACTCATATCCTTCAAGGTGAAACACTCGATCTCAGTGGCATGACTTATGCAGCGGGCGCGGGACTAGATACTGCGAAGCAATGTCTGTCAGGCACTCGCACGGGCATTCTGTCTGAAATCACCGAGTGGATCAACAGCAGTGGAGATTCCGTTCCGCGTGTAATGTGGCTATCCGGCCCTGCAGGCAAGGGCAAATCAGCCATCGCCCACACGATTGCCAACTGGTTCAATGAAACAGGAGGCCTTGGTTCATGTTTTTGTTTCGATCGGCAGAGAGAAGCAGACCATCGCCATGAAAAGATTTTCTCCACCATCGCGCGCGACCTTGCTGATCGTGATCCGGGGATGAAACGAGCGTTAGCGGATGCAGTCAAGGATGCAACCTCACTGAAGAACACGACGGACATTATCCAGCAGTGGCGCAAGCTTCTCATGGAACCGCTAAAGAAGTTCTCTGCGTCGAGTGTGGGGCCTGTCTTGATCGTCATTGAAGCACTGGATGAGAGTGGCGGAGTGGAGACGCGGCGTAACCTCCTCCGCATACTTGCCGGTAGACTTCAGGACAACAAAATTCCACAAATCACGGAACTCCCTTCCAACTTTCGGATTCTTGTCACCTCTCGCCCGCTTGCCGATATCGAAAAGGAGTTTGAAGGTGCTGATCATATTCTACGGTTGTCCATGGACGCTATCCCACCAGAAGTCGTGAAGCGCGACATTCACGCTTTCGTATCTGAGGAGCTGAAAGAGCTCTCAGAATTTCGGGATACACATCTTGCAGACCTCGCTGTGAAAGCCGACGGACTCTTCGAGTGGGCACGTCTTGCGTGCGAATACATCAAGGAACCATATTCTGGCTTATCCACAATGGACTGCTTCAATGCTGTCGTGGACCACAATCCTGGGGAGCGGAAAAACTTGTTGTATGATATGTATCGGCTCATTTTAGGAGAAATTACGCCAAGGGATAAGTATACAAAAGCCCAATACCAGCAAGCGATAGCGAGATTTCGTTCCGTGATGGGACAAATACTTGCCACAGCCGTACCCCTTCCTTTAGTTTCACTTCAAGCGATGCGGGACCATTTCCCGGAGAAGCACGACCATTACAACATAGACGTAGTGATAAAACGCATGGGTGCCCTCCTCAGTGGCACCACCGACTCACATACCCCCATCCAACCCCTTCATGCGACCTTTCAAGAATTCCTGACGGACGAATCGTCCAGTGGAGACTTCTTCGTCGAGAAAACGAAGGCGCAACAACGCGACCTTGCATTCGCGTCACTACGGGTGATGGAACATGACCTTCGCTTCAATATTTGTGATTTGAAGTCGTCATACCTCCTTAATGTCGAAGACACGGAGCTGCCTCAACGAGCGAAAACATCCATTCCCCCACATCTGTTCTATTCCTGTCTACTTTGGGCTACGCACGTATCAGCATCGAACTTCGACTCAGAACTCGCTAACGCAGTAAAATCATTCTTCGACAACGAGCGACTACTCTTCTGGGTTGAGATGCTCGGCCTTTGCAATGCAACCAGGGGTGCAATAATCAATCTTCCACTTATTACTCAGTGGCTGCAGGTGAGCACCTGCCTACCAGGCAGCGTCGAATGAACATCTTACAATCAACCACAGGGCCATTCTGGATATGAAGATGTGCGGTCCACCACAATGGATGTGCAAAGATTCTTACAAGTGTTTGGCATCATGATTCGGCAGAGCACGCCGCATCTGTATTTATCAGCGCTACCATTCTCACCCATCAACTCTACCATGGCTACCAAATTTACCGCAAGGTTTCCGAACAACCTTCGTCTGGCATCCGGACGTCATTTGAACTGGACCGCTGACCAGATCGTGATCAACGGGTATGCTGCGGTCAAGTCAGTCGTGTTCTCACCGGATGGTACTCGCATCGCGTTTGGTTCTTTCAATAACACCGTGCGATTGTGGGATGCGGCGACGGGACAGCCATTGGGTAAGCCCTTGCAGGGGCACACCGGACCGGTTTCATCAGTCTCATTCTCACCAGATGGTACTCGCATTGCATCTGGTTCGTGGGATAAGACTGTGCGGCTATGGGACGCAGCAACGGGTCAGCCATTGGGTGAGCCCTTGCAGGGGCACACTCTAGCGGTCAATTCAATTTCATTCTCACCGGATGGTACTCGAATCGCGTCAGGTTCGGTAGATAAGACTGTGCGATTGTGGGATACAGTGACGGGACAGTCATTGGGTGAGCCCTTGCAGGGGCACACTGAACCAGTTTGGTCAGTCTCGTTCTCACCAGATGGTACTCTCATCGCGTCTGGTTCTTCTGATAAGACGGTGCGACTGTGGGATGCATCGACGAGACAGCCATTAGGTGAGCCCTTGCAGGGGCACACTGAACCGGTTTGGTCAGTCTTGTTCTCACCGGACGGTACTCGCATCGCATCTGGCTCGGAGGATAAGAGTATGCGGTTATGGGATGCAGCAACCGGACAGCCATTGGGTGAGCCCTTGAAGGGGCACACTGGATATGTTCTGTCAGTCTCTTTCTCACCGGATGGTACTCGCCTCGCATCTGGTTCGGCGGATAACACTGTGCGGCTGTGGGATGCAGCGACGGGTCAGCCACTGGGTGAGCCTTTGCAGGGGCACGCTCTAGGGATTTGGTCAGTCTCATTCTCACCGGATGGTACTCGGATCGCATCTGGTTCAAATGATACGACCGTGCGGCTGTGGGATGCAGTGATGGGTCGGCCATTGGGTCAGCCCTTGCAGGAGCACACGGTAGCGGTCAATTCAATCTCGTTCTCACCAGATGGTACTCGAATCGCGTCTGGTTCAGGAGATAAGACTGTGCGTCTGTGGGACGCAGTGACCGGACAGCCATTGGGTGAGCCCTTGCAGGGGCACACTGATATAGTTTCGTCAGTCTCATTCTCACCGGATGGTACTCGCATCGCGTCTGGTTCGAAGGATAACACTGTGCGGCTGTGGGATGTAGCGACGGGACAGCCATTAGGTGAGCCTCTGCAGGGGCACACTGAACCGGTTTGGTCAGTCTCGTTTTCACCGGACGGTACTCGCATCGTTTCTGGTTCGCAAGATAAGACTGTGCGTCTTTGGGACGCAGCGACAGGACGGCCATTAGGTGAGCCCCTGCAGGGGCACACTGAACCAGTTTCGTCAGTCTCTTTCTCACCAGATGGTACTCGAATCGCGTCTGGTTCGGGAGATAAAACTGTGCGTCTGTGGGATGCAGCGACCGGACAGCCATCGGGCGAACCCTGTCAGGGGCACACTGCAGATGTTATGTCAGTCTCTTTCTCACCGGATGGTACTCTCATCGCGTCTGGTTCTTTTGATAAGACGGTGCGACTGTGGGATGCATCGACGAGACAGCCATTAGGTGAGCCCTTGCAGGGGCACACTGAACCGGTTTGGTCAGTCTCGTTCTCACCGGATAGTACTCGGATCGCGTCTGGTTCGGCGGATAACACTGTGCGACTGTGGGATGCAGCTACCAGACAGCCATTGGGTGAGCCCTTGCAGGGGCACACTCTAGTAGTCACTTCAGTTCCGTTCTCGCCAGATGGTACTCGCATTGCGTCTGGTTCGGGGGATAAGACTGTGCGGCTGTGGGATGTAGCATCTGGACAGGCACGTCAGGAGTACACTGAGGTAAATTCATCCGCATTCTCTCCGGATAGAAGTTGCACTACCCCTCACACACAGGAGCATCCCATCGTGTCGCCCATTACTTGGAACCATCACTTCATTTCCTTCTCATCTAACTCCAAGTTGGAACACGCGCTGTGCAACCCCGCTGACCTCCTTGAGGATATCTCCAATCATGATTCCAATTTGCCCCCTTTCTTGCTGCTCGATGATGGATGGGTGGTAGGACCCAATCATCGCCTCCTTTTCTGGGTACCTCCCGCTTCCCGACATGCATTTTATAATCCTTGGACTTCACTCGTGATTCCAAGAGGAGGCGCTGAGCTTGATTTGAGCCGCATGGCACATGGGACGCACTGGTCGAGTTGCCGAGATGCGTAAGTTCTAATCCTTACTATCCGTCCCTCGCATTTGCTAAATTCAATACATTTAGCCCTACTTGATGATGATGTTATTGCGATAGTTGACTCATGGAGATGTTAGATAGATAGGAATCAAGTGTCGAATTTTACTCCCTGTTGATCTTTATTGCCGCTTAAAGTTATCATTGTCTTAGACACGGGCAGACTAGATTACGCTTTGTTCCAGCGCTTGGTTGTCGTTATGTTCCCATGTAATATAATTGAGTTTATCAGCATCGAGCATCTTACAGCCCTCGTCTTGATGTGATGCATCACCAACATGATCCAATGCGCAAGCATGTATGCAGGAGTGATCGACTCATCATCACTTCTGAACGTTAACTCTGGAATAGTCAGCGCCCGGGGACAACAGTTGCCTGCGATCACTATTCCTGAGGAGAAGGAACACAAAATCACAAAGGTTTCTTCAACCAATCGGTCTTCGGGAGGGAAGAGTACCATTGATTGCATTGCTGAGGTACTTTGAGCGCACTGATGGTGGTATTGTCTACGGTCTACAACTGGTGCTTCAGGCATGGTTCCATAGACATCGGAAAGTTAGTCCCAACAAATCAAGTAATCACTCGCTCAAATATTCTATTGGAATGTGCACAGATATTTCATCGTTAACCTGGTCATTGACGTTTTGCAAAACGCGTAAAATGGAGGCCTATCATAGTGAGCAATACCCATCTCCACACATCTCATTCTTGGCTTGAGAGACGTTTGAAAAATTCTGCCAATGCACTGAACGATGATATCAGAATAATATTGTTTGAAATGACTTACTGAACACGACGCCCAGTCATTCCTTTCTCTTGGTATGGTGTTGAGCGCGTGAACTACAGTGAAATTATCAGAGATCGGAAATAATAATGGAAGGCAGTCGCGATAAAAGGTGCATTGCGAACAATGCTATTGTTTAGATAATACTTGTGCTCATGACATACGTTCTGCATTTGATTTCACAAGTGACATGTTCTTACCTCCATAGTCGCAGCAATATCAAGGTGAGCCCGTCGGACAGAGGGTTCCTGTTCATCCTTGTCCTCGATGCTATCTACGAACACATTAAGGAATAGTGCAGTGGTGCATGAACCTGTTGGTTTCCCGCTAGTCTAGAAAACAAAAGACAATGTAATTTCAAGCAAGACTAATGTGAAGACAGATGACCGACGTTGCACAAGTCAGCATTAGACAAGTAGATCTGTGTGCTGTAATCCTCGTCGATGGGCATGCGCCAGAAGTGATCGTACTCACTCGTCTCCGGCAACACTCAGTCGGTCCCAAAGGGCATGGGCATTGGAGGTCTAATATGAGGGTTTAGTCATCAGCATGTTGGCAGGTAGTGATGAAATGACGAACCGTGAAAACACCAGTGTAGATATCACCCAGTGCGACTTCCATAGCCCTTATCAATAATAAATTTAGGCTGAGAAGTGTGAATAATCAATACATACCCAGTGAGAGTAGCAACGTCGATGACCGTGTGCATCTTGAACTCGGTTGATGCGTAGTACAACGCATCTTTGAGAATGTTAGAATTTATCATGACATCAGTAGATAGCAAGGCACGCACCAGCTAGAACAAGACGTCCTTCAGCATCCATGTTGTCGAACTCGATAGATTTGCCAGTCATAGTGTAGATTCTAGCAAATGGTCAGTCCAATACATGACGAATATTTCGTTCCAAAACTTACACATCACCTGGCTTGGTGCGACAATATTGATTCTGCAAACAAGATAAATAAGGACGTACATAGATCGAAGTGGACACAACGTACGGAAGTTTTTGGAGTGAAACATCTCACCAAGTGACACAAGTGCAGTTATGTCAGACGTGGGAGTCCCATACTAGAATTCGAAGAGGTGGGACGTGCTAACTTTGATAAGTTTCTGCACCTGAGGATGAAGACTGTCGTACTGAGGTGACTGGGTTGACGTCCAGAGCAGCATTTCCTGCAGGATTATTGAGGTCAACACTGAACAGGCACGATATATTGTTCGCTGTAGGACTGATGATCGATCAACGTTTGACTGCTCTTCTGGTGAGTATGTACATCTAAACTCTCAAATCTGCTGACACATGGTTGAAGTTTTGAACGTCCAAGTCGATGTGCTCTAAAATTAGCTTCCAGTATTCGGGTTTACGTTTATCACCGATAACACCGTGATCACCGAAGCACGGAATGAGAGTGGCTCTAGTCCGCGTAAGCCCTCGCAAGTCCAGTATGGTTTCAAGTTGGATGCGTTTTTGCATGATCGAGTGGAAGGTCCTTACTAGTGTGAGTGCCATCTTTTTTGTTGTGACGTCGAGTCTCATATGGGTCTCCAGGTTACTGCTCCTGCCCTATCTGAATCTATCTCCACCTGCTCCAATCGTGAGGGCAGCATCGACTCACAAGTGAACCTTCAAGCAATTCAAAATCTTAGGATCGCGTTGTAAGTCTCCTTCATTCAACCCTTCCTTAGTCTATTCACATTTGTGTAACTCTGACACTTCTCGTCCCTCACTAGTACTCCCCACCTCATCCAACGGTCAACCCATACCTTGCTCATGCTAACACTCACCTCCTCTTCCTTCATTCACTGCCAGTCCTCTAATCCCACACTGCCTGCTCCCCTTTATCGGGGCAATTTCCATTTATATGGACGCGTATACTTCATGCGGTCGCAAATACTCCAAGCTGCCATGAACGGAGGTATCGTAAAAAGGAGTATGCGTGCCAAACGAGGAGGATGAAGATGGTCCGGGAGCCTATTTATTGTCTCCACTTCCTGGATCTTAGCGCCCCGATGTCTATCATCATCCACCCAGCGATGGATCTTCATTTTCAAGGAGGCATTTTGAAACTTGTTGCGGTTCATGGTTTGATGTTGGGGATGGGTCCTGAAGTACGTTGCTTGGTTCGAGGACTGGAATTAGGAGTAAAACGCACCTGAGCCGATCGCACGTCATGTATCTGACTGCATTGTCGCGGTGAAGGTCAGTTTAAGCAATGTAGCCTTAGACAATTATGTGCTGAAGTCGATCGTCAGGACGGACTACTTGATGCAACGTGATGAAAAAATAATCATGCGGATGCCGCCAGTAGTATTGCAGGCATCGGTTTGGTTCTGACAGCGTTGTTTCAAGAATCGGCAGCTTAGACTTTGTTCTCGATGCGATCGACACGCAGCCCAGTCTGTACATGCATTTATTTCTGTTTGTATGCGACTGACCTTCGTGCGTAGCTCTATCCCTATGATAATAGCACGCACATTGAGCTTTTCAAGTTCTGCATACAAGGTGCGTCTAACTTCCATGTTTCAGTTAATGATTATCCACCTCCAACAACTACTACTGCTAGATTAACAAAGTCTCTCTCCGCCCTGCTCCTTAGCACCTCTCTCCTCGCCTCTTCCGCCAGCTATCGAAAGTCCAGCACGGCCCTGCTCAGTGTTTCCATTGTGTCCATCAAATTTACGAGGCTGTGGTTTGGTCGCAGAATCGAGTGGAATGAGGTGCTTATGTGAAGAGCAGGTGGTATACAGGCGTTTGGATTGCTGCCTACGCGTTTCCATGTGTCATCCTTCTTCAACCATGATATAAAGCTAATTTTGCAGTACTCCTTTTACCACACGCATTGCTCTCAACGTATCCGACCCATTCACCATCCCAATCACAATGAAGACCTTACTGGATGCGATCACGCCACCTCCCTTGGAGGGCAGGCCTCAGGGTCAACTTGCAAGCGAACCTTTGAGTCATTCAAAATCTCGTGGTCTCATCATTTCATTTGCTCTTTGGTATTTCGTCTATCTCTCATTACCCAGCTCTGGCGCTTACGACCTACCCTCGCCATATCCACTAATCAACCCATACCTCGCTCGTGCTAACGCTTACCGTCTTCCCTGTTTTACTGCGGGTCCTGCCCATAACGTTTTCTCCGCCCACCATTATTTGCTTTGGGCATCGGTTCCACAATGGGATAACCCTTGTCTGAAAAGGTGATGGCAGAGAAGTGGAGTTGACACGAAGTAGGACAAGATGTATGTTCTTACGCAGTGACAGAATTGCATTAGGCGGACCGAACTGTGTGATCTACATGTAGAATACCATGACCGGCAAGCTCAGCCCTATCCGTGTGAAAGACAGGTCCCTTGTGATGTCGTTGGTGTGGTTGCTGGACCCGGTGTTGTGCAGGGACACGAATGATGGGCCAGGACGAGCACGAGGCTGTGGGACAATACATGCAGGTAATAAGGGAAGTGTCGTCTTTTCTGGTGAGCACTGATTCAAGGCGAAGACACAAGATGAATATAGGTCCCAAATACCAGACGCACAATGTACTCACCTGGCGTCCGTTGTGCACCTCTATGCCTTATACCCGTGCCAACGTCGTCTCCCGTACACTCATCCAGATATCAACGAATACTGAGAGGTGTTGTGTCGTGTGTTGGGAGAGAGTAGAGCTTTAAAGTAGCAAGAGATGGTTAGAGTGTAGGGTACAACGAACAACATGAACTCGGAAGCAAATCATAGATAGACGGGAGAGCCGTGGCCGCCACGATGGGAAAAAGCAATTCTGAAGCATGAATTTGAAGGACACAAGGGGGCGATTAGGGATTTTGTTTTCTTGCACGATGACGTCCACATTGTGAGTAGTTCACATAACAACACTATGCGCAAGTGGAACTGCGACACAAGAGTTGTTGGTGAGGGGGGATGGATCTATGGACTAGTATTGGCACTTCCACCGGATGGGAAGATGATTGGGAGGGAGGATGGAAGCTTTGAGCGGTGGAATACCAACGGGGAGATGTTTGAACGTCCATGGCCTTCACAATCGGAACTTTGACTAGAAGAGGTATAGCGGCGAAGTTCATATTCGAAGGACTTCCAGGCACATGAATGTCGACACGGAGCAGGACAACGCTTGTCCATCAAGCTCAAGTCCGAGTCTATGTTGAACCCAATGAAAGCGCTGGTTTCTTGATCGTGCCCTATGATTGTTCCATGCTCTGTTATCCAGTGCAGAGGAGTTTTGCGATATGAAGCCTTTGTCATCACGTAATAGGCACCTTGGTTGCTATTTTACCACTTGCAGCAAAACAATCCTTTTGTCACTTCCGTATCTTCTCGCACAACATATTGTTTGACAACAGTAGGATAATAACCTATCTATATCAAGGGCTGTGACGTTCAGACAGTGCTTCGCAATATGCGAAATCTTGCAAAGTGTGGAATGGTCTGCTTTTCTTGAGCGCTCTTCATTTCCTCTGCTTTAATCAATATCGTACCCTACAACATGCCCTTGCTGTACAAATCTGATGCCCATTGTAAATGAGGCTGTGGATGTCCTGTGAGTCGCTTCTGTCCTCAGTGCTCCATGATGTGGTTGCCACATGCATGCCGTGGTTCCCTCACTTATGATACATCAGGACTGTACAAGTACATCAGCGGGTTTAATTGTGCTACAGAGCGCTACAGAGCGCTCTGTAGCACTCTGTAACGAATCACGTTTTCCTGATCTGAGTCACTGCAGTGTTCCACGTGGCCTCCGGCACACATCTTACTACCAAGTGTTAATTTTGATCCATCTCTTAGACACCGCCTCGATGTGTCACCTTCGAGTCTCTGAGCTCATCGAAATCAGACTCCGATTCAAACTTTCTTCAGCGTCATCCCATAAAACTTCTCCAGTAGAGAAATCTACTTCCAGTACCGAGCCCTTGATCATGACAGGCAACGATACTGACAAGACAAAGAGTTCAAAACGTCCACGATCGTAAGTAATTGTGTTGTATAGCACATGTAGGAACTTAATATTGCATTTTCAGGCAAAAAAAGGACAAGTAAGTACATGAAGCACTAGTCATCCACATACCTGACAATGTACGTATTGTTTAGTAAGGAGCCAAGCTACCCAGAACATACCCAGGAACAGGAAGAGGTACACCTCAGTGGACTCCAACAAGTTGTCATTACTAGTATGTGATATCTACCTCCGCTCAGCTCATATTAACGATTTCCCTCGAGCCATTCACGCAACTGGTCTCACTCTTGGTCTCCGACGTATCCCCGCTGGCTTCCATGTGGTGATAAAGACCGACGGTGCTGAATGCCAGACGAGCAACAAACCTGTACACGTGGATCAGACTGTCGTCGAATGGACCGAGCCCATACTTCTGTATGTTGTCCTTGATCTCATTTTTCCTGCACGTATTGAGAAGGACTCTAGGCCATGCGAGCCATCTTCTAAAGTTTGGATCAGCGTGTGTGCCTCATTTGAATTGGGTCCCATGCTCGGTCACGGAGAAGTTCTCCACACATTCGAGACCTCCGTCTGAGAATTACTCAACCCCAGCGACAATTCACATGGTCAGTAACGTCTCTTGCAAATAACATCTGACAGATGTTAACGAGTATCACAGCCATAATTTTTCAGCCCAAGCAAGAGGAGGTCGTATCCCCATGTACCTCACTGTTCATGACACTGGAGCAGCAACTTTATGATGAAAATGACGCTGCATTTCTTTGTCCCTTCAGTACCGTGAGTGATCAATGTAGTCTGATATTCTGATGCTGAGGCTTGTAATGCGTAGCCTACATCCAGCGATGTGGATGCACTAGTATTAGAGACAGATGGTGGACATCGTCTTCACGCACAATACTGCAGGACGCAGACAAGTGGGGATCTCGACCAATCTATAAAGCACTTTGAACAGGCCTTGGATATCTGTCCCATGGGTCATCCATGCCGTCCTGCAGCACTGTTCAATCTCGCCACTGCGAAGTTTGTCAATTGCAAAGCTAATGGAACACGTCCCGGCCTCGGCGTTTCTATCACTCTTTTTCAAGGCACCCTTGAATTGCGTCCTGCAGATCATCCGGACCGAACCATCACCCAGCTCCATCTTGCCATCGCTCTGCTTTCTCATTTCGCGAAAATGGGATTTCAGACGGATGCTGATGCGGCTGAAGAGTTACTGAGCGAAGTCCTCGATGTCTGCCATGCCAGCAGTCACATTTACAGAGCAGCTTTGATTGAAATCGAAACATCCGCTCTGCATTCTGCTGGAAGCATTCATGCAAATGATCTTGGGGAGGAGCGGCCCGCCACATCCATGCCTCCATTATCATCGAATCAACTTGCTCATTGAGCAGAGTGGTGTTCGCAGAGAGATGATCCCCGTGCCTTAGATGAAGTGATATCCCTTCATTATGATGCACTGGGATACTACAACACTGGGCATGATGACCAAGAGCAATTGCTGGGTAATCTTCGTATATTGCTGCAAACCCACTTCAGACGTCGAGGCAATGTCGAAGACGTAGATAAGGCTATTGCATTTCAGAGGGAATTGTTGGCTTTAGTCCCGGTCGGTGACACAGATCGGTGCATTACATTACATAACCTTGCGGTTCAACTCGCCTCCCGCTTTTTGCACTGAGGCAACGACGAAGACTTGGATGAGGCCATCGCACTTCAGACGGAAGCGCTGGCTTTGTGCCCAGTTGGTCATACAGATCGGTCCATGACATTGTATAGCCTTGTGTATCAACTCTCCATCCGCTTTGAACACCGAGGTAATGACGAAGACTTGGATCAGGCTATCGCATGTTACAGGGAAGTGCTGGCTTTGTGCCTGGTCGGTCACACAGACTGGCCCATGTCATTAGGAAACCTTGCGAATCGACTTTTCATCCGCTTTAGGCACCGAGGTAACAACGAAGACTTGTATCAGGCTATCACGCTTCACAGGGAAGCGCTGGCTTTGCGCCCGGTCGGTCACGCAGATCGGTTTTTGACATTGAATAACCTTGCGACTAAACTCGCCTCCCACTTTGAGCACCAAGGCAACGACGAAGACTTGGATCAGGCTATCGCACTTCACAGGGAAGTGCTGGCTTTGCACCCGGTCGGTCACACAGATTGGTCCATGTCATTACATAACCTTGCGAATCAACTCTCCTCCCACTTTGAACACCGAGGCAATGACGAAGACTTGGATCAGGCTATCGCACTTCAGACAGAAGCACTGGCTTTGCGCCCAGTCGGTCACGCAGATCAGTTCATGCCATTAAATAACCTTGCAAATTCACTCTCCATCCGCTTTGAGCACCGAGGCAACGATGAAGACTTGGATCAGGCCATCGCACTTCAGAGGGAAGTGCTGGCTTTGCGCCCAGTCGGTCATGCAGATCGGTCTTCGTCATTGAATGACCTTGCGAATCAACTCTCCTCCCGCTTTTACCACCGAGGCAACGATGAAGACTTGAATCAGGCTATTGCACTTCACATGGAAGCGCTGGCTTTGCACCCGATCGGTCATGCAGATCGGTCTATATCATTACACAACCTTGCAAATCAACTCTCCTCCCGCTTTGAGCGCCGAGGCAATGACGAAGACTTGGACCAGGCTATCGCACTTCAGACAGAAGCGCTGGCTTTGTGCCCGGTCGGTCACAGACATCGGTCCATGTTATTAGCAAACCTCGCGACTCAACTCTCCGACCGCTTTCACCACCGAGGCAATGACGAAGACTTGGATCAAGCTATCGCACTTCAGACAGAAGTGCTGGCTTTGTTTCCAGTCGGTCACACAGGTTGGCCACAGTCATTGTGTAACCTTGCGAATAGACTCTCCACCCACTTTGAGCACCGAGGCAATGATGAAGACTTGGATCAGGCTATCACATTTCACAGGGAGGCGCTGGCTTTGCGCCCGGTTGGTCACACAGATCGGTCCTTGTCATTAAATAACCTTGCGAATCAACTCTCCTCCCGCTTTGACCACCGAGGCAACGACGAAGACTTGGATCAGGCTATTGCACTTCAGACGGAAACGCTGGCTTTGCGCCCGGTCGGTCACCCACATCGATCATCGTCATTAAATAACCTTGTGAATCAACTCTCCTCCCACTTTGACCACCGAGGCAATGACGAAGACTTGGATCAGGCTATCGCACTTCACATGGAAGTGCTAGCTTTGCATCCAATCGGTCACGCAGACCGGTCTATGTCATTACACAACCTCACGAATGAATTCTCCAACCGCTTTGACCACCGAGGCAATGACGAAGACTTGGACCAGGCTATTGCACTTCAGACGGAAGCGCTGGCTTTGTACCCGGTCGGTCACCAAGATCGATTCAAGTCGTTAAATAACCTTGCGAATCAACTCTCCTCCCGCTTTGAGCACCGAGGCAATAGAGAAGACCTCGACAAATCACGAGAGAACCTACACTGTGCATTGGCTCTGTTGACGAAACATGATCCTCGTCAACTAGTAGTCCATAACTCTCTAGCTAAGGTCTATCTATCATTCCACAATTCGGGGCTTGATGGCACAGGCGCGGGCGAAGATAATGACAGTCTGAATGCTGCCATGCATTATCTCAAAGCAGGAGCAAATGTTCTCTCTGCAGGTTTGCTGCCCCGCCTGCGAGCAAGCCTGAGCTGGGTTCGCCAAGCTCGTCAACATTCGCATGGTACTGAACTGGAGGCTTGTACGACTTCCATGCAACTTCTGGACACTTACATGTCCACGACAGCTTCAGTTTCGTCCCGTCACAATGTCATGAAGGACTTCCCAAGTACGCTTGCTGTGGATGCTGCATCATGTGCTCTTCGTAGTGGTGACGTGTGTCGCGCTGTTGAGTTGTTGGAACAAGGCAGGACTATCATCTGGACCCAGATGACACAACTCCGCACGCCTCTTGACACCCTCAAGACACGCAGTGATCACGCAGCGGCCCTGGTAAAGAAATTCAGAGACCTAAGCTCCCTCCTCGATAAACCTCCTGCGAACTATCCAGAAGCAACCTCAAGAGTTGATGTAGAAGCAGAAGCAGAAGCAGAAGCAGAAGCAGAAGACACCCGGTACCGACGTTTAGTGAAGGACTGGAATAGAGCTGTCGAAGAGATCCGGAAAATCGAGGGCTTCTCTAGCTTCCTCCTTCCCCCCTTATTTTCCAATCTTCAAGATGCAGCTCGTGATGGGCCTATCATCGTGCTCATCGCAAGCCAGTCGTCTTGCGATGCCATTATTATCCCGCACAAGCAACCTCCTACTAGCATTCAACTCCCTATCAGTTTGTTGAAACTCGCCAGATTGGTGGTCGCACTCCGGGAGGCAATTAATAAGGAGGCCGGTCCTAAAGGGAACCAACCAGCGCTGACAAAAGCTTTGAGGGAGTTGTGGGGCAATGTCGTCCGCCCAGTGTCACGAGTTCCAAATACAAATCATTATTCTTTCTTGAACACTCGTAAAACACCCATTAAGCGCCCGTTACAAGCGCCTGTCGTTAGCGCTCAGTCAGCGTCTGTACCTATGACCTTCACAAACCCTAACCCGAACCCATCCTTTGAATACCCGAACTTCTCTATTCCGTTAGCGCCTACTACCTTTATTTCCGACATTCCTGATTTTGATTTCCTTTCACAAGCGATTAAGTCACGTGACTCTAGAACCTTCGAGAACCCTTGCACAGCTATCACACGTTCCATGACATCATAGGTATAGTTATATTTAGATCATCGTACGATTCCCTTTTCTATTTAATGATTGGCTAGTTAGTTCAGATTCAGATTCAGTCTCCGCTTCAATATATGTATATAGGTAGCTCATTGTAGTCAGTAGTTCTTCAGTTCAAACCTCTTTTGTATTAGCTTATTGCTAGCAATCCTAAGACGTACCTGCTATCCTCTATCTTCTTGTCGTGATACCTTTGTTTGAGTCCTAGTCTCTGCCCCTGCGTTAATTCGTTATAAGGGTTGTGACACCCAGTGGCCGAGAATCTGGCCGAATTTGCACCACGAGGTTCCCGAATATGGTGGTGCCCGACGTCTTTCTTCAATTTCTTGCCGTTGCACGCTGCTGGCAAATACAGGGCAAATGGAGAGTCCCTTTCGCAGCAATATGTCTCTTCATACACTCCATCGCTTACCGCGTTGATGAGAGCTCACAGAAGTCATGATAGGTCACCGTCAGTGTCCTTCGCTGCCATTGGCCAGAATCTCCCAGCCGGTGCTTTATTCACTTTGGATGGTGTGGAGCCTGAACTGGAATTGGTGCAGAGTCTTTTGCCCCCTCCCCCAACTGTTTCCTTCACCAAGATAACGAGCGTTGAAGCCACAAAATCAAGAGCACTGTGGGCATTGCAAGATAATACTTGGCTCCATTTCGCGTGTCACGGGACGCAGGAATTTGACGAACCCTTCAAGTCGGCCTTTCTTATGCGCGACCACCCGCTTTCACTCCTCGATATCACCCAAATGGATCTCTCTCGGCATCAATTTGCATTTCTTTCTGCCTGTGAAACCGCAGTCGGTGCCTTCAGTACGCCCGACGAAGTGATACACCTAGCGGCTGGCTTGCAATTCGCTGGCGTTAAGAGTGTCGTTGGGACATTATGGAAGGTCAACGATAATACTGTGCAGCGCTTAGTCAAGGCATTCTACAAAAACTTGTGCGGGGATGGCAAAATGAATTCCAAGCGAGCTGCCCAAGCACTGCACCAAGCAGTGCACTCGTTGGCTTGCGACAAGGACATGCCCTTGGAGCAGCGCATAGTGTTCATGCATATTGGCATATGATCAATTCCATGCATCCTCCTACTTTGTCGATTAAAGCATTCTTGAGATAATCTGACAACTTCACGTGTAGCATCCAGTCATGGCCGTGCGCAACCTGTTGCCAAGGACTTCGATATTCCAGACTTTGAGACTGTATTAATATTCCTCCACGACATGCACATTCAATTTCGAGTTCAATTTGTATTTTCTAGTTTGTTGCCTTGGAGCCGGCGGTGATCGCTTTTAAGGTGCACTGATGATTTGTGGGTAAGGATGAAGTTGTACAACACTGATCTAGTATAATACCTAGACACAATTTGGGATGGACGTGATAGTCGAGTGTCTGAATTGCATAAGGGCATTGAATGCTCACCATGCAGCACCAAAATCCAGTGCTTATGAAGAGCTTAGCCCAGGCGGGATAGACAGACCACTATTAGACCAATGAAAATAAGTAGTCGTTCGTTCTTTTTTCGGAATAGATACTAAAAGCGTTGTTTGTAAAGCAGACAATATTATCAGATTGAGATCGCAAAGCGTTGAGTCAAGGCGTAAAATCATACAAAGAATAAAGGTGTCGTAAAATGTGCGCACTGTGCCTCAGAAGAACGACACATATGAATTGTCTACACAATGTACGGCCTGTCTGAATCACTTCAGGAACCTGGGAGCCTGCAATTAAAATCGTATTTACAAGCATTGTCCGACAATATATGGATCTGCTTGTACCAGGAGGCTGAAATAGCCAGAGGACCCAGTCTGGTCTGACTGTTTTCCTTCTGCCTGCTATCAGAGGCTAATTTTTAGTCTGTCATAGGCCATCTACAATCAACCGTTCAAGTCGGTGAAAGCTTGGTATGTGGGCTCATACCTGGTACCATTTTTGACCAGCGACATTAATGTGGCTGCCCCTCACGCATCAAGTTCATCCACAGCCAAGCACAACCACGTAGCGCACTCCGTCAGTCTTTGCGGAAAATTACGGAAGAAAAAAATCCTGTGCGTTGATATGAATGCCGAGTATCTCGGAATAACGCGCAGCAAAACTGTCGTGCGAGATTGATCAAAACGTCACAACCATGATCGTGCACGTAACCGGCGCTGTATAGTCATATGGCGGGTTTGTGCCGTATTCCAGGGAAAATGACATCCCCTAGAACGTCGTCAAAGGAGAATCCCTTGAACGACGGAGATGATTTGATGGCGTGGTTTTGCCAGGGATCAAACTGATGGCCACACAAACGCCAACAATGAAAAGTGGCCGGAGCATACGGATCTGTTCAGTTCTCGACTATATGAGCGCCCGCCGTGTGCTGCACCTGATATTTCCATGACTGAGGATACGTTAACAACGGTCCTACGATAGGATAAGTCATGGCTTACCAAATGTACTGGGACCGGGACTACTGATGCATCTTACCTCGCCTCCTTGCCCTATGTATAACCTTAGTAATTTGCGCAGCCTGCTGAGTCAAGGAGGGACGAGACCGTGACGGAAATGCCATTCGCCCGTACAGAGCATGTTGATTCATTCCAAAACTCCGTGATATATTTGTCTCTCCCGCATCTTCTCATTTCTTCCACGACTTCTCCAACCGACCGGAACTCGGATCGACCCTGGTGACACCCTATCGTTGGCCAGATCCGCAGGTTCCACAATCGCATTTTTAGGGACAGCCAGTGCATAGATTTGACGTTGGCAACGAATTCATGGACGTTTTCCTGTGAGCCTTGTGCATAAATGACGCCCGGGTAGCCAACTTTGGCGAAGCCAGATATCGAAAGCTCAGAGGAGCATCGCTGTAATGACCGTCGTTTTATTGGGGACACGAGATGATGAGATGTCACGAGCGCATGGTAGTATGCTGTCTCTGGGAGATGATTGGTGCTCTGTCGGTCTAGGATGTCCATACTCTTTGACAGCCCTGCATCGATACTATGTCCGTCTTCGTTTAGTTTCGGCAGCAAGTGCATGCATAACAACTGGTAGATCGAATAACTCAACTTCATGTAATTTAGCATTCCTCGCACCATAACCAGGAAGACGCGGTGGTGTTCACTCATTTTCGGCTAATTTCTCCTGAGCAAAAAAGCTCGCCATCGGCGATGTTCATCTTCCGGGTGTGCCCTCTCCGTTGAAAAAAAGCAAGGGAACCTATGCGGTGTCGATATCCGAATCTTCCGGGTATCGTTCCGGGAACTGCACCTCGAAGGGGATCCGCACGTCCACAGTCTTCACTCGGAATTTGACTCGTGGAACTACGTAGACTGGGATAGAGATGGGAGAACTGTAGTAGCAGGTTGAAGGAGTGGAGTGGTGAGGACCATATCCTGGAATCTTCTGGAGGGAGGACGAACGAAAATGATTCACCAAGAAGGAGGGAGTGTTGCCAAGATAACTGGAGTTCTTAGAGCTGACTTTCCAGGCACGTGGAGGTCGACCACGGAGCAGCTGGAGCCGGTACCGCTTGTCTACTCGGCCCACGATGGCGCTGGTATAACCCAATGAGAGCGCTGTCCTGATCGACGCGGATCAAAAACTTGGCGCTGTAGCGTTCGGCACATGAAAGTCGCGTCGCGCCCTAGTACTGTGCTCCGTTGCTCCATGAAACGTTGACACATAATGCATAGTAATGAGTCGCTACGTCAGTACGACATGTGTCACGGTCGGACGCAAGTCGGACGGTATATTAGTTCTGGAGGTGACGTGTTCGTTTAGAATCAAGTTCTCGCGGGCCTCATAAGAGGCTAGTCTTTACCACCTGGCTATTTTCAGCCTTTACTTGGAACAACAACTCGGTGAATCCGAATCAAGTTTATTCACGCCTCCCAAGTGTGTATTCTGCGCATTTTTGTATATACCCTTCAGCTCATACACAACATTCCTTGTCAAGGGCTTTTATTACTACTACCAGTCCCGCCGAATGAGCACCGTGGATGCTCTGACATGTCTGGCATTTTCGCCTGACGGCCAGAAAATTGCCAACGGCACTGCTCGTTCGGGGGTGACCATCACCGACATATCGTCGAAGAGCAAGCATCAACTAGAGATGCTTGCAGAGACCCATGCGCACGTCACTGCTGTCGCATGGTCTCCTGACGGAGAAAAAATTATAATTGCATTACCGGACCACACGATACGTTGCTGGAATGCTACTTCAACACACCCTGTCGGGCCACTATTTGGAAAGCACAAAGACCTGATCCTCACGGCGGGTTTTCTTCCCGACTCATCTCACGCAATAAGCTTGTCAAGGGATGGAGAACTACTCGTTTGGAACACAGGGACCGGGGTAGTTACTCAACAAGTAACAGTGTCAAATACTGCTCAAACCATGTTCGTGGCGGCTCTGTCCATGGATAGTAGTCTCCTTGTTACTAGCGATACAAAGGAGGGCGTTGCATGGGAGATACCGAAGTGTGCCCGAATGACACAAATCACACTACCAGATATACCATTGCTTCAAGCTGCTATCATTCCGTATAGTCATCCTCAAGTAGTGCTTGCATTTGGCGACAGGTCTTTCTGGATATGGGACACGAGCACAGGGAAGCATGACCATGCACGCTTCGAAGGTCTTGGTGAAGATGACATCCCCTTTGCCATGGCGGCTTCTCCTGATGGCAAGCTTTTAGCGCTGGAAATCGATGGCGACGTCGATCACCCCACACATTTCTACGATATGAAGGGTCACGAATTCACTACCTCCAACATGAGATGCACCCATCCATTTGCATTTTCACCAGACGGCAAATTTTTTGCGGCTTCGAGCGTGCCCTCGGATTCGAAGGATGGCTCTTATAAGCTGATCATCCGTTCAGTGGAAGAGGCAAGGATACTTACACCACGCGTTCAATCCCGAGTACTAATGAAAAACGAACCAGATTATCGGTTGCAGCCCCCTTGATGTGAGATCTAGGTTTATGGCAGGACACTAAACTCATGGTATGCAACAGTTGCCTGCAGCCATCACCCCGAAAGCCAAAGGAAAACAACGTTCACTGGGACTCAACCCGGGGTTCTTCGATCAATCGCCACATCCTTCTGGCAGTACAAAGGGTCGCCCTGTAAGAGTCCCAGACTTGAATTCAAGTATATGCTAAAATCGACCGCTTAGATAGGGCTTGGACCTGGAGAATCATCAAACTCTACTCAGCAGCAGGCCTCCTCAAGGACCACAAGTCGGGAGCGGCGTTTCCTACCTCTTCCAAAAATATGGAAACGGATTCGTCATCCTCGATCTCCCAAGGCGAGGTCCACAGTAAGGGAGGCCCAGCAGACGTCGAGATCTGCCAGTCGGGAACAGCGTGTCCCACCTCTTGACAACATTTGGACACGCATTCGTCACCCTCGACCTCACAGGGCAACGTCGACTCCACATGTTGTCGATGTACCGATCGCACAAGCTAAAAAGGTACGTTCAGCGTATTCGTTCGCAATGACGCATCTCAGGAATTTCCCAGAGGACTATAGTTTCTCCTTCACATCGGACAACGACGGCTCAGTCTTCCAGTGGTGCCAGGGCAAATCCCAACTCGCAGTCAGCGTCGACTAGGGAAGGCTCGGCTCAGGCTTCTAGTGACATTAGGCATCATTACCAAGGAGCCACAGCCTCCCCATTGCGGCACGAAGCCACCGCTCGGGATGACTCGGCACAGTCGTCTAGGCAACCTGGACGACCAGGAAATACACACGGCCACATCGATAGAGAGGACCGGGTGAGCATTGATTCAGGGATTGTCTATACGGATCGGGATATGGAGAGCGTCGAAGCGCATGGATGCTGGAATATTTTCTGGAATTGGTTGTGCTACAAAGGTGAGTTTCTTCAGATCTGGAGCGGACGTAGTCAATTCATTTATTTCATCAGCGTTCTGATACTGTTGGTCTCCTGCCTGACTATGCTCTATGTATGGCATGCTCTATGTTACTACGTAAATCCTGGTCTGCTTTGGCTCTTGCTATGCGGGTCGTGTCAATGCCACATATCTTGTACGGTTTGCAAGGAATTGGAATGGCAATTGTTCTGATCAAGTTGGCTGATGGTCGTGGCGATTTATGGGCTCCGATAGAAAGCCGGGAGCAATCCCAGGGTCACTGACCCCAAATTGGTATGATTTTTGACGAAAAATGGAGCGCTAGGCTGGTAGACCACGGAACATACTAATGTTGGCCTACCACCTCTCGCACGTGTTACTAAATGGATTAGTCTCCCTAGTCAGACCATTAGAAGGGAGACAATCGGTCCTTCTTAATATTGTGTGGATCAGGTGAATAACCCTCATGTCTCGTCCTTCCAAGCATCTACACAAACGCTGAATTTCCTTCGCAGCGGCATGAGAGAGGACTTTACTATCCTACTGAGGCGACATTGACGAGGCGGGGGACCGACAGGCAGGGAGGAAAGAGCGCCTAACAGCGTAACGGGAGAAGGTGGGTGGAAGTGTTAAAACAGGTTTGTGTGATGTCGAAGGGTGGATGTACAACAAGTTGCGCGAGCGGGCCGGTTGAGACTCTGACACGATTAGTGAATAGTCAGACTGGCAAATGGCATCAATATTATCCAGCAGAGAAGGATATTATCCCGGGTTATGCACGAAGTTCTGGGCACTAATAATATTCTCTTGAAGATCGACCGAAGCTTCGAGCACTTACAGTATGACTCGGATGCGAGCCAACGATTTTCCACTGTGCTTAGTAACAAGAATGGTCGAACCATGAATGTGGTGATTGCTGTTGTTGGCAGCCACCCACGACAGGAGACTCAAACTGATGTAAGTAGTACCCGCTCAGAACATTCAGAACATCATGATGGACCGAGTCGGAGCAAGAATCTTGCATTTGGTTGCCTGTACTTATAATTACTTCGTGCATCAATCGTGCATGCTGCACTATCATTCTCATCATTGATGCATCAGGGAAACGTAATCGGTTACAGAGTGCTACAGCATCTGTAATGAATTACGTTGCCCTCATGGGCCTGCCATAGGGTTGTCCAGATATCTCAGGCCCTGCTGGATAGTTCTTGGAGCTGATTTTTCAGGCAGATGGAAGTCGACCACGGAGCAAAATTAGAGCCAGCACCGCTTGACTACTCCGAGTCGCTCACGAAAGCGCGGGGTACTAGTATAACCTGATCGATGTGTCAAGAATTAAAGAAACCTTGGCGTTGTGAATTTGGCATGTTTATACTCTGGCTGTGCCACGGACCACGGTATATTATACCACGGTGACCGTATCCGTTTAGAATCCTTTCTTCAACCCCATCTCTCGCGGGCCTCATACTAAGTAGCCTTTCCAAACATCACAACCTGACAATTCTCAACCTTGCCTAGAACAACAACTTGATGAATCATAAATCAAGTTAATCCACGCCTCCCAAGTGTGTATACTGTGCATTATTGTATACATCCTTCAGCTCATACACATCATTCCTTGTCAAGGGCATTTATTACTGCTACCGGTCCCGCCGAATGAGCACCTCGGACGCTCTGACATGTCTGGCATTTTCGCCTGACGGCCAGAAAATTGCCAGCAGCACTGCTCGTTCGGGGTAGACCATTGTCAATATATTATCGAAGAGCAAGCGCCAACTAGAAATGCTTGCAGACGCTCATACGCATGTCGCTGCTATAGCATCTCATGGTGTCCTGACGGAGAGAAAATTATAAGTGCATTACCAGATCACACGATACGTTGTTGGAATGCCACTTCAACACACCCTGTAGGACCACCATTTGGAGGGCACAAAGACCTGATCCTCACGGCGGGAATTCATCCCGCCTCATCTCACGCAATAAGCTTGTCAAGGGATGGAGAGTTGCTCATGTGAGACACAGGGAGTAGAGCAGCCACTCAACGAGTAGCAGTGTCAGATGCTGCTCATACCATTTTCGTGGCGGCTCTATCCATGGATGGAGTCCTTTGTCTCGCTAGTAACAAGGAGACGTAGTCCCCTGGCTACTACTGAGATGAAGGAGGGCATTGCATTGGAGATACCAAAGTGTGCCCGAATAGCGGAGATCGCACTTCCAGATATACCATTGCTTCAAGCCACTATCATCCCGCATAGTCGTCCTTGCGTTTGGCGACAGGTCTTTCTGGATATGGGACACGAATACAGGGAAACGTGACCATACACGCTTTGAAGGCCTTGGTGAAGATGACATCCCCTTTGCGATGGCGCTGGAAATTGACGGTGACGTCAATCACATATTTCTATGATATGAAGGGTCACGAATTCACTACCTCCAACATGAGATGCACCCGTTCATTTGCATTTTTACCAGACGGCAAAAATTTTGGCGACCTCGAGCGTGCCCTCGGATTCGAAGGATGGCTCTTATAACTTATAAGCTTGTCATCCATTCAGTGGAAGAGGTAAGGATACTTACACCACACATTCAATCCCGGGGTTCTTCGATCAATCACCACATCCTTCTGGCAGTGCAAATGATCGCCCTGTAAGAGTCCTATGCTTGAATTCAATTCAAGTGTATGCTAAATCGATTTGTTAGATACGACTTGGACCTGGACCGTCATCAAGCTCTACTCACCAGCAGGCCTCCTCAAGGACCACGAGGCGTATCCTACCTCTTCCAAAAATATGGAAACGGATTCGTCATCCTCGATCCCCCAAGGCAAAGTCCGCTGTAAGGGAGGACCAGCAGACGCCCTCAAGATCTGCCAGTCGGGAACGGCGTATTCCACCTCTTGGCAACGTTTGAACCCGCATTCGTCACCCTCGATCCCACAGCGTAACGTCAACTCCACATGTTATCGAGGGTAGCGACCGCACAGGCTAAAAAGGTATGTTAAGTGTATTCGTTCTCACTGATGTATCTCAGGAAGCTTCCAGAGGACTAGAGTTTCACGTTCACATCGGACAACGATGGCTCAGTCTTCCAGTGGTGCCAGGGCGAATTCTCATTCGCAGTCGGCGTCGAGTCAGGAAGGCTCGGCTCAGGCTTCTAGTGACATTAGGTATTATTACCAAGGAGCCACAGCCTCACCTTTGCAGCACGAAGCCACTGCCCAGAACGACTTGGTACTGTCGTCTAAGCAAGCTGGACGACCAGGACATACACGAGGCCACATCGATAGAGAGGACCGGGAGAGCGTTGATTTAGGGATTGTCTATACGGAGCGGGATATTGAGAGCGTCGAAGCGCATGGATGCTGGAATGTTTTCTGGAATTGGTTGTGCTACAAAGGTGAGTTTCTTCAGATCTGGAACTGACCGTGACGTAGCCTAGTCAATTCATTTATTTCATCAGCGTTCTGATATTGTTGGTCTCCCGCTTGCCTATGCTCTTTGTATGGCATGCTTTATCATGTTGCCATGTAAATCGTGTTCTCCTTTGGCTCTTGCTACGCGGTTCGTGTCAATGCCACATCTTGTAAGGAATTATGTAACATGCCAATTGTTCTAGCCGATGATCGTGGCGATTATGTAATAAGCTTCTAACTGTTTACGTATAGCGATGTTCCCCTTATATGATCCTTTGCAGCGTTTATTTTCGTCCCCCATCTACGCAAACTCTTGCACTTATCACCTTGGACGATTTGAATGCAGTTCCTTCTGTTCACGCGATCAACGACCAATCTCACGATCCTTTAGATGTACGTGCCACCATCTTGTTCTCGGTAATTGACTCGACGATCACCCCATATACAGTTCCCTGTTACATCCTAGGCCTAACCCCAACTCCTCTCCCTCGATACGGGCCGAAACTCAGACGCATTCGAGTGCCTGTGAGACTATGAGAGGGTCTTCGCCTGCAATCATCACTTATGTATTTTCAGTTTCGACGCACGCCGACACCACCCACTTCTCTGTCACCACACCCACCACACCCTATATCGTCTATTAATCTGGTCGTGAGTTCGTGACATGCACCATCTCCCATAGTCGATGTTTCCTTCCGCAAATGGTAAAGAGGTGCGCTAGCTTGATTCCCATCGTGGTCTGCGAAGTCTAGATCTCATTCATGAATTTGCAGCGCAACGTTGCGGCTGGTGCTGCCAGCCCTGACAACGGCTGAATACGTGATGAAAGACCATGAGCCTCCTTCGAGCAGCGTCATTACCGGTTCATCAAGGGGTCCTTACTCCGAGTCTCTCCGGCAGCAATCAGTCAGTACGTATACTAACACGTTGCACGTCACAACTGCTACTTCTCTCATTTGAAATTACATAATTCAGCTCCTCTGGAAAGATGAATCGCCTCGAAGAATGTTGCCTTCCTACCTCATCTGATGGATTTGAATTTTGTCCCTTCCGGTATCTAGAAGTGACAACGCACGATACTGAGCATAGGATTTCTGTCATCGGCATGGATCACAAACACTTGCGCATGAAATAGCGCTAACACTGCGACAGGTCTCTGGATGTGACAATAATATGGTACAATGTCTATGGCTGCGTCATAAATTGATGGGAGACACCTTCAATGCTATCCTCGCATAGTTTGCTCATGACTTGTATTGCGGGCAATGCACACCCCATCCTGCGTGATCGAGTATGCGTGATACATGGTTATGAAATGCTTTGAAAATAGCAGGTCAAAGGGTAATATCAATACCGGGCGCAAACAGATATGTCAACTGATAATCCATGCATAGCCTGCCGAAGTGAGGAGTCCTCGAATTTGACGAGACGACGATAGTAAAAACATGAGCCAAGCTCTGAAGCAACGACAATAAGTCACACTCACTGCTCAAGAGGCCGCGTTTACTGCTAATTGTAGACAGACGCCAGGAAGTTAAGGGAGGAATGCCCGATATCGACAGGTGTTAGCCGCGAAGGTAGAAAGATATAGTAAGTCGATTCATATGAATGCAGACGTGTGGAGCACGGAAGTCTGGAGGGGGTGGAGGGTGGATAGATTCGTTTTGATGGCCTGAAGAAGGGGTTCAAGCTAAATACAGAGACATCTGCCAGGCGTGAGTGATAACGGGGATATTTGACGTCATTCAACGCACCGACAAGCTGAGACAGGGCTTTGTCATCTACTACCAGGTATTCGACGGTTAATGGGGTAGGCCAAGATGCGTCGAAACTGACTAGTATGCTCTTGTATTGCTGACAACTTGACAGTCTTGAAAACCAACTTGAAGTGATCATGGTGTGTGCTGCGCAACCAATTGAACGTTTGAACCATGACTGATTGATTGATTGATGATTGAGCGAAAAGATACTTATTTGATTGAAAAGTAACGACTCACCTCGAGGAATCAATGCTACGAGATCCCCACCACAAGAATGGGAAGTCTTCCAATCTCTCCTATGGGCACAGGGTACATGGTACCGATGGCTATGATATCGAATCTGAGATTTGCAGATCTGAGCATTAACGTTGAAACGTTTGGCGTTTCAGCTGGGTTATGCCAGTTCAAACGTTCAAGGAAACTTCTGAACCATCGTTGACGAATACCGTATTACTACTAAGCAGTATCATGCTCAGTAATCATCAATTCGTTATGACCTTGATCGTTTGAAGCTTTTCAACCAAGTACTGATTGTGGTCACCTACGACTCCAAGAGAAATTGGTTGAAGAATCTCATAATTGACGTAAGCGGCACCCACTTGGCAATGCCCTACGATCAACCTGTCATTTCTGTGATGGGGAAGTTCAAGAGTCAAAGGGTTGTACAGATCTCTTGCCCTACGCCTTGATACTCCATTCGGTAATCTCATGGCCGATAATTATAATGGCAGTTCAAGAATCAAGTCAACGTGTTGGCCATTGGCATGCTTCAAAGCTCGCGGTCAAGGGTATTTAGCTCGTGCTAGAGGTCCTCTCCCTCTTCCCATACTTCCTGCACTTCCACTTCGCTCATACTAATTGACCACTCGTACTGAGTGAAAACCATAGGCCAGACCCTCCTCCAGAAACCTGCGAAGCAACTGTTCGTGAAAGTTCGGTATGTGGTCTCATGGGCTCACTCACTGTGGATGAGCGCTCACGAAATTCATCGCTGCCTCTGGCACTTTCTTCGTCCAGAGCCAAACCCGTAGTAGAGTCTTGCAGGCCATGCGGAAATTTACCAAAGTCATTACCAAGAAAATTTCTGTGAGTAGACTGCTGATTTATTCGTGTCCCGGTTCTGAATATGGGCTGACATTGTGCAGCGACGCTTCAAGTGTTCCCGCAATCGCATCTCTGCGGTCCAGAATGAGAATGTCGACCTTCAAGGTGCTTCATCGAATCAGAATATCGAGGTAGGTGCTCGAAATCGTAATCCCACTCCTTCAGTTTTTTTTTATCAGAGGCGCCCAGAATACATCACATCCGCATCCTTCCACCGGCGATGAGCATCCCACCACAGCTGAGATTCCTAGCGACTCCATGAACCAAGGGCTGTCCGGAGAGCCTGCTTCGCAGGTATTTTCGTCAAATATCTTGTCCGTCTTCTCTAATTTCGACGGTCCCACAGGTTCACGCTGCTCCTTCTGACAAGGAGGAAGGTCGTGATCCCAAATTAGTTGACGCTGAACTTCAGGGTGCCTGTGATAGTATGCAAAGCATGGGGTTACTTGGAAGACGCGCGACTTCTGCGGCATCCGCCGCCGTCAATGCCCCAGCGGTTCTCGCTGTCGCGGATGATTATGACACATATCTCCAACCCCTGAAGGGTATTGACACTGTCATTGAGAAGATCGCAAATGTATGGGTCATTCTTCTTTATTTGAAGCGAGCCAATCAACTTGTATAGGTGCATCCGTACGCAAAGATGGCGCTGGGTGTGCTGTCTGTTGCATCCAAAGTACGTTCGGTTTCTTTCGGAGTCCAGTCTCCTACTCAGAAGTCATGATTCCATGTAGATCATAATCGCTCAAGCAGAGCGCGACAAATCGATCGATAGTCTTCTCAAGAAGTTGGTTCAAGTTTACCGCTTCATGGCTCAAGATGACAGTCTTGGCAAAATTGAATCGATGGGCGTTCTCGTTGGAAAGATCGCTCAGCAGACTCTCGAGTGTGCCCGTTTCATCAGGGATTACTCGGAGACTAAGAGCTTTTGTGAGTTGTCGGGCTATTGCATTTCGCACATGAATCTTATACTCACTATGATCATAGGGAAGAGAGTCGGTAAAAACATCGTCGCTGAAACGGATGTCATCATCACACGGTACAACGACGCCTTGGATGCCTTCATGCAACAATTCCGGGACCAGGTTGATCGGGACGTAGCTATCTTTGTCCACTCTGCGGGTAAGGATTCATACGTGCCTCTGATTTTAGATGTACTCATATCCTTCAAGGTGAAACACTCGATCTCAGTGACATAAGTTATGCAGCGGGCGCGGGACTAAATACTGCGAAGCAATGTCTGTCAGGCACTCGCACGGGCATTCTGTCTGAAATCACCGAGTGGATCAACAGCAGTGGAGATTCCGTTCCGCGTGTAATGTGGCTATCCGGCCCTGCAGGCAAGGGCAAATCAGCCATCGCCCACACGATTGCCAACTGGTTCAATGAAACGGGAGGCCTTGGTTCATGTTTTTGTTTTGATCGGCGCAGAGAAGCAGACCGTCTCCATGAAAAGATTTTCTCCACCATCGCGCGCGACCTTGCTGATCGTGATCCGGGAATGAAACGAGCGTTAGCGGATGCAGTCAAGGATGCAACCTCGTTGAAGAATACGACAGATATCAAGCAGCAGTGGCGCAAGCTTCTCATGGACCACTAAAGAAGTTCTCTGCGTCAAGTGTAGGGCCCTGTCTTGATCGTGATTGAGGGACTGGATGAGAGTGGCGTGCCGGAGACACGGCGTGACCTCCTCCGCATACTTGCCGGTAGACTTCAGGACAAAGGACTTCCCCAAATCACGGAACTCCCTTCTAACTTTCGAATTCTCGTCACCTCTCGTCCGCTTCACGATATAGAAAAGGGGTTTGAAGGTGCTGGTCATATTCAACGGTTGTCCTTGGACAATATTCTACCAAAAGTCGTGGAGCGCGACATCCACATGTATATATCTGAAGAGCTGAAGGGGCTATCGGATTTTCGCGACAGCGAGTTAACAATCGCCGCGAAAGCCGAAGGACTTTTCGAGTGGGCGGCTCTCGCCTGCAGATATATCAAAGATACCCCTCCGGGTGTACGCAAAATGTCTCGCTTCGATGCTCTCATGAACCCCAGTGCTGGAAAGCAGAAAGGCCTGCTGCACGATACGTATCTGGTCATTTTGCAAGACATTATGAAAAGGGATCAATACGATGATGACGAGTACGAAGGGGCACTGGCAGGGTTTCGTTCCGTGATGGGACAAATACTTGGCACAGCTGAACCACTCCCTTTCGATTCTCTTAGTGTCATGCGAGAGTACTTTCCAGACCGAAGCAAGCACGACATGGGCATTATCAAACACATGGGATCCCTCCTCAGCGGCACCAATTCATGTACTCCCATTCAACCCCTTCATGCATCTTTCCACGACTTCCTGACAGACAAGTCATCCAGCGGAGACTTTTTCATCGAGGTGTCCAACGTACAACGCGACCTTGCGTTTGCGTCACTACGAGTGATGGAACATAGTCTTCGCTTCAATATCTGTGATTTGAAGTCGTCCTACCTCCCTAATTCCCAAGACACGGAGCTGTCTCAACGAGTTAAAACATCCATTCTTCCACATCTGTCCTATTCCTGTCGATTTTGGGCTACGCATGTATCAGCATCGAACTTCGACTCGGAACTCGCCAACGCAATAGAATCATTCTTTGACGATGAGCGACTGCTTTTCTGGGTTGAAGCACTTGGCCTTCTCAATGCAATCGGCGGTGCAATAACCGTGCTTCCACTTGTTACTCAGTGGCTGAAGGTGAGCACATGGTTACCAGGCAGCGTTGGACGAGTGTCTTACAATCAACTACAGGGCCATTCTAGATACGAAAATTTGCAGTCCACCACAAAGGATGTACGAATATTCATTCAAGTATTTGCCGGCATGATTTTGCACAGCACGCCACATCTGTATCTATCCGCGCTGCCATTCTCACCCGTCAACTCCACCATAGCTACCAAATTTACTTCAAAGTTTCCGAACAACCTTCGCCTGGCATCCGGACGTCATTCGGACTGGACAGCTGTTGAGATCGTGATCAGCGGGCATACTGAGTGCGTCGTATCAGGCGTGTTCTCACCGGATGGTACTCGCATCGTGTCCGGTTCTTGGGATAAGACTGTGCGGCTGTGGGATGCAGTGACAGGACAGCCATTGGGTAAACCCTTGGAAGGGCACACTGGAGCGGTTCGGTCAGTCACGTTCTCACCGGATGGTACTCGCATCGCATCTGGTTCGGAGGATAACACTGTGCGGCTGTGGGATGCAGTGAAGGGAAAGCCATTGGGTGGGCCCTTACAGGGGCACACTGGAGCGGTTTGGTCAGTCTCATTCTCATCTGACGGTACTCGCATCGCGTCTGGTTCGAGGGATAAGACTGTGCGGCTGTGGGATGTGGCGACGGGAGAGCCATTGCGTGAGCCCTTGGAGCACACTGAAGAGGTTTTCTCAGCCTCGTTCTCACCAGATGGTGTTCGCATTGCGTCTGGTTCGAAGGATAATACTGTGTGGCTGTGGGATGTAACCACGGGTCAGCCATTGGGTAAGCCCTTGCAGGGGCACACTGGAGCGGTTTGGTCGGTCTCATTCTCACCGGATGGTACTCGCATCGCGTCCGGTTCGAGGGATAAGACTGTGCGGCTGTGGGATGTGGCGACGGGAGAGTCATCGAGTGAGCCCCTGGAGGGGCACACTGAAGAGGTTTTCTCAGTCTCATTCTCACCAGATGGTACTCGCATCGCATCTGGTTCGAAGGATAACACTGGGCGGCTGTGGGATGTAGCCACGGGCCAGCTATTTGGTAAGCCCTTGCAGGCGCACAATGAAGAGATTTACTCAGTCTCGTTCTCACCGGATGGTGCTCGCCTCGCCATTGGTTCGGCCGATAAGACTGTGCGGCTGTGGGATGTAGCGGCAGGACAGCCATTGGGACAGCCCTTGCAGGGGCATACTGAACTAGTTTGGTCAGTCTCGTTCTCACCAGACGGTACTCGCATCGCGTCTGGTTCGAGGGATAGGACTGTACGGTTGTGGGATGCCGCGACGGGCCAGCCATTGGGCAAGCCCTTGAAGGGGCACAATGGAGAGGTTTACTCAGTTTCGTTCCCACGGGATGGTACTCGCATCGCGTCTGGTTCGGAGGATAAGACTGTGCGGCTGTGGGATGTAGCGACGGGCCAGCCATTGGGTGGGCCCTTACAGGGGCACGCTGACCTGGTTTCGTCTGTCTCGTTCTCACCAGATGGTACTTACATCGCGTCTGGTTCGAGGGATAAGACTGTGCGGCTGTGGAATGCCGCGACGAGACAGCCATTGGGTGAGCCCTTGGAGGGGCACACTGACCTGGTTACGTCTGTCTCGTTCTCGCCGGATGGTACTCGCATCGCGTCTAGTTCTTGGGACAAGACTGTGCGGCTGTGGAATGCCGTGACGAGACAGCCATTGGGTGAGCCCTTGGAGGGGCACACTGACCTGGTTACGTCTGTCTCGTTCTCGCCGGATGGTACTCGCATCGCGTCTGGTTCGGAGGATAAGACTGTGCGGCTGTGGGATGTGGCGACGGGACGGCCATTGGGTGGGCCCTTGCAGGGGCACACTGAAACGGTTTGGTCAGTCTCGTTCTCACCGGACGGTACTCGCATCGCGTCTGGTTCGAGGGATAAGACTGTACGGCTGTGGGATGCCGCGACGGGACAGCCATTGGGTGAGCCCTTGGAGGGGCACACTAGAGAGGTCTACTCAGTCTCGTTCTCACCGGATGGTACTCGTATCGCGTCTGGTTCAAGGGGTAACAGTGTGCGGCTGTGGGATGCAGCATTTGGACAGGCATGTCAGGAGTTCACCGAGGCAAGTTCATCCGTATTTCCTCTGGATAGAACTTACACAACCCATCGCACACAGGAGCATCCCACCATGTCGCCCATTACTTGGAACCATCATTTCATTTCCTTCTCGTCTAGCTTCAAGTTGGAACACGCGTTGTGCAACCCTGCCGATCTACTTGAGGGTAACCCTCATCATGATTCCAATTCAACCCCTTTCGTGCTCAGGCGGGCTGATGGTTGGATGATGGGACCCGATCGCCGCCTCCTTTTCTGGGTACCTCCCTCTTCCCGATATGCATTTTATACTCTTCGGACTTCATTAGTGATTCCAAGAGGGGGCGTCGAGCTTGATTTGAGCCGTATGGCACATGGGACACGGTGGTCGAGTTGCCGACATGTGTAAGTTCCATACCCTTTACTATCTGTCTCTCGCATTTGCTAAATTCAAGACATCTAGGCCTACTTCACAATGATGTTATTGCGGCAGTTGATTGATGGTGATGTTGGATAGAAATATACAGATCAAGTGTCAACATTTACTTCCAGTCGATCTTGATTGCGCTCAACGTTGTCACTGTCTTAGACACGGCCAGACTAGGTTACGCTTTGGGTTGTCGTTGTAATCCCACATAACATAACTGAGTCTGTCATCATCGAGTATCTTGCAGCCCTCGCCATACATCACCAACGTCAGCCAATACGCATGCATGTATGCAGGAGTGATCGAACTTCATCGGAACTCTGATGACGGAATATTCAACGCCTAGGGACAATAATTGCCTGCCACGACTATTCCCGAAGAGGAGGTAAAAGGGAAAAAAAGATCACCCAAGTTTCTTCGACCAATCGGTCCCCAGGAGGGAAGAGTACCCACAGCACATCGACGTTGCATTGCTGAAATACTGAACGCACTGATGCTGGTGATCCAGGCAGAGTCCCATAAACGTCAGAAAGTTAGTCCACACAAATCAAGTAATCATTCAACCAAATATTCTATTGGACTGCGCGCATAGATTTCACCGCTAATCTGGTCATTGACGTTTTGCAAAACGTGAAAAATAGGGGCCTAGCGTAGTGAGCAATACCCATCTCTGCGCATCTCATCCCTGGTTTGAGAGACGTCTGACAAATTCTACCAGTGCACTGAACGATGATATTAGAATGTATCACTTGAATCTTGTTTGAAATGACTTACCGAACAGGACGTCCAGTCATTCCTTTCTCTTGGTATGGTGTTGGGCGCGTGCACTGCAATGAAATCATCAGAGATCGGAATTAATAATGGAGAGGCAGTCACAATAAAAGGTGTATTGCGAACAACATCATTGTTCAGATCGTACTTCTGCTCATGACAGACGTCCTGCATTTGATTTCACAAGCGACAAGTTCTTACCTCCATAGTTCCAGCAATATCAAGGTGAGCCCATCGGACAGAGGGCTCCTGTCCATCCTTGGCCTCGATGCCATTTACGAATGCCTTAAGGAATAGTGCAGCTGTGCATGAACCTGCTGGTTTCCCGCCAGTCTAAATAATAAAAGACGATGTCAAGTTCAAGCAAGGCTAAGTGAAAATAGGTGACTGACATTGCACAAGTCAGCGTTAGATGAGTAGATCTGTGGGCCATAATCTTCGTCGAGGGGCATACGCCAGAAGCGATCGTACTCGCTCTCTCCGGCAACACTCAGTCGGTCCCAAAGGGTATCGGAGGTCTAATACAAGAGTTCAGTCAATGGCGTGTCGGCGGGTAGTGATGAAATGACGAACTGTGAAAACACCGGTGTAGATCTCACCCAGCGCGACTTCTATAGCCCTATCGATAATAAATTTAGGCTGAGAAGTGTGAATAATCAATACATACCCAGTGAGAGTGGCAACGTCGATGACCGTGTGCGGCTTGAACTCGGTTGATACGTAGTACAACGCATCTTTGAGAAAGTCAGAATTCATCACGACGTCAGTAGATAGCAAGAGCGCGCACCAGCTAGAACAAGACGGCCTTCAGCATCCGTATTGTCGACCTCGACGGATTTGCCATTCATAGCGTAGATTCTGGTAGATGGTCAGTCCAATACATGACGAATATCGCGCTCAAAAACTTACACATCACCTGGCTTGGTGGCTTTGGGGCCGGGCAAGTTCTCACAAAGTGGTGTGACGGCGACAATATTGATTCTGCGACCAAGATAGATAAGAATGAGCGTAGATCAAAGTGGACACAAACGTACGGGAGTTGGAGCTGAGCGATCGCGAGTAGAGATGATACGACTGTAGCCGCCCCACCTGCAATTCGAAGTTAGTGGCCACTTTCAAGCTCGGTTTAGCGGATTATACCCATGTCGCCGCGCATCAGCTTCATGTCCTGTATCCATTTAGGTATGGTGAACGAAAGACTTTCAAGTTGAAGAGCGATGGTCTTACTTCTGAAGCTTTCAAGCTGATTCCTCCGCTGTCGAAAGTGATGCCCTTGCCTACAAAAGCAAGAGGTTGTGCGTCTTTTGATGGGGCGCCCTTGTAGTGACTTTTACAATCATCAAACTGTAAACGATACTGCAGAAAAAGAACATAAGGTATGCTTACATCTCGAGAAACTTCGCTGGCTGATCAGTCCCTTGAGTTACTGAGAGGAAAGTGCGCTACAAGAGAAAATATCAATATTGAGCGTAGTACATCGAGTGTAAAAAATGTACCATGCCCTTTTCAGCCGCCCAAGCTGTCGAGGCATCAGTACGTATGTTAGAAGAATTTCAAAAGTTATAGAATATCTAACCTTCGTCACGAACAATGATCTCCACATTAGGGATACCGCTAAACTCTGTTTGAGCGCGCTCGCAGAATGCCTTGCAATATAGCAACATGAATTCAATCACTTTCAGAGCTCAAAGAGATGAACGTACAGTAGGTGTCATCATATTCGCGGGCAATTCCATTAACTAAGGAAGTCAGTTATATTCTCTGCGAATCAGAGGAAATACCGCTCCATGAACTCACCGTTCTTGCAAGGTTCTGCGCATTCGCATAGACGACACCACGATCCCAGTCAGCAGTTTTGGTATTTGTGGAGATTTCAACCTTCTTCGGCACGCCAGTCGTGCCCCGTACGTCGAACGCCGATGGGGGTGACGTTTTGAGTGAGAAGTTGTACAGCGCCAAGTGAGCAGCGACAGCTTGGAGAAGTACTTAAGATAAGGTATTGTGTAGATTAAACTATATCTTACCAGCAGCGTGAGGATCTGTTGATGCATCGATAACAGCCTCAGAAACACCATCACCAAGTCCTTTGACACTCTTTATACCACTGCCAACGGCCTTGCGAACGATCTCTCGTCTTACATCCCCAGTTTTGGAGTCAAACCCCTCACCAAGTGACACAAGTGCAGTTACGTCGAACGCGGGAGTCCCATAGAAGAGGTGGGACGTGCCAACCTTGGCAGGTTTCTGCGCCGGAGGAAGTGAAGACCACAAGGATGTTGGGTTGACACCTGGAGCAGCATTTCCTGCAGGATTCTTGGGATCAATGGGCACAACATAAGCTTTTGACGACATCGTTCGCAGTAGAACTGATGATCGATGAACTGCTCTTCTGGTGAGCATGTGCATTAATATTAAAATATTAATGTCGTGTGTCTAGACTCTCCGTCCGAGTCTAAACTTATGCGTCGGGACTCGGAATCCGGAAGACCGTAGGCCAAACACGTGATGGAGTGGACGGCTTGCCCACAAGCGTGTCACCCGCGTGTAGCTTTATTATGCCACCACAAAGTAGTCCACAGGTGGCTTTGTCGATAGTGGACCAAGCTATTTTTCACAGCACTGAAAATCTCTATATAAGCACTAGCTCACTTCATGTTCTCTTCCAATTTCACCCATCCTTGCGACTTTGATCCTCCGAATGTCCCCCGCTACTGATACTCGATCTCGTACTGGAGGCGCCAACTATGACGAACCGGCTGACACAGCGGTCAAGTGCTCCATAATGAACGACAGTAGCTCGCGCGCGAAAGGTACTACTCTCCGACGCTTCAAAAAAGAGGAAGGTGTAATCTACCACATTCCATCAAGTTCCGATCTAGCAAGTCTTTTCGCATTAGACGAGAGTAAACCCCTCTTGGTGAACCCTCCTACTCTCAACAAGAAGTCCTCTTCCCCGTCGATTGACACAATCCGTCCCCTCCGAGCCGTTCGTCGACTCTTGTGCACATCTGAGACAGTGGCTCCTCCCAAGACAACTTACGAACATGCAGTCGAGAGCTCTACTTCATCTCCGACAAAGTCACCTTCAAAGAAATCAGGTGCTCGCAAACTCCGCCAATCAACGTCTTCGAGAGTGGAAGATGGTGCGGAAACGGACATTGCAAGCATTACTTCTCGCATTCTCCAGCGTCTCACTATCCTCCAAGTTCCCTTCGATCTCGACGATGTCGGAGAACCAGTGCCCATTTCACAAACCACGGTCGACGCTACGCCAGTGAAGTATGGCTTAGAAGACCTTAACATGAAGATCCGCCGCCACGAACGCCACGTCACGACATGGGACGCGCCCGACTGGTGAGTTGACTATCTACTACATGTTAGTGTCTGGTGCTTAGTATTTCCCAAACGCAAAGCGCGTTCTTCATCTTCCCAGCACAACTTCTGATTGCATGTACCTCTAAAAATGATTTCGACCCCCTGGCTATTCCAGACGTCACAATTGTCGATCTCGTCTGCACCACGGTGGCGATGAATGGCCCTTACAAGTCTCACCCTCAAATCGCGTTCAGGACATTCTATGATGGCGCCACGATACGCTACGTGAAAGATGAACCCACACCCGATCTGTCTCGAGGCATTCATATTGGAAATGTCCCATGGTGTTCCATGGACGGGGATGGTCATTTCGGGTGGTACATGCGCTTCTGGATTCCAATACCGTTCGCACTCTTTCAACGAGCGGAGACGAGGACTTTCAAGATAGATGCCAAGGTACACGTTAATGGAAAGGATGGTAAAGACGGGTTTTTAAACGCTTCGACTGATTTCACGTTGTCGAGGTTGCGGAGAGGTTTGGCGATGTAAATATAGAATCATATGAATGTCACCTTGTGCTAGTACTGATATCTATAAAATTTGACACTGGACCCTTGGCGAGTGACGAAGTGTGTCTGAATATCGCTGACTGCTTCAAGTGGCACTGCCACTGGCACAGGATCTGACCGTGTTTGTCTGAGCCTTAAATATGATAATTCGCTTACTTTAAAGTTTCACCTTGTGCATAGAATAAAGGATCAAGCGGACTCCAAAACCATTTTTCTCCTCAACCAGCTCGAAAGCCACGAATGCTCATCACACACAGGGTTGCTTCACGCATCTAGATTCCTGAGGCGGGCTAAGGTCTGAGTATTCCAGTCCTCTTCAATCGGCTCTAGCAGAGCCCAGCTGTAATCAGCTGCGCGTAGGGTACCGCACGGGTAACACCGAGGGTCGGAAAGTTGACACCGCACCCGCACCCGCCAACACCGTACCCTTCACGGGTACGGGTACACACCGACCCGTCAATGTCGCGGTTTATGGAAAACACCGCGGTGTCTCTGAACACCGCGGGTACATTACCAAGAAGAGTGTATTAAGTATTAACAACAATGAAATAAAATAGTACTACTTTTCCTATCCTTGCCCTTCATGGCGTTGTTGACGGCATCCTCGCCAAAGCATCCAATGGCATGGTGCTTCAGATTAGTCGTCGAGGACTTATCCTTTGTATCCTGATAGCGGCGCACACCACCTAAAGCTGTCTTACACTTACGCGCACCACACGGGAAAAAATGACACAAGCGGCCATTGTGGTGTTGGACCACAACTTCGGATGAAAAGAAACTATAGATAGGTGACCGCCAAGTCTTCTTGAGAGCCTCTGTATCATTGTATAATCAGATATTTGCAAAAATCAATGGAAAGAAACATACCAAGATCTGCAGAAGGATCGGGATCAGGCTCGAATGCACCTGCCGTTGATTTGTTATCGTCAGTGGCAAGTGAATCAGTACTTGATCGCGTAAGATCAACGGTGTCTGTGGGGCTCGATCGAGAAGACCGAGACACAAATGACTGCTTGACCTTCTTCAAGGGGCGGGCCAGAGCCTTAGCACCCTTTGCAACAGCCTTTTTGAGTGACCTGGCCTTCTCGGAGATGGACGACGAGATAGACTTAGATGATGAGTGTGACTGGGTAGACGAAGCATGATGCTTCGTCTACCCAGTCACACTAAGCATCAGATGCCTTCTTTGTGAGCTTAGTTTTCATGGGGAGACGACTCAGTGGACTTACTGGTCTCGAGTTTTTGCCTTGGCTTTATGGTAGTGACTCGAGCTTCTCTGCAACGAAGTGTCAGCTCAATAAATTGCTAGAATGATTCACGGGGGTACAAAAGACATGACAGAAATCAGTATAGCATTCACTTGTGATCCTCAAGCTCTCAGAGGAAGGAAAAACAGAGAATCAAACACGGTGTTCAATGGCTGTCGCGCGCCTGGTTCCCGATTTGGTATATTATACCCGCCCAAACACCGTCAACCCGCGGTGAATGGCCACGGTATGCTCAAGGGTACGACTATCCTACTCCGTACCCGTACCCTCCAAACCCGTCAGCATAGAACCGCGGTGTTACCCGTACCCGTGCGTTTCCCTAGCTGCGCGACGTACCATAAAAACAGCTTCACTTTTCACATCCCTAAGATCCTGTGTACTGCAGAGGAGGGTGAAAATGAAAGCTTTGAAAAGCGTTGCGAGGATTGGGCGAACTCGTATCCATCGTTGATCTCCAGTCAGTCAGTCAGTCGTCGCTATCGCGCCTTCGCCTGCCAACAAGGCGCTAACAGATGTCATCGGACGCTAACGTCTGATGATCGACCTGCCTGGGTCACTTCTTCCGGCGAACGTCAACGTTTGCCGTACCGGAGACTCCAACTCCTTACGTATGAGGCGCGACTGATTGTATTATTTTACGATGGGATTGGTTCGTCCTTGAGTTCACTTCGTGGCTCGCGTATCCTTCGTGGATCGTGAAACTCGATTCAGACTACTCTCGGACTGGTTCTTGTTCCAATTTTTTTCCTTCTTAAACTCCTTTGCGGAGTGTCTCTTTGTGAAGGATGATCTGTACTATCAGATCAAGTTGCTCAAGGACGATAGTCAAACCATGCGTATTGGAAATACATGTATTGACCTAGGTTACTCGACACGCAAGCTAGACGCGAAATGGATGGAAATGCTCAAGTAACATGAAGCTCAAAGTAAATAACTACTCGAAATCAAGTACTTCGAAACCCTGTAGAAGTTCCTCAACGGAGCTCTGTTCACCTGCGTGCGGCATCCCAAATGAGCTCACAACTGCGAAGCATAGCAGCGTCACCCTATTTGCATCCATGGTCATACTACTCGAAATGAACTTCTCCTCAGTGATCGTCTCAATATACGGGAGACCAGACCCAAGTGGCTCCAAGAACAGCCCTGAAACCGGCAAAATCTTACCGCCTTCGATAAGTCGTTGATTCCATTTTGTTCCATTCCCGGCCTTGAAGTCTATTACTCGATGAGGGTTAAAGTCGCGGATGCATAGTGGTCTCTTCGACTCCCGCCGGTTGCCGACCAAAGATACACTCCGGAAGCCAAAGACGGAGTGTTTGCAAGAATCGAATGAGCTCTCCTCGAAGGACCGCGTGTGATTTGGGCCCCAACTGGACCAAGGTAGCTTAGGGGAGTCTTCACTTGCTTTACCATAGCGGCTCGTGTAGGTGGCCTCGAGTTTCAAGAGGGTATTGCGCTCGATATAAGATGTGAAGCAAGGACTTTCAGTGAGGAACCTTCCTGAAATGTCCATACTAAGACTGATCATTTGGTTGTGCGCGCAGGCATGAAATGGAATGGAGCTGAAGCTGATACATGTGTATTCAAAGAAACTGTGCAAGGCAGGGAGCGATAATTTAGCGGTAAGTTGGAAGGCATTGGGGGAATGAACGAAGGAATACAACGATATTTCCCTCGCGTTACTGACGAGAATTTTTTCATTTGTCAGGAAACCAAAATTCATGGTGTTGCAAGCTGGATCAAAAACTTCGAGGCACTACAAGTCCAGATGATTCATCAGTCACAAAAAACAATGCCAGCAGATTCACTGACCTGAAAAGTGTCCTTTGATTTCCAGTTCCAAATTTGCAAAAAGTCGGCCACTCTACTATTTGCTTTGTTGATAAACAAAACACCATAATAGTCCTCGAAAATCGAGGATCTCAGAGTGTATTGGTTGAGTGACTCCGAGTCGACCTCATTGTTGAGTGCTTTCACGGAAGTGAATGCAGCTTCAGGATGGACTTTGTCTTGTGAGAGCGATCTGAAAATGACATCATATGCATAGCTCTCGCTTGATGTCTGTCAATAGCCTATCTGAGAAACTTGAAGGAACCACTCACCCTGAGGGTGCTCCGACAAGGAGAACCACGGGATCCTTTGCGACAGAAAAATTGTAATGCGCGGGTTGTAGTGCCACCGCGCTATTGAATTGGCAGCTCCATTGACACAAGTTCGTGGTATTGGAGTGACCACCTGCCAGCTGGGGCTGGAAAAACATTATTTGTTGTAGAGGTTCCACTGGAAATCCCAAAACGCCACATGACCATCGATACATGTTTGGAGGGTGTGCCAGCTCCTCAACGCGCCAAGATGATCGCTGAGCTGACGAGTGCCTTCAAAGGTCGCCCAGTTCCTCGAACAGGATATGAGTGGGTTCCGCGAGCTCATGCAGCGAGGCAAGTTCACTGCCGGACAGTTGCAGTGGGTCCGTTGGCTTTCGAATAAAATGGGATTTATTTGTCTCACTATCTGTAGCTGAAATTTTTCATTGAAACACACAAGGTCGTGACCAGCGCTGGAGACGTTGCTTGCATGTCGACCACGGATAGCGGTACAAAGGTATGACTCAATGGGTAGGACTTCTCCAAGCCACTCATTTCTTTGTGTTAGTCTACGGTTGCTACAACCGTCTTTGAGTCCGGGCCGTCAAGCGATGTGTCTTGCTCACCAAAGAATGTCAATGGAGAGACCTCCGAGCCCCACTCCACTGGGAGTGCCACCAGCCCCCCAAAGGTCATTGACCGGCACTGCCTTCACCAATAATTCCCCTGGGTCGAAATCAAGTGTGCGCATCGCCCGTGTCCTTGAACAGAATATGGGGCGGCTTTGCGAGCTCATGCAACAGCGCAAGGTCACTGCCGTACAAATGCAGCGGTTCGTCGACTTGTATATACCAAGCGGGATTGATTTATCTAGCTGTGGGGGCGCTTGATTTGTAGCTGAAAAACTACATTCAAACGCACAAGCCTGCGACTAGCGCTACTTCTGGTGATGTGGCTTGCGCGACTCTGACCGAAAGCGCGGTCTTGCATCTCTGCAAACGGCAGAAGGTGGCTGATGTGAATACGATGGTCAAGGACTGGCTTCAGAAATCAATTATCATCAGATTAGGACGTGTCTAGTAGAGGATGCTTACTTAAGTTGTATACTCCCTGCGGTTAGAATGTCTAGGAAAGAGGATTTCTAGAATGATTCAAGTGGAATCGGAAGTTGGGGCCGCCGGCCCGGATCGCTTCCTGTTCAAGTTCAGTTGTTCACACGTTCACGCGCCATGATGTCCTCTGGAAACTGGAGAAGCAATAGCACCCTGAAAAACTGGTGTTCCATGCCATGTAGCCGACGACATTCAAATTTGTAGCGAATTGCTGCGTCCGGTCGGCTAGCAATAAGAACTGGTGTTGGGCTCGCGTCTGTCCTATAATTTGCTTGATGTCCTCTCAGGCTGACTCGGTCACTCGGAGGTCCTCAATAACGTGGTTGACGCGTTGATGAATGACTAGCAGGAGCAGCCCGGAGCCGTCTTGTAAACCGTGACCACCTAGGTTGCGGGAAGTTGGAACATCACATGCCATGTCATGATCTTCATTCCGGACCCCAAGCGGGCCAAGCCATGCCGTCTCTACAGTGACCGACACTCACATATATAATGTGTTCCTCATTCTACGCCAAAACGCGTAACATCTCAGCTCAGCTCTAACTTGCAGGATGGTGGTCGCTAGAATGCCACTCTCATTCTCTGCTCTTCTCGCGTATGCTGCAATTGCGGGCGCATGGTCAACGTTCGTTGTCCCACATACCGAAGATACAGATGACACGCCTGCTCTGGTGGCCGCAATTTCTCATTACGCGTCTGATGCGTCGATTGTGTTCGAGGCTAACACGACTTACAACGTGTGGTCCCCAATCACGTTTCCACCTCTCACGAATGTCGAGGTGGTGATTAGCGGGAATTTGACATATCCGACGAGCATCGAGACTGTGCAAGGGTATGTTGCTGCTGCTGTGAGTGCCAATCAATCACTTTATCATATGCATGCGAAGTCTGATACGAAGGCTTTCAGAACTACTCAGGTGCATGGTGCGGGTGACTGACATGTTTTAGTGTCTCGTACCTCATAATTTCATCAGGTTCTCGTTCACTGGAGGAAATAACGTCACGCTCCGCGGCAATACTGACCCTGACTGGGGCTGGGTTAATGGACATGGCCAACAGGTAAGAGCCCTATACTCCGATTCTTTGGTTGTGCTGAAAACTGTTCAGTGGTGGGATATTATGCAACAGACAAACCGACCTCAGGGTTGGCTGTTTAAAGATGTTACAAATGGGATCATCAGAGATATGAAGTTATACAAGGTTTAGGGTTAATATGCGTTTTTGAGAGCTTCTTGGCTGAATTTCAATCGTCTCCCGCAGCCTATCGCATGGAATTTTGCCACCACAGGAACAAGCAATGTGCATATCTTCAACAATATCATCCTGGCCGGTTCTGACAATGCCGTGAGTTTGACGATGCGTCGATAATGCATTGCACTTTGTTTACACTTGTGAATAGTCATTCCCATTCAACACGTGCGTTATTGAGTCTTGATTTAATTTGTGTTTAGCTGAACATACGCAGGGATGGATTTTCAGCTGGAGGCACCAATTTGCTTTTCGAAAACAACCATGTCGTTAACGGAGATGACTGCTTAACTGTTACCAGTGGCGCCAAGAACATCACTTGGAGGTTCGTTGATTTTTGCTAGCGCAATGAGTGAGCTTATATTTGGCCATAGAGATAGCTACTGCGAGGGATCGCATGGTCTGTCAGTCGGTTCACTTGGCGAGGACGGTCAAGTGGCATCCGTAGAGAACGTATTACTTGAGAACACAATTATGGCGAGTTTTCTCGACGATGAAGCTCCTTGTCTGACACCCTACATTGCCATCTAGAACCGTACTCTCTATGCAGCTCGTTTCAAGAGCTGGACTGGCGGAAACGGTGCTGCTATCAAGTCTGTATTTTTGACGTCTTCGACAATTCCTGCGCTGACGACATGTTGTCTTAGTATAACATGGAAAGATATCACATTCATCGACGTGATGTTCCCTATCTACGTGACCCAAAAGTATGTCTCTGCCTTCCCGTGTGCTCCTCTTATACTTGTGCTAAGTTCCTTCAAGCTACTGGGACCAAGAAGTAAACTTGATGTTGCATGTACAAACGTTTTTTTTCTAACTGAACGTATAACAGGACGGCCCGCCTCCGAGCTCCTCGTCTGTCAACGAGACTCACATAGAAAACTTCCTGTTCGATCACTTCGTTGGCGTAATTAACGAGCGAGTTACACTTTCTTCTGTCATCTATTCACCCTAACAGGCTCCCTAGTACGCCTGGATACGTGGAAGGCTCATGTGTCACAGACCCTTGCTGGTAATAACTTTTTTTTTGCATTTTCAAAGCATTCATTGAAAAATCGCCAGGTACTACGTATCTGGTGCAACAGGCAAGGAAGCCGTCATTTTCGACCTGTACCCCGACACCGGTTTGTCCACAAATTTCGTTGCCAAATTCCCTTCTCACTTGATTTCACAGCGACTAACATTGTCGTGAAGAACTTGGTTGCGCGCACACTAAGTGGTGCCCCTGTTGCCGCAATGTGTAATTCTTCCACGGTACGCTCTGCCTTGGAGTGGTTACACGAGTATGCTAATAGCTAATACAGATCTCGAATAATGTTGGATTTGTGTGCTGGAATGGTCCGTATGTCCCTACATAGGCTGATTTGTAATGTGCACGAGTTCTTTATACTTGGATCCAATCGAAAGACTCTTAGATTCATGGACTTTGTGGTCAGCTTCATTGTTCAGGTTGCGAGAACCGTCGCAACTCATAAGCAATCTCGCATGAGAAATGACGATAGTACATCAAGTAGCGCGGGCTGAATAATTTCTGAAATTGACGCCAAGCCACTAAGCTGTTCGCGTGAGCGCAAGTACTGCGGTAGAAGGACATGCATCACACATTGCTTTACAACAATTTTACTTATCTACCGAAAACTGCGGGACGCAGCCCGTCCAGTCCAATACATAATATCAAAAATGAAGGAGATGAATGGCTGACAAGGGTTTGGGGCATTCAATCGTACACACTACGCGCAAGGGGCCTATCATATAGGAATCGCAGACAGACGACAAAGTAAAGGAGACATATAGTGGTGGAACAGTCGAGTGGCAATTTAAGACCTCTCGCCTCTCAGACGACGAGCAAGGGCAAGGTCTTTGGGTTGGATAGTCACACCTGATAAATTAGAGTGAGTCAGCATTGTGGAGCGCGGGAGAGCATATGACTCACGCTTAGCGTGGATAGCAGCCAAGTTGGTGTCCTCGAAGAGTGACACAAGGTAGGCCTCGGCGGCCTCCTGAAGAGCCATAACAGCGGAGGATTGGAAGCGCAAGTCGGTCTGGTGAAAATGGTCATGTTAATCACCCCAAATGCATTCAGATAGTGTCATGGGCACATACTTTGAAGTCCTGCGCGATTTCACGAACGAGCCTCTGGAAGGGGAGCTTCCTGATCAAAAGCTCGGTAGACTTCTGGTACCTCCTGATTTCACGGAGGGCAACAGTACCAGGGCGGAAACGATGGGGCTTCTTTACACCACCGGTGGCGGCCTGCAGTATATAACACGGTATTGAGTATCCAAGACGCGAAATGATAGAAACAAAGACATACGGCGGCAGCGGTCTTCCTAGCAGCCTTGGTTGCGAGTTGCTTACGAGGGGCCTTGCCTAGAAGACGGAAATGGTGTCACAACGTGGATGAAAATGAGCAGCGATAAGGTCGCACCTCCAGTGGACTTGCGAGCGGTTTGCTGGATAAAGGGTAAGTATAATGTATTGTAGATCAATACTCTATAAACACACCTTGGTACGGGCCATTACGATGGTCTAAAGTCAGGAGATAAAGGTGTTGGTTGATGCGAAACGACGGTGATGGAGGTTGCGGATGAAGACTCCAGCAAAGGGAAGGTCGTTTGTTGAATGGCGTCTGCGCCATTCCCACGCCTCTTAGCTTTTTAAATTCCGCCGGGAACCTTGTGTGCACTGACCGCATCGACAGAGCAAGCCTCAAAGTGTATACTTGAAACCTTTGACCTTTCATTGCATCCACAGCAATCATGCAGGTTGCTTCCTTGAAAGTGCAAGCAGTGCTTCTAATTATTAAGTCCTTCCTTCAGGTCACCTATCATCGACTTGGTCGTTCTGAGTCCTCGGAAAATGCGATGCATTGCTTGTCAACTGCAAGTACGTGGCAAAATATCTATCAATTGATTGTGAATTAATAGAATGATCCCCGGGCCCTAGTCCGTCCAGGTAAGTAGTGGAATATAAACACTCCTGATGTGCTTCGTAGAGGTAAGATCCGGGCAGTATCAAAGAAGGCCCCAATAACCCTTCGGCGGAACGACGGACTTCCAGCAAGACGGCAAGCTTGCTGTGACGTTATTTAATCCCCCACAGGAGTACTGATCACCTGAGAAATTACACGATTCAGGAGAAGGCCGGCGGTTGAGGACGCCTCTCCGAAAACTCCTACCCACGAATTTTCTTTCCCCCTTTCATGCTGTGACTTGTTTCCAGATGTATCGATTCTTGTACCCTTGCACTGGATAGTAAGTCTCACTCCGATGTTACGGTCCGACTTTGTCCATAGGCATGCGGGAATTACCTGCCTGATGATTTGTCTTCCGTCCAAGCCATATCCGAGCGTCGGCAATATCGTCCGAGTCGCATCACCGCAGGATAAAAAAGTATCCATACATATTTTTATCCGGCCATTACTCCTCGACGAATATCCGTGTGTTAAGGGAGAAATGTCTTAAGAGACTACAGAACAGTGACAGTAAGTTCATTCCACTACTTTGATGTTCGCTTTTCGTTTTCTAAATCCATTTGTGTCCATTAGAGTAGTTCTCTATGTAGGACAATACATGCAAAGTCTAGGGGACCACTTGTCACCTTCGCATCTCTGGAGCCACAAATGCCCTGGTATAAGGTGTGCCCCCACCAGCCTATAATATCAGTGTACAGTCACACGTATCGACTACATGGTATGTGTTATACAATTGAGGGTATCGATTCCAGTGTGCAAACGGCCAAAGGTATAAATGTGTGATTAAAATCCTCCTAGGCAGTCATCATAGTCCAGAGAAGGCATGGCGAACCCCGTATGGCCGTTGCTCAAATGACCCGTCCCCTTTCTACGCGAGCTTCTCTTCATCCCCCGTTTTTCCTTCGCCTGCGAAGGATGCTGCATGAATGTAAATGTGGTATCAATCTCGTCTTGTGTATGTCGTGTAAAGGGTATCATCGAGTCCGCAGCTGTGAAACGGACAGGTATTCGGCGTACCACAGTATTGGGTGGCGTCACTAAGCTTTCAGGTTCATAAGATACTGACGAGATGTCAGGGGTAAGTAGAGGAGAGCAGAATATAGATGGGTGTGACCTGATGGCTCCGGGGTACATGCCTCGTAGGCACGAGGGTGAAAATAGCTTCCCTTGACCTCGGCCGTTGGATATGATCGACTGTCATCGCTGCCGACAAATTCCCGCTCATGACGCCCAGGCAGCGCACATTGATTGGGAGAGATTGGGACAGGCGACCGATCATACGTAGCCGACGAGTGGGTAGTATACGTAGAAGTAAGAGTTGGCGTTGGCGGGAAATGAACACGGCGCGGTGGGGGAGCCGTCGAATGTGCAGAAAACGGGAATGCATCCTGTCGTTGTGGACATTGTTTAAGGATTGGTCTCGGCGACATGGCTCGGAATCGTGACTCGGATGTGTAGGATTGGGTAGATAGAATGGACTTCAAGAAGAGCCCCAGACGCCCAACTTTAATAGGACTCGGAGAAGAAAGGAAAGTCAATGGTTTGTGGATGCATAACAGCAGTGGAATATATATCGTGGAACTCAGGCTCGGTGGAACGTGTGCCCGGTTCAGTAACAAGATCAAGATCAACTCCGACTGGTGGAGCTGGCTTTCCCGCAAAAGCCGTCGGTCCTGAGCGCTGAGCTTGTGACCAGAATGGCTTCCTCAGTTAGCCTCTTTTGTGGGGAAACTAAGGCGAACCTTAAATGTTTCACATTAAATCAATGCTCAGAAGGCCTGTTGCTACGAGCACATTGTCAGGAACCATTATTAGCAACAAATCAAAACAAATCCTGTAATAAACATGCTATGGCATGAGGAATGTATGAACTGGATTACCCGCAGTCATGATAGACGCCGTGCTCATCGGGTGGAGGTTCAAATGGCGGAAAAGACTCACCTTGAGAAACGCCGAGGAATCCCAGACTGTCTGCTAGTCCATCAGCTAATCGAATGATGATTTCTCATGATGGTCCTTAGAAGACGATAAGCGCATGGTTCTCTGATCTCGTTAATCCGGAGGCCTGAGGCCTAGGCTGCCAGCATCCCGGCAACCGGCAACTTGCCACAATGGTCTTGCAAGAAGCTCCAATTTCGACTCCAACTGGTTATTAAGATATTGCCATCCTGTACATTCAGCCTGAACTTATCAATCTGATCAGCAATTCAACCGAGAAATCGGAGGGCCGGTACGGATGTGCTTGGTATAATATACTAGTCAGATATAGGAAAAGTGGAGTGTGTTGTCGTTTCTACATATATTGAGAAGATCCGAATTATGCTACCATGTCAGAGTATGTGCATTAAGTCCCAGAGATGCACGTCAGTGGGCATGTATGGGTCCCACCATGACCAAACCTTGCGCTATCACCCTCAAGTTGACCAAGGATTGGCCAGATAATTGGGAGTCTTCTTCGGGTCCCCAACAGGAATGCTCCAAGGATCTCGCCCCATACTACCCTGTAAATTTATCGTCCCGTCTGTTCCGCCAAACGAAGGCGACGCTGAAGGACCAGCTACTGGAGATGTCCTATGTAGGTTATTCGTCGATCTACTTGAGTTTTCAAACGAGACTGCGCTACCCGCAAATGGATTTCCAAATGGAGAATGTCTGTTCCCTGGTAACGGAGGAGACCATATCGACGTCTCACTTCTACCCAAAGATATCTGAGGAATAGAGGTATGGGGAGAGGTGGCTGAAGAAGGATAGTTCAGGTGATCTGGGGAGCCAAGACCATCTGTAACCGGAGGCGTGCCCTGGTTGTCATCGACGTCATCGCCAGAATCAGGCACATGGTGGAGTGACAGCGAGGTGGCGAACGTAGCGTTTAAGCCAGCGCTTGAGTGAACATCAGTCACATATGAACCGGTGGGGTTGGTAACGTGTGTGGATGCAATTGTATAGGCGGGTGGAGCAGATTCTGATTGTGATACAACTAGGGATGAGTGAATTTGGGAAGGCTGAGGAACCTGCATTTCCTCGGGAGTCTTCTCCGATTGGCCTATCATATCTTTGATGGCCTTTAGATCGAACCCTGCATGAACAGGGATGTCAGTGGAAGAACTTGGTGATCGGCCATCGGAAGGTTGTGTTGAATGAGGGTTGGTATTCTGAGGTGGTGGAGTTCCCGTAGACTCGCGAGGTGGTTCATCGTCATCATCAGTCGGTTTCCCTAGTGAAGAGGGCTTCCGCCTCGAAGAAGCAAAAGAAGCTGTTGAGGGTGGCCTTGATACTGGTGTTGGTGACGTTGACGGTTTCTTCCTTCTAGAAAACCACTTCTTTTTCTGTGTATGGTCCCCTTCTCTCACAACAACCCTCTCCTCGTTGAATTCAGGTTCCTACAAATAGTAATTAGCAAAGAGCCGGCCCGACAAAATGAGACACGTACAACGGGCTCATCGAAGTAATCACACGACACGGGGAAGCCAAGCTGGTCTAATATGAGCGGCATGAATGCACGATAGCTCATATGCCCTGAAATTTTATCCGTAACATCGACATTCTCTAAACCTGGCACATTCTCGATTGGCCGCAAGCCTGCAACCGTATTTAAACCACCACTGGTTGCACGAAATAGGTAGTTCAGGACCCAGTCATGTCTCGCAAATCCATTAACAAAGCGCCCCGAAACAACGCTGCGGGCATTGCACCATGTGCTCGTCGATGCTGTTAATGTGGCTCCGAGGAGGAAAACGTCTTGTACTATGCCAAAAGCTTTTGCCTTGGCAAGATCGAGGAGGGCGTAGAAAATGACACGTGCGCCAAGAGAGAACCCGATGAGTGTGATAGGTCGAACACCAAGATGACGATGAATAAGGAGCTGTGCAAGAACACTGCCAGCTGCCCGGGCACGGTCGAGCGCATTACTCCAAGGATTATCAATCAGGTAACCAAGTTTTGTGAGAACTGATGAAATCTTGATGAGCCAATCTCTTTAGAAAATGCAAATCAACATCACGCCTACTGATTGGCCATTGGAGTCCGCTCATCAGCGCGGTCATCACCGTATGTTGGAGTACAGTCTGAACTGTTTGTGATAGAATCTCCCCGGTAAGAATCTTTAACGCACTACCGGTTTCTTGAATCATCTCAGGCTCCCAAAGTATACTGAATACATCGCCCACGATAGGATCTAAAACACTAAAAGGTAGGCGGACATCATCAAGCTTGCCATTCATGAATCTACACCACAAAAGTTTGAGATAGTTGATATACCCGTATTTGAGGATGGACGCACCCAGAAACGGTCAGGATACAGCTGACACGCTTGTTATTGTGCAGCGGTAGCACATCAAATATTCGTACTTGCTGCGTACGTCGGGCCATTCCTTGAGCAGCGATCCCAGACCCAGTCAGAACTCCTCCAGTTGTGATCACAGCGGCCCCACCGGCCCCAGCAAGGAATCCTGTTGTCCCAGATATGCCGACAGCGGTAAAGGCTGCACCCAGACCAGCACCAATGACAGGTGCGAGAAGTCCCGCAGAAAGTCCGATAACTAGACCACCACCTGTGTTCAAATGCGCGGTAAATTTATTAGCACATGTTGCACATCTCGATCGGAATGAATGAGATCACCAAGTGTAGCCAGACCCAACATCATATACCGCTTCTTCCGCGCAGCTTTTGACGATCCTTCAATAATCTCCTGATTCTCCATCTTCTCGACGCCTTCTTGGATCTCAAGCGCCTCCGTCACGCGCGCCTCGAATTTGACTACATCCAACCAGCCAAGTCCGAGCTTGAGAGCCACACTCTCCATTAATACGCGTGATCTTGCGTCGTAGACACTGTCCGCAATGAGTATAAGGAAGAGGTCGCACAGAACGGTCCACCGAATATCCAGTGTAACGTCTTTTTCAGCGGATGAAAGCGTCGTAGTGACTCCCATCGATGCAGAATCAACAGCAGTACCCTCGAGAACTTTGGCCGTAGTCTGAAAGGTCCTTTGATTGGTCGATGAAGGTGATGTTGGTGTCTGAGGAGGACTACGACCGTCCGACACCAGGCTGGAAGGTCGAAGTTCATGGTCTTTGGAGTTCCGCCTGCTTGTCGTCGTATCTTCCTTCAGGCCTTGAGCTTCAGCCTGCCGCCGTGCTTCAACAGGGTCGTATTCGGGGTTGGAAACGGTATGGGTTGTCATTAGCGATGGTACAAGATCTATCGCTTGCACACCATGCGCAGCTAGGCTGTCTATCATCTTCTGCTCTGTTATAGCGTTTGAGCATATGTGATCCCGCTTGTTCAACTGAAAAGATGCGCGAGTTTACCTGCAGTTTCAAGTTCCATGTGGTAATAGAGCCGGCCCATGATCTTCATCGCCCATAGCTCCATATCTTGGAAAGATGCTTTAAGCTCCTTTCTCTTAGTCGTCTTGAGCTTCTGCACCATTTCTTTCGCCGTGAGGGCGCAGACACCGACGTAGGCAATGCGCTGTGCTTCTGTCAACATATTCTTGGTCGCTTGCATCTGGTTGAGCGGGGTCATAGCCTTGTCCTCGTCAAATAGGTATCGTGTGCGCAGGTGAACCTCATCCGCCTCATCCTCTTCATTGACCCGCAGTCTAGTATACTCGTTCTCATTCTGATCTGTCTTGGAGCGCCATTCGACACCCTCGTCGTCGAAATTGATGAGATTGCCAGTTGCATTGCCAGCTGTCGATGCAGATTGCAATGGTTTCTTTGATGAGGGCATATAGTGATATTTCTTCCGATCTTCTTCGTCCAGACCGCCTCCGAAGTCATCCTCTTTGATGACTGGCATTTCCTGCCATCCTTCATCGTCATCGTCAAAGGAAAATGGATTCGTAGGATGAGTAGCTTCTACTGGCATTTCGGAAGGATGTGGAGGGTTGTGGAATGCTCAGACCAAAAACATCGAGCTGGGAAATGAAGGGGAAGTGATGGCCCTATGACGATAAGTATTCGTCCCTCTCCAAAGAGGTAGTACCGTACTATAGACAAGCCTTGCCTTACCCTTACTTCCCACGCTCTACACAGGGTTTCGACCAACTCTTGCCATGCACTTGTGAAACGTAGACATGAGTTTCTCCTTAGCTTTCGAGTTTTCCTTTCGTGTTTGGATGATGAGCCAGAAGCACGTAAGGTCACCCGTCCGCGTTACTGTCAGGCGAAATATCGGATCTCATCAAGATCTCAAGCAAATTCCGCATAGACATCGTATCGGTATGGTCGACGTAGTAAGCAGACAATTACAGCAGCGTACAACATACTTTTTCCAACAGTCACGCTTACAATCGATTCTTCATTGCTTTGTTCGTGCCTCCTCCCTCTTGGCTGCGCGCTCCTTCATGTCCTCATGCTTAAGGGCTGCCCTGACTTGTCGTTGCCTCTTGCGTCGACCGTTCCCTCGTTTAGGTCCATTGATAACCACCGGATCCGCCATGCGCTGCTTTCTTTTGGCGAGTTGTTCGGCGCGTTGCTTTTCACGTTTTTTGTCGCGCTTGCGAAGGGTGGTCATGGATGCTTTGAGCAGAGCACCGTAAGCAGAGTGGAACTTATCGAGGTCTGTTGATAAAATCTACAAAGGGAGTGTATCTTGAGCATAGTGAAACCTTGCAAAGGATCTGTTATGTACCTTAGTGGAGAACTTCGCCTTCTTGCCATCAGTGACACGGACGATACAGGGATATTCTCTACTCCCATCGCTCCCATCTTCTTCTTTCATTATAGTATCATCACCATCATGAGTTACTACATATAATCAGAAAGTAAGTCAAAATGACAAAGCGATAGATCAAGACGCACATCGCTTATGAGTGAGCCATATCGTGCCCTTGTCTTTGGTCGATTCGAAGAGGGCGCCCAGCTGCCGGAGAAACTAAATACTGCTTGAACGATCACACTAAAAACTGTATTAAGGCAGATGGACGCACTGTGTTATTGTCGACGAGCTGCATGGGCCTGATGCAGCTCGAGCGTCGAGGACATATTCATTAAGTGATGCAAGAAACATTTGGGGGTCACAATAGCCAAATAAGGTAAAATAGGGGGGTTTTGACGCCGCCCGCCACTTCCACCGCTTTCGCTGCTTCATCATGCTGTGATCACACCTCTATGATTCTCGTGTCTTTTATAGATCTATATTCGAACGTGCAACATTTCCGAGGGAATTATTCGCGGGGCTCCTGATGTACCGCTTTAAGGGCACTGTCATGCCCATAGACTAGGCCTTAGAGTGACAATGCTTCTGCTTGGAGCTCAAGCTCTTCCGTCCGTAGGTTTACCGAGCACCTTGCGAGAACTCGGGCGTAACGTGGAGATCCTCCAGCTTTATGAGGTTGAGTAGCTGCAGGACTCCTGGTAGTGCGTTGGGAGCTTCTCAAGCGTCGTGAATGACGCAGCGTCTGATGTTTTGCTTGCGCAGAAACCAGTATGGTGCATGTCCATAGGCTACCGGCTCCAGTGATACCCCTGCAATATAAAATATGAGCGAAAGGAAAGGTACGACAGCAAACTGGGACCTACTGATTCGACCTGTCTGGGACGTTGTGTTGGACGCTAAAACTTGAACGTTTTGAATGTTCTAGTGTCTTTTCCCTCTGCTACAGGAAGCCTTGGCCGGATGCTCTTGGGGCCAACCTAAGTTCCGCGAATAGAATTGTCCACGTCGATCACCTGCAGACGTACATGTACATGGAACCTGTCCTCACCTTCTTCGACATGCTTGTCTTTTCGTTCTCCTGCTCAATTTGCGACTGAGCTAGCTCTCCTTTTTGATACAGAGATACACGCTCATGCCTCGAGCATCTTCTCTTCTGTTTTTGTGTAAGATGGCACGCATCCCGAAATCCTCGCGCGTCATACATCTGCTTATTTACGGCCATTCTACGAGGGCCTCCATGAGCATGAACGAGCGACTAGCGTCTTCTTTCGTCTAAGGTCTGCACAGGGGAGACTAATCAGGACTAATCGCCATTTCAGTGATCCGTATACAATCTCTACAAATTGACTGGCTGCTGACAATTCTTTCCCTGCCCCGATTCTGACACGGTGGTCTTACCATATCCCAACAGAAGCCGACAGAAGATCCCCGTTGCCTGGATCAGCGGGACTCGAATTCCACGGATGAACAGATAACATGCCGTGACTTTGCACTGTGTTCTCGAAGCATGGAAACATTATGCTGATCTTGGTTGGATCTAGGGGAAGAGATGTCATTTTCTGATGCGATCATGGCGATCAGAAGTTGTGGAAGATGACTTATCTTTGATTCGCACCCCGCTACTTCCCGAACCCGCAAGTCACGTACTGCTTATGTAGTACACGATCACAAGTAAGCAAATCAGACTAGAGTCTCGACCACATATCTTACGTTGTATGCACTGTAGTGCAGTGGTATTAACAGCGAGAGTATGAAAAATAATTGCAAGTAGTGCCCGGGACGGAGACCACTGTCCCGTACTTTCTAGATGAGTCTTTGAGCCGCTCTATCAATGCTCAATTGATTTAAGATATGCTTCTCAGCACGTCTCTATTTGCATGGGCGTCCGAGATCAGGTGGATAGGTTCGCCGTTTACTTTTTAGGTGATATTGTGCATTCGCATCTCCACAACCCTTGGTTTGATCACTCGATGAAGAGCAAAGTCTGTTGAGCAGGCGACAGCTAACGTCTGAGGATGGGCGGTGTTATGGAAATGCTCGGTATGATCCTTTCCAGCTTACGTAACATCAGTATTACTTATTTCGTTTTTTGCGGTACGTCTCGTTTGTCTGTTTTGGACCAGCGTCGCGAAGTCCGTCGAAATATGACATGAAACGAAATCATGGATATCAGCCCAATCGTATCATTCTGAGTTCGTAAGTACTGTTATTCGGTTCCTTTTCTGCTTGATTCAAGTTGACCCATAGAAGTATTTTAAAACTTGGACTATAACCACTGGCTGACGTAGGTGGTTAAATATATCTCAACTCAATTCATCCCACCTCGGCTCATTCCAGTTTTGCATTTTCCAGGGACTTTCATTCACTTGGGGGTTTGAGCTTGCGGGAGATAAGAACGAATCATAGCGACAATCTGCAACTTTTGATTGCCACGACTCATCGCATTATGCCTTCTCTACAATCAGCATCACACATCTGTCATTTCAAGAACGCAGAGTATAGCAAATATTACGTGCATGGGTGTTGGGGGAGGCAGTTACAGGATGGTATCCATCCAATGAACACTGATTTATTGTCCAGGGCCAGGTTCTGTATGCACTAGAACTACAAGATTGTGCACCGGTGCGATTCACCGATTTCCGATGTGATGCTCCTTGTGTCAAGCTTAGCCACTTCATAGTATTATAAGATGTGGATGGTTGGCGATGTTACCCGCACTGCCGTACATTTTCGCCATGGGTTCAACATCCACTGGCATTCCGCTGGATACCGCTGCCATCATGTCAACAACTCTAGAAGGCATTTTATATGGTGAGTGTTGCAACAAGTACGCTCGTTCATGCCTACCAAGCTGCATTTTTCAGGGTTTTCAGTCCTCATGTTTATAGGTACTATCTGGACGTTCACCTACAAAAAACGCATGCGGGACGTCAATCGGCCAGCCGCTGCGGTTGCCGTCTCACTATTTTTACTGAGTACTGCGGTTAGCTTCTCGCCGCTTGAATCTGATACCATCTACTGAAGACTCCCAAGCACTTGGTCGTGGACATTATTCGTATAGAAGAAGGACTGGTGAAGTATCGCAACACTTTCCCAGGCGGCCCAGTGGCATTCTTCGCAGACGATACCCAAGAGACGTATGTGATCAAGAGTGCGGTGGTTGTCATGCAAACTCTGCTTGGCGACGGGGTAGTGGTAGGATCAAAATTTCACCTGCCAGCTTGAAACCCTGATGGCTTATAGAAATCCCCTGTCTGACAAAAGGTTTATCGATGTTACGTCGTTTGGAAATCTGTCCGGGTCATCATCCTACCATGCATGATGTGGTGTGCTGTTGCAGGTTGGGTTGCCATTATACTCAGAAAGTGTGTTCTCTGACATTCAAGTTGTTTCAAAGTATGTGGGACTTGTATGGTCTACGACTTTTCGCTGACTAGCGATGCCGAAAGTCTCTTCACTAACGAGACTGGACATTGGGTCGCGGGGTTCCTTATCTTTACTTTCCTAACCAATTTGTTCAGTTCAGGTAAGCACATTTCTGAGTAGGCGCGATATCAAGACACTTGCCAACTTGAATATGTAGGATTGCTGGCATACCGCATCTGGACAATCGAACGCGAAGCCTCTACAATCCGCACTAGGAAGGGTATAATGCCTATTGTGCGCATACTTGTAGACGCTGCTGTTTTATACTCTGTGCCCAACTGCGCTGGGATAATATGTTTGGCCCTTTCGAACAATGGCCTAGCTGTCATTGGAGACTTGGTAATTCCACTGTTAGCACTTATCATAAAAATCATTGAGCTTCGGTCAACTAGATTAATCCGGTCATCTCGATTGCCTTCTACATGGTGTTTATTCGCATCGCAATCAATAAAGATATTCAGGAATTTCTCTCGACTGTCTGTGTAGGGAGAGGTGAGACAGACCAAGGGATCCCGCTGCATTATCCTACACAGCCTTTGCAGGCTAGTACTACATACAAGCAGAATGATGCATCCTTCTGGCTGAAATAGCAATGTATATATTACTGTAGTTCTCCAGCCTGATATAAATCCCTTTCGTGCTCTCTTGGTTTCGGACGGTTGCTACTTCACTCTAGGCCTCACGAGGAACGTCAAAGATCCGACTGTACTTTACCTTCTACTGTTCTGAATAGAGTTCAAGATAGAATTATCTGCGGAAATTGGAATTATCAACTTGCGGTTTAGCTGCTTTTAGCTAGTCATCGAAGATCTGATGCACGGAAATTGGCTCAACGCCCTGGATCAGCGGTGTGCTGCGTCGGAGCACCATTCATCATGGTCTTGTGTTTGCCAGATCTGCAGTTAGCACGACTTGCTGATAAGTCACACTGTCAAAGAGGGGTGCTCACCGACAATTTTGGAACGACAGGAGCCACTTTGAGACTCTCAAGTACTAACCTCTAAAAATTGAGTACTGAGCGCTGACTAGTAACTACCGAGCAGATTCCGTGTTGACGAGATTGACTAGAATGCTCCATTATATATGAGCTGCATCTCTCAACAAGACATAAAATTGATCAGTTGTAAGCATCTGATATTTCGAACCACAGCGAAAGTACATGGTCAAACCTTGCGCTCTGAAGTAGCCACTGCTTGAATTAAGTTTGTCATATAAGTTGGAGGATAGCTGTATATACAGAAGTATACGTAACTAGATAAGTATGCCATCTTATGAATGAAGAGGCTCGGACTAGGAACGGGAAAGGGACTTAGTCTTGGACGAAAAGACTGAACTGAGGGAGATTATTCGAGGGGAAAGTAATTACCACGCTGATTGAGACGGAGAATCAAATGCGAACGTGTATGGGGCGTGTAAGGAGGACTGAATGCGTATATAAAAGAAAAGGATGAGTACGTACGAAAGTGATGTCTAGAGTCATACCCTAATACGCAAATGAATGTGTCTCTACTTTCGGGCTACCACCCAAGGAGGATTTGGAATCATTCGGCCTGCGTATAAACGACTGCATAGTATGTTGCTGCAAATTTCTTCGTTCTGTCTCAGTGGTCCCTCTATAGGCAGCCGAGCGGTAGTTTTGACTGGTCGCGATGCGAATGAATACCATGTAGAAAGCAATCGAGACGATCGGGACGATCTAGTTGATCGAAAATCAGTGATTTGCGATATCAGGCTTCAACAACAGAATTACCAAGTCTCCCATCACATACAGTCCATCATTCCAAAGGGAAAAAACATACTATTGAAGAGCCAAGTGCCGCAGAGTACAAAACAGCAGCATCTACAAGCACGCGCAATATAGGTACTTTGCGCTTCGTAGTGCGGATTGCAGAGACCTTGCGTTCGATCATCCAGATGCGATACGCCAGTAACCCTGGACAAATTCAGTTTGGTATGGGGTCTCAACATCGCACTTACGCGGAAGTGTGCTCACCGGTACTCAACACATTAGTTGCAAGTGTGGAAGCAAGGAAAGTAGCGACCCAATGACCAATCCTGCTAGCGAAGAAATTTTCGATCTCGGCAGTAGACGCTTGAGAAAAGTAGTAGACCGAACAAACGCCAGACGCTTTGAGATAACATCAGAGCACACGACTTCCAGAGTATGATTGCAACCTAACCTGCGACACCACACCACATCATGCATGGTAGGATGATAACCCAAGCAGATTGCCACACAACGTAACATCGATAAATCTTTTGCCCGAAAGGCAGGTTCTATAAGCAAAAGAGGATCTGAAGCTAGCGCATGAAAATTTGACGCACCACCACCCCGTCGCCGAGCAGAGTTTGCAAGGTATATATCGCATTCTTGATTACAAATGTATCTTGGGTGACGTCTGCGAAGAACGCCACTGGCCCGCCAGGGAACGTGTCACGATACTTCACCAATCCACGTTCGATATGAATAATGACTACGACGATGTGCTTTTGAAGCTTCAGTAGATGACATTGGATACAAGCGGGGAGAAGCTAACTGCGGTACTCAGCACGAACAGCAAGGTAGCAACCACAGCGATTGGTCGATTGGCATCCTGCATGTGTCGTTTATAGGTGAATGTCCAGATAGTACCTAGGCACATGAGGACGGAAAATCCTGTAGAACGCTAGCGAGTCGGCCACCTGGCTATGGAACGGGCAAACTCATTGTGATACACACCATATAGAATGCCTTCCAATACTGATGACATGACAGCAGCGGCATCCATCGGGATGCCTGCCAATGAAACCATGGCGAAACTGATGACTTGGGATGTACGACGGTGTGGATAACTTCACCAGCTCCATCTACATCGTTATATAGTAGAAACGGCCACCCAAATCAGAGTGGCTGATTGACAATGCATGCTGTAGCAATTTTGGTTTCAGTTTTAACAAGACTTAAGCATGGACCAGCGCTCAACATTGCATCAAGCAGATAACATCCTGTGAGTGGCTCCCTTGTGAACCTATTTCGTGTAAAAGGCATTAGGTATGGTCTTGAAACACGATGCGTGAGGCTGGTTCCGAAGAATGACAATGACGTTTTCCGTTTCATCATGGCAATCAGAACAAATTGAAGTGGCGGAGAATATGGTACCGTGTCTTTATCTTGTTACTTCCCATACAATTAATAGTACATCGATCATAATAAAGGAAATGATTCACGCGAAGTGAGGAGTCTTGACCATCTTCATTCGTATTACGGTATACACTGTGGGTATGCCTAGGCCCTAGGGAAGACTAGTCAACTCGCCTTGTCGCTACATAGTATTGTACCGAGCTATACAGTACTCACAACGACCAGGTGAGCTGGAATAACTCCTGCGCAGCGCCTTGTTCGTCCATATGGACACTGTTGTGACAAATGTATTATTGTATTTCCGTGTGACCAGGCGAGCACTGATAGAGCCAGGCAGACCACGAGAGACCAGGCTAGCGCTAGAAAGTCAGAGTGACCCAGGGAGTATTGACAGTTATCTCGTCAAATTGCAAGTGTGTATTTGAAGGGCCAGTGCACTAAAGTACGCGACTTGAGGTTCGCCCGCGACATTTAACATGGTGACCAAGCATGCCACTGCTGGGTACAAGCTGGTTGCAGTGCTCGTCACGATCATAGTAACTTTGCAGTGAGCCTTCGTCCTTCCACGTCTGCGACTCGTGAGCAGCAATACTCGCAACTGTAAGTTTGATGTCGATTAGGTCCAGCTCATTGCGATACATAATGAGCGCTCACAACAGAGGCGTGCTCGTTATTTAAATATAGACCCACGGCCGGCGCCTGTCGACCCCGTTGCCATCACTACGCTCCTCGTTCCTTTTGCACCTAGATTTAGACCTTGTCATCCTCATCTGTGCTGCCAAACTTACTAGATGAATCTTTCTCCGGAGAACAAAGCTCTGGGTAGTAGTAGTGAAGTGAGGATCATGCATGTAAAGTATAAATGTGAAGTGCTGGTACGTGGTATGTACTACTACCAGTTTACCATTCGCTCCCACGCAATTACAATTTCGCTGCAATGATATTTCCTTGCACCCCCACATACAATGTTATTGGTCATACTGTCAAGCGGCCTGTGATGAAAAAATCTATTTATACTTGTCAAGAACTACGGTGTGTACGGATCGAGCCCCGCGGCTGTCGACCTAACAAGGTCACTCTCTACTCGGCTATCACGCAATCATCGCGACTTCATTATCTTGATAATGAAGTTTTGCCAGCTGGCTGCCAAGCCTGGTCACTTGCTATACCATGAATAGATTTTGAAAGCACACCCTGCTTTTCCTTTTATCCTTCAATATTATTGCCATGGTCTCCAGTCCATCAAGCCCGTACCCCGTTCCAGTAGATGGAGCGTCCCTCCTCCTGACATTCAAAGGACCCAGAAATACCATCCTTATTATTGGCGGTGATGTTCTGGCCGCCTCTAGGGCATTTGCGGCACTCGAGGCAGGTATGCAAGTGATCATACTCAGTAGAGGGTTAGTATGCGACGAGTTGAGATGGAGAGCGGACCAACGGCAAGTAAATCTCACGGACTGGGGCATGCTTCCCTCTGCCTCTACTTCCCTACTTGCCTCCGCTCCAGACATGAAGGCAGACGCGGAGTCCCTTTCTGCATTCCTCGCCGAAAACCCATCTATATCTCTTATTTGCATCACCACGCACACGGCGGACACACCCGCACTTGCACGTATCTGTCATGCGCATAACATCCCCGTAAACGTCACCGACTTTCCTGCACTATGCGACTTCTCCTTTGCAGCCACACACCGTTTTGTTGACCCATCTACAGGCGGGCAGAGTGCGCTACAAGTGGGTGTGACAACCAATGGGGAGGGATGCAGGCTCGCGGGGCGTGTGAGACGAGATATTATCAGCGTGCTTCCAAAAGACATCGCTGGAGCTGTCAGGCAGGTCGGAAAACTTCGACGTTTGGCCAAGAATACAGATGATGAGGTCGGAGAGTGTGAGGAGGGTGAGGACAGCGGTGTTACCACTCCTAACAGGCCCGTACCTGGTTGGAGAAACAGTGCCGCCGAAAGCAAAGATGAGTCCTCCCGCCGTCGCATGAAATGGGTTGCCCAGGTCAGCGAGTATTGGCCTATCACACGGTTGGCATCAATGTCAGAAGACGACATGAAGCTTATATTATCTGGCGACTCTCCCCAGACGACCTCACCATACTCAATTCAAGCTCCAAACGCGAGTTCACTACATCAATTAACACTTTCCCCACCTCCGAAGAAAGGCCGTATTCTCCTCGTTGGCTCCGGCCCAGGACATCCCTCCCTTCTCACCATTGCAACTCACAATGCGCTTACGAAGCACGCAGATCTTGTTCTCTCGGACAAGCTCGTTCCCGCTGCCGTACTGGCTCTCATACCCGAAACTGTCGAGGTGCGCATTGCACGCAAATTCCCTGGCAATGCCGAAGGCGCACAATCAGAGATGATGGACGCAGCCGTCGAAGCTGCTCGACGTGGCCTCACCGTTATCAGAGTACGTCCGATCCTTCATTTCCATAACACTAAAAGAATTATCTCGTCACATAGCTGAAACAAGGAGACCCAGTCGTCTACGGCCGTGCAGGGGAGGAAGTACTCTTCTTCCGAGCACACGGGTTCGAACCGCTCGTTATTCCGGGCGTCTCGTCGGCGCTTGCAGCGCCTATTTTTGCTGGAATCCCAGTCACGCAGCGCGGCGTTGCAGAAAGTGTCATTGTGTGTACCGGAGTCGGGCGACAGGGCAAGGAAGTCAAGCTTCCAGGTTACGAACGCTCGCGGACTGTGCTCATCCTCATGGGCGTCGCCCGGATAGCGCAGGTTGTTGGCGCTATGATTCGCAACGACAGTGGCAGTGGGGAAGGCCTGCAGAGTGGTGAAGGGAGAAGAGAGGGGCGTCCATTCCCTCGGAACACTCCTATTGCTATTATTGAGCGCGGCTCGATGCCTGATCAACGGGTAGTCGCAAGTACGCTTGGAGATATATGTGAAGCGTTGGATAGTGCGGGAGAGCAAAGACCTCCGGGAATGATGGTTGTTGGGTGGGCTGTATTGGCGCTGCAAGGCACTGGTGACACAAGCGTGTTGGAAGAGGGGGAAGAGCGAGATGATGAGAGAATAAGAAAGTGGTTAGGTGGAGGCAGGTGGGTTATGCGAGAAGGAATCGATCAGGGCTGGGCGGAGATATAGTTGAGTTCTGGGATTGATCATTAACATTGCTCAATCTGCAGGGATTTTTATCGACATACGAGGAGTCATGTATGGTGTGCTTATTGGTATTTAGATTGACTTCTGAGCAGATGATAGTGTCACTCTGGATCTCAGACTCGAAATTCCGGAGTTCAAAGATCGACTTGATTGATGTAAGACGGTCCAGTCCTTCCGTAGAAACTGTTTTCGGAAGTCCTAGCTCAGCCCTAGCCAGGCCCAATAAATGATGTATCGTGTTCGATGCTCTGTGCAAGTGACACTAAGGGGCTGGGCTTACTGTATAGAGAAATGACTAGCGTTCCTCAAGGCAGCTACCCAGCATGTACTGTCTAGTACATCGGGCTTCGTGCCAAGAAGACAATAAACAGGAATCTTTCATTTAGAAAAAGGCAGCTACCCGTCAGCTAATACTGGTCGGGTGCACTGCTCGAATGTCAGGATTTGAACGGTCCATAAGATAAATCAAATTATTGTCTCAGACAAGTACGGGAAACAAGATCAAGCGGCTGAAATGCTCGCACATGCTCATGCTCATGCTTTGTGACCAAGCTTTGTCCGAATCCAATCCATATACATTTCTTGGTACAATATTTACAGTAGCGGTTGCAGTTGTACACCTACATCTTCCCCGAGCTTGAGTCCCTCTTCAGCAGCTAATGGTATGATTATCTTGAGAACGCCCCATCTAAACCTTATATAGTACACAGGCAAGCATTTCTATGACATGTCATCAGCTTTCCAAATCATTGCGAAAAGCGTAAAATACGAACCATTCATATTGTAGTGACACAGATGTAATCACAGTGCTCCCTTGTCGTGCTTAGCGGCGGAAGCAGATGTGGAGGTGCGAGTGCGTGGGGGCGAGCTGTTTGGGATGGCTTGAAGGCATTTACGCTGGCGCTTTGGAGGTATGTATTCATCCTCCGACTCATCGCTACTCTCGGAGGAGCTATCCTCCTGATAACTGTCCTCATCCTCCTTCTCCTCCTTCTCCTCTTTCTTCTCCTGTGGTTTATCATCGGTAGTGTTGTTGTCCTTCGCAGTATCAGTCTGCCGCTTCGGAAGCCGGCTTTTAATACGCAGACTCGGATGCGGCGCGTCAGATACAGCCTCTGCAGGGCTTTGTGACTCCTCCCCTTCCTCCTCCGCCTCATCGTCCGGTACATTACCATCGTCCGACTCATCCTTATTATCCACTGCAGTGAGAGTCTGCTTCTGCAAGGGCTGAGTTTTGGTCATCAGACGCGGCGTGTTTGATTTATCGCCAGTTTTTTTTGTCCTCCTTCGCGACTTCTTTAGTACTGGGAGAAGTCCTGGACCGAACTCAGAAGAGTGCTTCCGCTTCAAGTTGGCGAGGCGTTGTGCAAGCGAGGGAATGATAATCTTGGGTGGAGATCTATCGGTCAGTTTGCAGGTATCACAACAGTCTGGTGACGGCGGAATGAGTTTTAGGGTAGCGTTAGGGCCGAGGCGTATGATATGAGACATTGTGATAAGTAGTCTGAAGTTAAGGGTGTTTTTTTTCTGTGAAGGAACGTTCAGTGGGGCGAACTGGATAGCTAGCTTGTAGACCTGCACCCATTTAAAGGATCTAGAGCTGTGGACACACCGTGTGGTCATTTCTTGAACACTGACAGTGCAACTGTGGCTTTGGACCAAACAATACCATGGGTAGCATTGACGACCGCATCTGTGGGGGCCTGTGGATTGATCACGGTGGTAAGTACGATTAAAGCGCTTGTGCAAGCGGACAATGACGATGAATTCGAACGTCCACTGGCATTGACCATCCAGACGGTCCAGAATATTGTCTGCAAGTGCAGCCAATACATAGACGACTGCACGAACAAAGTATGAGCACTGGTTTTATATTTCAAAACAGATGGGCTTCACTGACTGCTGAATATCCTATGAGATCTACTTAAGGTTGAAGGTTGGCCGCAGAAATACGATGCCGCATCAACCAACTCGGACGAGCGAGCACCTTTTAATTGAGAATTTTTCCAATTCCATCTCATATAATATTCCACTGCCTCTCCATGATGCATGGTGGTGATCGATCAAGGTGCTGTGGACCTCAGCGTGAAGTCAAATGTAGCACCAGAACCCACATTATATTATTATCAATAAGCTTCTACTTCGACCTCGATGGTATACTCTAAGTGTTGGTTTTTTTGGTTGCGAATATACATGATCGGCGACAACGACCTGCAATGATAGCATACCATCACCATAGCTTGAGAATGTATTGGATATGATCGAGGACGGCAAGGGAAATGGGAATGCACTGTATTGGACTGTTGAGTTGGATTTGGAAAAGACGTAACGTCTGTGTCCTGAAGAGAAGAGAAGAGTTGGAGGGAAGACTAACCTTGGACGAACTGGAAATGGGAACGGATGGAATGACTTGATGAACATTAAAGTTGAGCAATAAAACATGATGATCATCTCATAGCAAGGCCTGGATGGTCGAACTCAATCCATTTTTACTTGTTCGGATGCCGCCTTTGCGTTTGACCGAACGATACACCGCGTTGACGTTCTCCGAAGCTCTAAGCTTGTGTGAGAGATAAGTACTACGAGCAAGGAGGATGGGGACAGGATAATCATGTGATGTGACACACGCGAACAGTCACACAACGCGTCACATCACGCGTAGAACCTTTCTTCTGGATCAACCAAGATCATCGTAAGTTTCAGAAATTTCCCAACGATGCCTCCCCGCAGGTCGTCTCGCTCTGCGCGACCGTCTGCCGAACAAGAGGCATCAAACTCTGCGAAACGCAAACGAACCGACGCAGATGACGTAGAGGAGAAAGAGAATGCGCCCGGAGCACGTAGGACATCGACAAGAGGTAGCGTGGGCCCTTCTTCGAAAGTACCTGCAGCACCATCTTCCAGAGCATCTGCAAGAACATCTACACGTACATCTGCGAGACCGAGTCGCGCGCTGCAAGAGGTGGCTGAGACAGAGGAGGATGAGGAGGAACCTGTGAAGAAGAAGTCGAGAAACTCTGTTGAGGGTGAGGATGATGACGAGGATGAAATAGTAGAGTTGCAGAAACCAAGGAGAGGTCGGGTCAAGAAAACTGTGCAGGACGACGACGACGACGAGGTGCAAGAAGTTAAACCTTCTCGGAAGTCATCCATGAAGCCCCGGCCAACTCGATCGCGCAAGGCAGCTGCGGTAGAAGACTCAGATGTAGAGGAAGTGAAGGAACCTACTGCTATCTCGGAAGATGAGCGGGAAGAAATTCAAGAAGTCAAGCCCGCCAAACCCAAACGCGGTAGAACATCTCGCAAAGTACCTGAAGACGACGACGACGATATTCAAGAGATCAAACCTGCGCCCAAGGCTAAGGGAAGGAAACCTAAGGTGACAAACAAGGTCGAAGACGATGATGAGGCACAGGATATCAAGCCCACAAAGCCCAAACCAGCTCCCCGATCCCGCAAACCCGTCAAACCCGAAACCAACAATGACGAACACAATCCCATCACTATATCCAGTGATGAATCTGACGCTACCCCTGCTCCAAGAAGCCCTAAAGTGTCTTCTAACAAGCAGAAGGCAATGCCGCTTCTCGCTGATATCGAAGTAACGCCCAGGCCTCGTAAATCTGCCCCTGCTACACCCCCTAAGCATCCCTCACCCACTACCGAGGACAACGCAGACGACCTCGACGGATTCCAAGAGGAATTTCTACAGACACCTCGACGTGTACCGCGTCAATCACAGCTGTCGCAAATGACACCTAAACGCCCTGCCCCACCGGAGGAGGAAGAGGAAGAAATTTCCCTTCTTGAGCCCCGCGTGAAACCCGTGTCTGTGATGCGGCCCCCGCCCGCTGAAGAACCTTCAGGTCCTAAGCCGCGTCTTGTAATACACAAGATGGTGCTCATTAATTTCAAGAGTTACGCTGGCAGACAAGAGATCGGGCCCTTCCACAAGGTGCGTTCCTAGTATAATCCTTATATTTAACGTGTACTATGCTTAACTTCGATGATGGACAGTCTTTTTCGTCAATCGTAGGCCCCAATGGTTCCGGGAAATCGAACACAATCGATGCGCTCCTCTTTGTGTTTGGTTACCGCGCGTCGAAGATGCGCCAGGGCAAGCTCTCAGAGCTCATCCACAATTCTGCACGGTATCCTGACTTGGATGAGTGCAGCGTGGAAGTTCATTTCCGCGAGATTATTGACCTCGTATGTTCCTTCACTTATTAAAATCCTACTGAACTAAGTCACTCAACCCCCCAGCCTGGACCCGACGCATACAGTGTCGTCCCGAACTCCTCACTCGTCGTCGCTCGCACAGCGACCAAGTCCAATAACTCTCGGTACACGCTCAACTCACGGTCATCCACCTACACTGAGGTCCAAACACTTCTCCAGGGACGTGGAATTGACCTCACGCACAAGCGTTTCCTTATCCTGCAGGGTGAGGTTGAATCTATCGCACAGATGAAGCCTAAAGGTACTTCCGAGCACGATGACGGACTGCTTGAATATCTGGAGGACATTATTGGTACTGCTGCGCTCAAAGCGCCAATCGAGTCTGCTCTCGCTGAGGTGGATCGACTAGGGGAGGAGAGAGCCGAAAAGGTAGCCAGATTGAGGATCGTGGAGAAGGAGAAGGCGAAGTTGGATGCAGAGAGGAAGGAGGCGTTGGCATGGCTGAAGCTTGCGAATGAGCATGTGAGGGCTCTCAGCCGGCTGTGGCAGTACTATCTGTGGAAATGTTTGGAGAATGACGAACAATTCGCGGCGCAGATTGTGAGTGCTTGATTTTCTCCTTCTTTGCGGTGCTGATATGTGGGGCAGGAACATCTGGAGAAGGAGCTTGAAGATGAGAGGGAACGGAACAAGGACGACATCACGCATCTAGAATTGCTCGAGACGCATTATAAGGAGCGCGAAAAGGCTTACGAGGTATGAATGCATGTTGCTCTTCCTGCTCCAATGCTGATGTATCCTATCCTTGCAGGAAGTGAAAACAGCAGCAGAGGAAGCGGCGAAGGACAATGCTGCACGCGAAAAGCAGTCCGTGAGTCTTGAGGAGCGTCGGAAGCATGCGAGCGCGAAGGCGAAAAAGCTGAAGAAGGCGTTGGCAGACGTAAGTTTTCTCTCACCCCTTTCCGCTGTCGTTCGTGCTTCATTTCATTTGACATGTCCCTATGTTTCACCTGTCTCCCTGCTCCATGTTTATTTGCCGACCTCCATTGGTATTCTGACTTGGGACGGATCTAACGTGTCGTTCAAACAGGATGAACAGTCGAAAAAGCAAGCCGATAACACGATCCAAGACTCCGATGCTAAAATCAAGGCGAAGAAGCGTGAGATTGCGGAACACGAGGCGAACCTGGAGAAAGAAGAGAAGGTACTTGAAGGGATCCGGGATAGCTTGAAGGGTGGGTCCATGGTCTCGCCGCACTCGACACTATTATTAACATGGATTGGTAGACAAAACGCAAGTCTTTCACGAACAGATCGAGGCGAAGCAGAAAGAGCTACAGCCGTGGACTGCCAAGATTAATGTCAAACAGGCCGCGATTGACGTAGCCAGCTCTGAACGGGACGCACTTGCAAAGAAAGCCACAGGGCTCAAAGATGCCGTTACGCAAGCGGAGGGACAGTTGGTTGAATTGCAGGTAGAGCAAGAGGGCAAGGTGCTGTTCCAATTTGTACAGTGGGAAAGATGACGCTGATGAAATGTTCAGCTGAATGAGCTGAATTCCTTGAGGACGAAAAAGGCGGAGGTGCAGAAGAAGTTGAGGACATGTGAAGAAAAATTCCACGTATGTCTGCGGGCATGCAGGGTGTGATCGACTTTGATGTTCTTTTTCTTTCCGTTCAGGCTGCTCAGGCTGGCGTCCAGGAGCTTCGATCCAAGGCAAGTTCCCTGCGGCAAAAATCAGAGGAGGCTAGAGCATCCCAAGCGGCCAGCACATCGCAGAACAGAGTTCTGGATAGCTTAACGAAGCTCAAACAGACTGGTCGGATTGATGGGTTCCATGTATGGCCTCATCCTCTGTGCAGCCTTTCAATCACTCACACATTATCTCACAGGGCCGACTCGGTAGCCTTGGCACGATCCCAGACAAATACGACGTCGCAGTCTCTACCGCCTGTGGCTCCCTTAACAACATGGTTGTCGATACTGTCGCCCAGGGCCAAGCATGCATCGAGTTCCTGCGCAAGCAGAACATCGGGCGCGCGTCGTTCATGGTGCTGGAGAAGCTTCCCACTGATAGACTCAACGAGCATGTGGTCGCACCCGAGGGTGTCCCGCGGCTGTTCGATCTCATCAAGCCAAGGGATCCCCGCTTCGCATCTGCGTTCTACAAAGGCGTTGGGAACACTCTTGTTGCTGATAATTTAGACCAAGCGAACAGGATTGCATTTGGAGGCTCAAGGCGCTGGCGTGTCGTCACGCTTGCAGGGCAGCTGATCGATTCATCAGGAACGATGTCGGGTGGTGGGAACCACGTCTCGCGGGGTGGAATGAGCTCGAAGCTCCAGGCGGAGGCAGTGAGCCCACAAGTTCTGAAAAACTATGAGCAAGAGAGTGAGCAAGCGGCGCGTAGTCTTGAGGCAGCACAGCAGGAGCTTCGCGATATTGAAGCAGAAGCCGAAAGGCTTACTCAGGCAGGCCCGGAAATAGAGCTCGACATCGAAAAGCTCACCATGGGCGTCAACAATGGGAAGAAGAAACGGCTGACTGATGCTGAGAGGCGTGTGCAGGATCTCAAGTATGTGCAATCCGTCTGTCGTACGCAGGATCGCTACTGAGTAGTTTCTAGGGCACAAAGCAAGCCCAACGCTAAGGATCTTGCTCGGATCAACACTCTAGATGCCGAGATTGCATCATCAACAGAGGAGCTTGAAGAACTGCAGACCAAGACTGGCGCCATTGAGGCCGCGATTAAAAATCTCGAAAAGAAGATTCTTGAAATCGGTGGCTCCAAGTTGCTGAAGCAGAAGTCCACCGTTGATGGTATTCGCTTGCTGCATCAGCTAGCTAACGAAGAAGTCACCAAGGCCGAGGTTATGAAGGCTACCGCAGAGAAGAACATCGTAAAATATACGTCTGGGGTTGAGACCAACCGTGCGGCGCTGGAGGAAGTCGAGAAAGAGCTTGAGGAGCTGAAGGATCAGCTGGCGGAGGTCGCACAGTATTTGGAAGACCTCAAGGAGAAGGTGGAGGCCGCGCAGGCTGCTCAGGAGAGCTCTAAAGACGATCTCGATCAACTCAAGCAGCAACTCCAGGAAAAACGCGAGGAAATCGATGAGTTCAGGAAGAAAGAGGTTGGTTATTTGCTATGCAATTGATCTTTTGGTACTCACGGGTTTTGCAGCTTGAGATCACCCAGAAGCTTACCGACAAGAAGAAAGAATCTGCTGAAAATGAGCGTGTACTTGACCACTGGCGGACGGAACACGACCAACTTAAGCTTCATGAAATCGAGTGAGCCATTGTCTATCGAATATCCCAAATTTCGTGTGCTTACAGCCACTCGCAGTGATGATGACGACGACGATGAAGAGGAAGGTGCTGACCAAGTCGCTGGAGCTTCGGGCAGTGGTGAAGGGGCGGTGAAGCAGGAACATGCAGATTCTGCACCTCCGAAAAAGGCTCGTCAACGATCGCCATCGACTGAGCTATATATATACAGTGCCGATGAACTTGCACGCTTCAAGAAGAGGGATATGCTTGCAGATTCTGAGTATCTTGATGGTATGTTCCACCGCTTTATTAGTTACACATGATTGCTACTAACTGGACCGTCCGCCTCAGAGAAACTTAAGAATACTAATCCAAACCTCAACGTTCTCAAAGAGTACAAGAAGCGAGAGGAGGAATTCATGAACCGCGCCAAAGACTTAGAGGAGACGACTGCAGCACGCGACGCGCAGAAGCAACTTTACGATGGTCTCCGGAAACAACGCTTGGATGAATTCATGGCAGGTTTCAGCTCGATTTCATTGAAACTCAAGGAAATGTACCAGGTCCGTGCTGACGTCCTTTGATCGATCAGAATTCTATATTTTCCGTTAGATGATCACTCTTGGGGGCAACGCAGAGCTTGAGCTTGTCGACAGTATGGATCCCTTCTCAGAGGGCATCATTTTCAGCGTCATGCCTCCGAAGAAGAGTTGGAAGAATATTTCAAACCTCTCTGGGGGCGAGAAGGTACATTCTGCTTTGGGGATCAGGGAACACATACTAATCATTCTCCAGACCCTTAGCTCACTTGCTCTCGTGTTCGCTCTGCATGTGTTTAAGGTAAATCTCATCAACTCCGTGAGCTGTTCCAGAAGCCTGAACCTGTCCTAGCCTACGCCACTTTATTTCATGGATGAGATAGATGCAGCCCTAGACTTCAGGAATGTCTCGATTGTGGCAAATTATATCAAGGACCGAACCAAGAACGCGCAGTTCATTATTATTTCTTTGAGGTGACGATTCCTTGTCTTCCGAGAACTACCTTGGCTAATATGAATTTGCAGGAATGACATGTTTGAGCTCAGTCACCGTCTCATCGGCATTTACAAGACTGCAAACGCAACACAGAGTTGGTAACATGATTATCTTATGGGACATGTTTCTCATTTTTTTCTCGCACAGGTATATCCATCGATAACCACGCTCTCGCTCGTCAAACCATCAAGGCTGTGCCGACAGCAGCAGCCTGAGATACATGCACGAGCATTCTGTAATGGTCTGGTTCTTGCTTTCTATCACGCTTTGTAAATTATATGCATTGTGTAACACATGATATCGTCGTATCACTCGTTTTACTCGCCTCTTCAAACTGCACCACTGGGATGAACATCTAAAAGCCATTCCCCCAGAGACTTTGTGCCCCAGCTAAAGCTGATTGAAGCCTCACCATGAATGCTTGGAGCAGGGAAGTCATCTGGCAGAAGTAACGGTGGTTCGGAGGTGAACCAGGGGTGAGTCAATGCGTTGGAAGGGCGGAGACGCTGAGATGGTTCGTATACAAGGAATCGGTGGATAAGATCAACAGGAGTTGGTGACATGGTCTCTTGGGGCATGTGTGTCTTTGTGTCAACTTCATGCCGCTGCGCGGATGAAGGAAAATTGGGTAGGATAGAGGGAAGGTCAATAGGCTCCACATTTATAAAGGACAACTTGTTTGCGTCCGGTAAACTCAAGAAGGACTTGTTGGAGTCAGAAAAGATCCCAGTAAGAAGCCCAACGACACTCACTGGCCAACTGGTCTCATTTGGCGAACCTCGTATCTTGAAAATACTCCATGCTAAACCAATCTCTCCACGTGTGGAATCAAATAGTGAATCCCTGGCCCATCTGTTCGTGGGATCTCCGATGCGAAGTCCCTTTGGTATGATGAATGGTTCAGCTAGCTTCGACGGGCTTTCGTCGCCTGAGTCAGACTGCTCATCGCCCTCAAATTCGAAGTCGTCGTCGTCAAGCGGATTATACAGACGAAGGGTCGTGAAGAATTCCGCAAAGGTTGCTCCAAGGCTCCACGAGTCGATCGCGAATGCGTCATAGTTCCTAGGCCCAAACAACAGCTCAGGGGCACGGTATGGTCTACGTCTGAGTGAGCGTCCGGTTCACACTCGGTCAAGTAGGAACACACCCTGTAGAAACTTCAAAGTACATCTTTTCCGGGGTTTCGACCCATAAATCGTTTTTCTTTGCGGCAAGATCTTCCCCTTCCTTCCAGGATATCCCAAAGTCAATGAGCTGGACTCGGCCAGATAAAGTGAGAAGTATGTTGCTTGGTTTGATATCTCGGTGTGCAATTTTTGCCGTCTCGTGAAGGAATGTCACACCACTTAGGATTTGATACATCAGCGATTTTGCGAGAAGAACGAAGCGCTGCTCGCGTGGACTCGGACTTGACGGATCTGCGGCCAGAATTGAAATAAGTGGATGGGGAGAAAAGTTGTTCGAAGACAACAATGCAATCAAAGACGAGGGCACGTATGGCATCCAAAAGCTCATGGTCTGCAGGCCTGAATCAATGTCATGGCCTAAGATAGAAACCACCTAATGGTGAGATGTAAGAATCGCCCGACCATTCTCCGCGAGACTCACATTTGGATGACATGCGGAGGCGATCAGCCTCGCCTCTTTGATGATGTCGTGCGGCTCTTTGGCATATTTGCGGTGGATGGTAGATGTCTTTATCGCAATCCACTGAGTCTGCCCTTCATGCTCGAGCAGGCTCTTTGAGACAAGAGAAACCGGGCCTTCAGCGACTGTTTCGCGAGAACCGCTCGGCTGTCACCGTCATAGTCAATCATAGCTATCTCGCAGAAATGGACGCATACCAACCATGGATGATGCGCTGCTTGAAAGGGAAAACGTTGGCGAAGAGCGCTTGTCTCGCATCTGTTACAGATAGACCTACTTTTCCATGGCTAACCCTTCACTGTCAGATTTGGCAGTGTCAATCATTTCCAAGTCATGGCACCGAGTCGAAGCGCATGTAGTCACGGTGAAGAGTTGGGTTATTTTTAGTACGCGATCAGGTTGTATTATCGCACAGCCACACAACACCGACCAAGTGCTGTGGAGACTCGGACGTCGTCGACTGACCATCAAGTCTGATTTGTGTATTATCTTCTTATAACGTTTGATTCTAACTCCAGCATGGCAGATGACGAAGACAAACGTAGAACTATCAGTGCGTTGGAGGCCGCTCCCGATGTACTTGTCCTCAGATCTCTATCACAGACAGACTGCTCCTCGTCAATGCTCTAACAGAGGGCGCTTTGGAAGAGATGATGGAAGACCCTGAATATTTTGACGAGGATACTGATGAGTTCCTTGGAGACCTCAACTGCACAGATGCGTAAGCCGCTCGTATATAGAGTGGTGTTTTGCTGATGCACTCGGCATGTTAGATTGGGAAATACTGGTAAGTTGTATTCAAAGGCCACTCCACTACTATTGACATTCGTGAGGCATCGGGAAGCCCTTCACCTTGCGTTCGTATCGCAAGCTCTAATATTGTTGATATGATTCCTCATATCCATCTTGTGATCCTTCAGTGTACGTCAAGGGCATCCGGCTGATGTAGCGGCTCTCTGTGGTGGGGCTGTCGACCTTGATCTCCACAACAAGAATGGCGATACACCACTTTATATCGCTTTGAAGGAGATAGACGATGCTGAGACGCGCTTTGATATTGTTACAGAACTACTAAGTTGCGGCGCAGAGAGCAAACAGTGCGTTCCTCCCGTCTTAGTCAAACGAAGTGCTGAGTGCCCTCCCTAGGACAATGCCAGGCGGGCTCACACCACTGGAGTACGCGAAAAGCCGATATCCTTCAGAAAAGAATTTACACGAGATTGTCGCAAATCCTCCAGGTGATGACGAGGAGGAATTACAGCCAGAACAATTGAGGAAGCAAATGTATGACACGAGTGATTTTGTAGACTGTAAGATATTCGCCGATTCTCTCCTGATAACCACCTTCACATCCTACTACTAGATGACGAAGATGGATCAAGCCCGGAGTCCGAATAGATGATATGCTAATATCATTCACACTCCTTAAATATTATAGACCAACGGGGCTCTTCAAGACCTAAAGTTATTCATGTACTTTTCGTTCCAATCTTGCTTTGGGACATGATGTTAACACCAACGACCGACTTGTACAACTCGACAGTTTGCAACCATATGATATATCTCTACATCGTGCGCTGTGCACATTGAACAATATTTAATCATCTGCTCAGTGCTTGACCCTCTCGAGCTCAAAGCAGCAAGCACGTACAATTTGTATTTGTAGCAAGAGCAGACGGACAAAACTACTGAGGTGACTCGGAATCCTTCAGAGAGCACGAGTTATCTGTATGAGCGCTTGTTCCTGGATCATATACATATCTGAACAAGAGGCATCTTGTGGGGCTCATTGTAAAACAGCAACGAGGCTGGCAGTGGAAGCCTGGACTCGGAAAGAACGCGATCAGTAAGAAGATTAACGGATGAAAATTTTTCACTTCTCGATCGATCCAGAGTCCAGACTCGCATGCGACGCCAATATTAATGACAAAACCACCTTCGAAGTTAGGGGTCCCCGGGAGTAGTCCGATGTAGATCCTCGAGACTCATCGACATCGACCATGCTCGAGTATTTGTATAGATAAGGGAGATTCGGCAATATTGATCAACCGACAGCTCGACCGTCATCGATTCATCTATAGCCCCATAGCAGAGAAAGATGATCGGATGCCAGTTATAAGCAGCCTGACCATCCCTCTCTGTTAAGTAGGAATGCGATGAAAACACGGAACAAGTTGCACCAGTCCCACGCTGGCGTGGACATCCAGGCCATCCGGCTTCTCAACTGGCATCACTCCCACGACGGTCGCGCCACCGCCACAAGCTTGTCTAGACTTAATACTGTACTGGTACTCATACTTCGCATCAGCAGATTCTCGACGATGTCTCGACATGGTGACCGATATGCATATGTTGTCTCCGGCATGTGTTTCCGGTAGTTGGGCGCTGCAGTACTCCCACGGGTACATACAGCGTGAGTAAATCTGCAAGTACTCGAATGTAAAAGCTGAAACCTTGGTCTGTCAATTAGCTGTCACATACCATGGTGGCCAGTAGGAGATATATTGACAAGGATATGTTTTTATAGCCCCGGTTCGGCATTTTATCTTGAAGAGCAATTTTCTTCCCTGTCGGTACCCCTTACCAAGGGCCTTACCATATTGCTACTCTCCGATTCCCTGGTATGTGCCCGATTTATCTCCTTCATTCTTCTGTCTTTTTCAGATCCCGCAATCTGTAACAAAGTGGAGCCTATCAATAGGCCAGTTCCTGGGGTCGCTACACGTTCCTGTGTTAAGCGCATCAGCTGCGGCCGACCCAGCTATCTTATTCAAATATTCTTCTTGTTGAACTTCCGTGCCCGACGGTCTCGTCCAATGCCAGCAAGCCTTGTAGATTGTGAATGATTGTGAGTCCGGCACATTTACCCTCGTTGATCAAACACCCAAATGTACCCAGATCGCGCTGGCTGTTACGGTGTTGTACTCACAAGGTCACGCTAACGACTGCTTATAGCAGGTAGCGGCACCGAGCACGATACACCCACGGAATTTAATTAAAGATCAATATGGGCGGCTGCCGTCCAAAAATCAAGGTTCCCTCTCCAAAGCTTCAAGATCCGCTGCCTAAAAGATGGTGCACAAAATGGAAACAATGTCAAGCTCATGAGATCGACGGGATCTTTATACAACTTCACCCTTGGGCAAGTTGCGACATGAATCTTAGTAATTGCTCATTCTAAAGTTTCAAGTTTGGGCAGTATGACGCGATACGGTTGAAGGTTATGACGGAAATGGTGACATCGGTAGTAACTACCCGCCGCCACCATCGCATCACGAGTCGGGGCTTTGTCGAACGTGCACCAAAGGGCTGTGAAGCGTAAGGCTTGATGACGGCAGATTCGGGCCTGTCGTCTGATGAACTGTCTTGAGATAGAACTGCCTTGTACGATTTCCTTGACTGCTAAACCTTTTCGAAGACACGTCCGGACTCCACGCTGACGACTTCAGTTGCGAAAACGATATGTCCGAGTCAAGTGGGAGGAAGGTTCGTAGAACAGTCAAATCATGGTGGTCTAACTTGAAGTAGTCCAAGATGTGGCTGTCTTGCGCTTGTCAGGCTACCAAACGACGTTAGGGAGGGATATCAGCAGCATGATCTGCCTATCCTGGTTTTTATAAGGTTTTTAATGCTATGACTCGGATACCAGGGTATGAGAACCTCATGCGAACTTGTGGCGCCGCGACCGGCCGATCTAAGCCTCAGGAAGCATGGATGTTTGAGTCGATCTCTGGAATTTGGAAGTACTCGATAACAGCCTAGCGTTATCACTATCACAACAGCAATTCAACTCTGTACAAAGATAATGATAGTGGGGCTATCGTTGCAGTATCTAAACGCCCGAGCATAAAAAACGAATAAAAAGACTCGATGAGGAAGATCAGTTAAAAGGTGGCATTTAAAATAGGGTGAGGGTGAAGTGATCATAAAAAACACTGCGGCGTCAATTGCCAGATCTTCAGGTTTTGCTTCGAATGATGTATGAAAAGCATATCTAAAGATGGACTTGTAGGGAGTGAGATTGCCAACGTGCACCAGCAACTAGGAACGAGCGTGAACAACGTGCCTACTGTGTCATACGCAGGTGTCTGATGAGATCTCGTTGACAATTGTTGGAGCGATCCTGATCAGCGAGTATTATGATTGAAGCCGGGGCGGGGCAACTTACTAGTAGCAGGCCTGATATGGAAAATTGGTCCAGCAGATAGTCAATCAGCGACAGCAGAGTGGATAACTGTTTAATCTACTGTCACCGTTATCGTCTTCTCGCCAGTAGTCGAAAGATAAGTATGAAGGCCAGTGCTCGACGGATGGGATGATCGGCTTTAGAACGCGACACAAAGCCATTCCCACATTGATGTATACAAAGCTTCCGCATAGCACGGCTCCTCGCAGTGCTGTGTTCCGTTGAGCTTATCGCAAATAATAGATGCGGTTCTTCAGAAAGATGGCTATGTTCCGGGATGAGGTAGGTATCCCAATTGTGAGCAGAATACATGGTATGAAGGGTTATCACAACGATAGCGTAAACGTGGGCTTAGCCATCAAGCAAGCCTGAGTAATGCATAAGAAGGAGAGTAACCGAGTGGGTACGAAACTTTATCTTCCTTGGCGATTGGCATCAGTGGGTGCACATAGGTCGAAACGGCTGCGGGAGAAATCGGACAAAGAGGAAAAAGGACTCGGAGATGAGAAGTCCGAGGATGTCCATCGGTTTCGAACATCAGAAGCGGCTCATTGTAGAAAGTCAGAGATAGATTCTCGGACGATGTAGGATTCTGATAATCGATACATGCAACGATAAAGGAGATACAAGAATGGTGGAGAGTGGAGCCACCACTCGACTATGGCAGCTGGAGCCCCGGAGGCGGATGAAAGCGTAAGCAGGAAAGACAACTCACAGAACAAAATGAACCACCACATGACGTTATGGGAAATAAAATGACGCGACTATGAAACAATAAACTGAGTCAGACGCGCTGGAGGCTGTAGCCCAGACGGATCTGAGTTAGCTAGGCGCAAACGGAGCATGAGGCTGTCAAGCGAAACTCGGTACAGGATACTGGCCTGTACTGGGTAAGTCGCGAGCATCAACTCGAGACTTAAGACCTATCAGATGACCTTTGGTGAGACAAGCCTGGTTTAAAGTTGCCGGAACATGTTGAGTGGCAGGATCCTGGCGTGTCCGTGGGATATCTTATCGGAAGTTATATGTAGTTGAAGTTAAAGCGCAAGAACATTTCTTGCACCATACGGGCAGTGTCTTCATGTATGTTTTGGCGGTATACAAATTCTTTGCGCAAATTATGCGCAGTATGGACGGAGTCATGATAATGATGGGGCTAGAACGAAATCTAGAGCATATGCTGGCTTGATAAAGGACTAGGCGCTGCGAGATAAGGAACGCGTGAGATCTTAATGCTCCGATCGGTGGAGTGAATTCGTCAAGAATATTACCATTTTTAGATGCCGAAACCCGATCAAATCTCGGGAATGACTTATGTACAGGATCACTCCAAAGTGGTGAAAATAAACAGTTTCTGTGGTTTCAACTGGTCTCATTCGTGCACCCATCTTCTTCTACCTCCATTCGAGGGTTTGTACATTCAACATTACACTCTGAGAGGTATTTAACAACCGTTCGTTGTTTTCTATATCACTGACGTCACTTTAGATGACTTCTGATGTCTACCGTGCCCGCTCAACAACGCCAACTTTCTCAAACGAACGCGGCCAAGGAACTTTCGTATCATTAGGCTCCCTGCCCAGACGAAAGTTTCAATCTCCCACTTTTTCACAGGGTCGCAAGTTGGCAGCATTCCATATTCATGGTGCTGACGACCCCGATGATCGCTTGTCTGATTCCCCGGACGAGCAGACCACTATTCATGCCATACCCCCAGTGAAAAATTCACAGGGCGCTTTCAAATCACCCCCGGCTGTTCCATTTCCCTGCCGTTCCCCCTCTCCCCCTCCTTCATCCCCTCGACCACAACCATGTCGTGCATCATCAATAATTCTTCCTAATGGGAAGCTACTCAAGTCATCACTTAAATCATCAACTTCTACCCTCTCCATCACAACTCCTCCACTTGAACCACAGCGCATTAGTAATCATCTCCACTTACGTTCCCGATCCGAACCATCCACCCCTACTGCGCATGCTCCCAAAAATGTGCACTTCCCCGATACTGACATTGGCCTGGCCTCTATTCGCATTTTCAGCCGCTCAGCCCGTCCAGCAGCAGTCAGCACACCCGATGATGAAACGGAGACTGAAGGCGAGGATCAGCCGTCAACTGGGTTCCCCTTCCCAAAATTCTCCTCTACGATACCGAATTTCGAGATGGACACCGCTATCTCATCGGTGGTGCCCACTACTAATCACCCCCATCATGCGAATATCCTAATCGAATCACTCACTTTCTCGCAAGCTTCATCAAAAGGCGTTAACCCTTATTTAAGCGGTACCCTTTTGGTGCGCAACCTGGCATATGAGAAGCATGTCGCTGTCAGGTTTACCCTCGACGAATGGCAAACTGTCAGTGAAGTGAGAGCGCAACATGTTGTTTCCGTTCCATCACTTCCGCCCGTATTTTTACTGTCTTCCTCGTCGAAAACAACTGTTGGCGACCTCGTTGCTCTAGGGCCAGACAAGCGCGGGTGGGATCGTTTTTCTTTCCTTATTCGCTTGGAGGACTATGCACACAGCTTGGGGTCACGAGTGTTGTGGCTTGCTGCACGTTATAGGGTGCATTCGACATATCTTTCGTCGAAGGAAGTTTCTGGTCCTGGTGGTGAATGGTGGGACAACAACAATGGCGGAAACTACCGTGTTGCTTTCCGCCCAGCGCGATCGACATCTAGCAGGACTCGAAGAGAGACAACACCTGGTGTGCATTTTTATTTTTCATATTTTTCAGGACGGTCAGTTAATAGTTAATTTTGTAGAACCTATTATACCTTCAATGGTGACACTACCCGCGCCCCGTGAATATACTCCCAGCTCATTTACTTTGCCATTGAGTTCAAATTCTCCCTCGACATTCGGACACAATATGACATTCTCGCCTTCCTCACCAACGAAAGAGGGGAAGGAGAAAGTTTCATCACCGTCGAGGTCAGGGAAGCTCCGTCTCACTAACTATGCTGCACCTCCTGTGGTCTCCCATGTTTCTCCCACTTCCTCTTCGTCTCCATTGCCTACGCAGCGCTCTGATTCTCCACCCTCATCTCCCTCGCCAGCCCAACTCCCAGCGCTCCAAGTCTCTATCACGCAATCGCGTGACTGCGATTCCCCTTCACCTGCTTCTTCGACGCTCTCGACGCCCTCCGCTTCACCCAACATAGCCCCGCGCGTGATGATTGGCGGGCATCCAGCGAACTACGCATGCCCTCAGCCGACGCATATTGATGACTGGGAGTGGATGGCGCCGACACAAGCTATCATGTCGAAGCGGCCAACCGCGCAGAGGAATGTCACAGATGGGCCAGCTGATCTTGCCGTATCAGGTGTGCCTGGAGATTCGCTGTATAATGCGTTTGTGACGCGGTGGTGCTTTGCCCAAGGGTCGCCCACTGCGGGTTCATATCACGGGCCACTCACAGGCAATGACGAGGGTATTTTGGCGTGAGGGTGCAATTTTGGAGAAAAGACTTGTACGATCTTGACAACCTGGACCTCACCATAACCGTTGCCCACCTTCGACGGTAGCACTCATGCACTCAAGCTATGTAAGCACATACACGCTGCTGTAGCTGTTTGTGCACCCCATCTCTTGCTTCGATTCGAAATGTTTCTGTCCCTTTGTATTTATTTCGGATCTCTTCATGATCCGTACTCAGCTGTACTAACACCCCACCATCTCATGCTACTGACATCATATCGTTCCTACTGCACACGTCTTGTGGACAATATTTTCCCCTTGTTTAGCACCGGATTCTGCTTCCCTTTCATATACCTACCCACTCTATTAAAAGCGCTCAGCGCACCGCATTGACATATCACACTCTGACGTTCATGTACTCTCTGTTGTATAATAAGCATGCATACTTATCATAGGGATTTTGGAATACTTACATGGTGCTATTGAAAATCGTGGAGCACTTGTTCTTTAAAACTCCGCTTGACGACTTGTCTTCGCAATTGGATGTTCTTCAGGTTTGTCGTTTGTGTGGTCACTGCTCCTCATGCATTCAAGGTTCAGGACGCCTCACGGTCGATATCGTAATATTCTCATCACATGCCAGCGGAATTCTGATTTAGGGCTAGCTATAGTGCCCCTAGACTGACGTCAGGCGCCTAGCATCTCTGTCTGCCTCATCGTTCCTGACCAAGTCCACACAATGACGCCATCGCTTGCGGCCATCGCCTAGGTTCACTCAAGACTTTCTTGGTCAGTAGCAGTATTTTCATTTTCGAAGGCTCAAGCTCATTAATGCCTTTGTCCGAGAAGCAGGAATCAATAATCGATCAGTAGTATATTGTTCTTCGCGGGAGTGACATGTCATGAGACGGGCCAATCCCCCCGAGGCCCCAGCAGCGTTCCTTCTGATAGAAACGCACGGGCCAATCTGCAACTTTAATCAGTCTCCGCACTCAATCGTGATCATACTATACGATATTTACAAAGCACGCACTGTCTGCTTGCGCTGAACGCTTTTGCAACTTCCTCTCTTTCAGGAAGATCAGAACAGTCCATCGGTGGGTCGATGTCTTGATATCCATCGCACTGAGATGCTAGCCATAGACGAAACACCACTATCGGCCTGATTAGTATGACGCTATTGCACTAGTCGTGGTCATCACCTTGGCTCACCCCTTAGCTTGTCAGGCGCCTTTAATTTCCGAGCCTTTGGACCATCAATGCTGTTGTTGTTCAGACTCGCACGAAGGAACTAGTAACATCTTTTCTTGAAACACCTCGTGACTTTTTGGTGACTGCGCTGGTCCTCGTGAGTCATCCGTGCATCTCGCAACTTTGTCCTGGAACCTCGTTTACGTCCGTTCTGCACAATAGAGATCAAGTGCGCAGTGGATCGATTATTCGATTCCTTCCTCCGGGAGCATGTAACAATAGGCATGGCGATAAATAATGTATATGCCGCTGTGATGCATGATACATCGATAATCGATGTCCTTCAATGTCACGCGAAGGCTCGCACATGGTGACTGCCAATACCCAACTGGCTTCGTTCACGACGCGATTTTGCAAACAAGGCTGTCACGAGATGGCTTGTTTGCTTTTGGGCTAGGTCAACGCCGCCGCGTCCGCATACATCGGAGGATGTCTGACAATGTATTGTGCGTTCTACCCCATATTCTGATCCAGGTTTATCTTGCTAGCATCGTTCTCAATCATGTCGCGAAGTCCCTTGACTCTTTTCTTAATAACCCCTTGTTTGGTCCGCTTCCCAACTTCTGGCATTAGCTTTAATCTTAATCGAATAGCTCCCAGCTGCTCGTGACGACTGATACTGATGCCAGAGAAGTAAAGTAGGTTTCGTACTTTCTACTGTGATTATGGGGTATCCCCGCCCAATCCCAGCCCGCGTCATTGGGGATTACGCATAAGGTGTATGTCAGGATCAGGAGTACGATCACAGAACAATCATTTGAATTCAGATTGACGGCGCAGGTCTGGGCTCGACTTCGTCCGACTTCGCCTTGCTGACCAGTGAACAAAGCCCTAATGGGCGACTCGAATGCCACATATGACATCTAAATATATACTTCCCCTAATAACAGCTGATCGACAGTCATCATGATATATTGATCGTCAGGGCATCACAATGTATCATGAACGTCCCCGAAGAAACGTAAGGGGACTGATAGGCTTTGGTCGCGCTCAGATAGTCATGAAGAACTATTTTTGAGCTTGGCGCCAGCCCAGGGGGCCAAGATCATCACATATTGAAAGCGAGAAGAGTCTGGACAGTTGCGCAAGACATGATCAGGGATATATTTGAAGTAGCGCTAGGCGCTGAGCATTTTCAGAATTTGATTTTCCTTTAGTTCTTCGATGACGATTATAGCAGGTAGTATTCTTCAACAGTACGTGTGTGGTGCAGGGCGTACGTCTCGTCGTGTCATTGTGGAATGATGATTGCAATAACGGCGGTCTAGTTGGTGTCGGTCCTTGAAAAGCACGACCAGGTGCTTCGTACAATTACCGGTGGAACGGTTTTTAACTAAGGGGTGAACCAAGTTTCATCAGTCAAATATTTCGTTCCTTCACCGATCTCCGCCAGCTCTCAATAACCGACCGATAAGCATCATCAACACGTAGTTTTGTTGTTGTGGGGAACGGGGATTCCGTAGTAATGCCGGAACGTTTCGCAACCAGTCGGTCTTTCAATGGTCACCTTGAAGAATGTGAGGATAAACTTCAACTGGAAAGACATGTAGTACAGAACGCACTGATATCAAAATAACTCGATCCGCTGCGGGCGGAGTACCTGTAGCATGTCGACGATAGAGCGCTTATACATACACGATAGATACCGAGGCCAGGTCCCAGCATCCTACATAGGGATGTCCGACACAGGGTCTATGATAACAAAGGGCAATGAATTATATTGGAAAAAAATTGACATTTCCGGAGAGGTAACAATTGTCAACCGTCTCAACTGAAGTAGCGCGATCAAGCTGGGAAATAGAAGTTTTGTTGCGAGCACCGCCGGAGTGTTCAGCTGAATCCCAGAATGCTGAATTTGTGCCTAGCGGCTCCTGTAATGCCAACCCTTGACGACAGCACTTGTATCAGAATGAGTCGAAGAGAGGTTGGTGTTTATGTTTTGAGGGGATTGTACACGGTGCATAGCGACATTAATCGGTCCAAGTACTCCAGGTTTTGAAATTTTGGCACGGGCAGTAACAATTCACCGAAGTAGCGCGAAGAATACAATCCTACCGAGACGGCTGCAGCAGCTGGAGAGTGGAAGAGTATGTTGTGAGGGCCACCGGAATGTTGCAAAGGCTAGGCGACAGATCGATCGATCAGCCTTGACCACGCCACTCGGGTTGTTCGTGGAAGTAAGTGTATACCAGCCTGGATCAACCACCCTCAGACACACTGCAAACGCTGCATGGTGGTTTGCCGCAAGTGAATTGTTCTTGTGAAGGGAGCTGCGCTTCAGTATGAGACGGTCATGCAGTTAATACAGCTCCAAAGGCTTTGGTAATGCAGAGTAGTGCTCGCCTGGCGGCGCGAGGGTCAGTCACCCTAGAGAAGACGAGGGTAATTAATATGATGCGTCATGGTGGCAGCTTTTCACTCACTAGTAGTCGTGTTTCGCCTCTGATATCAAAACGTTCCATGATCATACACACTACAATTTGCATCAAGATTCAGGGAACAGTCCGCCTATCAAATTACAAGCGTACCCAACCCAGCTACCGATTTAGCTCAAGGGTCCAAGGGGAAGTTAATATGCTTCAAGACCCATACCCGCTACCAGCAACATGTCCGCGGGATCCTAGAAACCTGAACCCCCCGATTCAACAGCTTTAGCGATTATATGCCTACATGCTTTCGTGCGTGAATTGGCCCCCCTCCAGTTCACCTGTAATAAATCCTCACGGGCAAAGTGACGAAACCCGAGTGCACAATACGTTTTTTCAGAGAAGACTTTACTCAAAAGAAAGTTTATTGGCCTCAAAGGATCAATATCGTAGTGAGTAGAACAGTGCCCAATATAGGCCACAACATGGTGTAAATCCGCGCGCTGTGGATTAGGGAAAACTATAAGTGACGACAATATGCGAGCCACTGCATCTACTGTGTACGTCTGGCTTGTGAGCTCCAGCAGAAACACACGAATAAAGTCGGCTCACATGGAACCCGCTGCTCAGAAGGAACTTATGAGATGTAAAGGTCTTCTTTTGTGTCTATTCCTATAAGCCGACAGAAAATCGATGGTCAGTGGACAAGCGACATGTACCCGAATAACACGGAGCACTTACCAAGTTCCTCTCTAACTGGCTTCAGCTCGTCCAAGTAAGCCTGGTACTGCTGTTTGTTCTCAACCTTTTCCCTAATGCCCTCGAAGACACGGACAGCTGTTGCATAGTCATTTACGCGGCGTGCTGCATGGAGGGCAGCCTCAACAACGCCAGGTGAAGGAACCAAGTCGTGTGCAAAGCAGTTATTGAGGCCACGTTGTACCTCGAAGAGGTCCTGAGCGCCTTGGAAGAAAGCGACATAACGCTCAGAGAACTGCTCAAAAGTTTCTTGACTGTGCGAATCTGATGATGAAAAGCGATGTGGTATTGTGAGGGCAGGGGTCGCAGCGCGACGAAGGACGACATTAGGCCGTGCGCGAAGGACGGAGGAAAGTATACGCTGGCTCATGATGACGGTGAAGAAGGAACACGACGAACGAACGACGACAGCAGTAGAGAAAAGTCTTAGGCGCGGAGATAAACGTAAATCGGTTTCAACGCCGTTAGCAAGGATCCGGAAAGCTCCGAAGTAAAATGTAAGTCCACCAACTGGAAGCGATCAATGATCATAACTCTAATGGAGTGTCTACGACTATAGTCACTTCTAGCTATGTGGTCCAGAGGCTGGACGGAATCGCAGTGATGCAGATGATACAACCTTTCCATAGTCACTTGCCACACTTGTCTGTCTACGCAGGTCGTCGACTGCCAGGAGCGTGGATTCGAGTACTAGACTAAGCCCGGTATACTAGCTTATTCGGACCGTTGAATGAAAAAGACCAAAGTGTTTCGGCTATCCCCGGCACAATGTTTGCCTTTGTTTGGTTTAACTGTACAGTTACCTCAGCCACACTTGGTCGCTGTTCAGAACAACCTGTAAGGCTTAGCAGCATCCTCAAAATGTCGACCGACCTCCAGTGGCTCCTTATCCGCGTCAGTTCGCAGTCCTAGCGTTCCATAGTGCAAATGCTGAAAAAAATGTTTCATATCTGCAGAAATACAACTCCTTCCTTGTGAAGAAGGTTCCTGAAGGTCCCATCTTCTCCAAGGAGCCTGTATGTCGTGTGTTCGAACTTGCACACGAGTGCTAAGCTTACCTTGTATCAGGGTAACCTCCTGAACCTGCACTCGCACAAATACTCCGGTCTTGCTAACTCCAAGGTGTGTAGTTCTACTGTGGTTAAATGAACTCCCTTAAACGTTGTATCAATAGACCATCGACATCCAGAACTCTGAGTCTGGATTGCAGATCACCACCCGGAAATCGAAAGCATCACCACACGCTGTTCGTCCTGCACGGACAACCGCAACCGTCCGCAACCGCTCAGGAGGCCGTCGTTCATTGGGAGTCGTTGCTTCCGTCGCGAAGAGGGGGTACCGTCCCGACCTGAGAGCCGTGAGTGTGGATGATTTATTTCTGGACATGGAACAAGATTCCTCTTGATAACACAAAAGCACTCTCGTTAGAACCCGCTGGAAACCACCGTAAGGTGTATGAAAGTTGGGCGTGGACATGTTTGCAATATCAATTCTGCCCTGTTGGGTTATTCGTCATAATTCATATCTATCACTGCGCCTTTTTTGTCGCAGTGGGCCGATATTGACGATTACAGTCGTCACAACGTTTCTGTTGTACGATCTGTCAAAGAACTTGTGCTGACACCTGTTTCTTCGCTTTCTAGGCTGCTCTTGGCCGTTCCTCTGCACTGCTCGCTGCACAAAAAGAGAAGAAAGCTTCGCCACCAAAGAAAGTCCGGGGGAAGAAGGCAACAGCATTCTTTGGATGATTTATTTGTTTGTATCTCTAGTGCCTCCATTGCTATGTTCGTCCATGCCGAAATAAGCACCCCATGCTGCACATTCCTAGTTGACTGCAAAAATAATGGTACATTTCAGCGAGAATGTCACCTATACAAATACTCTGGTGGTACAGCGGTGCATTATGGTGGTACACGATATGATCATTCTCTCCGATGAATCTAGCATTCTCAAACAAAACATGACCTTTTCCTAAACTCCGAAGCTCTTTCCCGCAGGTTGAGCGATCCTGCCTCCACCACCATAACCACTTTTACCACCGACATGGTCTTTGGTGGGCCTACTAGCTTCTGCCTTGCGATAAGCGCTCTCTTGAAGCCTGTTGTCGTCGTGGTTGCCCTGTCCATGATGTTTCCTCTTCTTTGGAATCTCTTCTTCATTGTGTGGAGGAGGGTGTGCTTCCTCCTCGCTGTGGCCTGCCGGTCGCGGATAATCAGTGTCTTCGGTCTGATTTGCGCCAACGTTTGGAACAGCTTCACTGCATGTTGGATCGGTTTCAAGGTCGATCATTAACCGTTTAACGTCGACTAGCACTCACGAGTTGGCACGAGGCCTCGGGCGCGAGGTAACTGAGAGACGACGACGACCCACTCTGACTGTAAGGGACTCGTTAGTAAGAACTGAGCTGCATGATTGTTGTCACTCTTGAACGTACTTGCAGGGGGGTGCTGAGTGACTGTTGTGTCGGACATGATGAGATATCTTGAGGGATGGTGATGACGGTCAATGTGTGGAGCCTGCAAATTCACCGTGGTGTAATCAGTCGGCGGACCTAACCAAGATCCGGTGACCTCAAATACCAGACCCTTTGCGCACGGACACTGCGCAATATAGCTCGATCACTGAATATATAGGGCAATCTTGCCAAGGATAAGTTGATCAGTCAAGATACTCGTACAACTGGAGCCCGTAAGCTATGATATATGAGCCACCACGGACTTCAGTTCTGTAGCAGTGAGCTGCAATTGCGCGATGTCACATCGAGCGCGTCAAAAGGTTGTTTTTGCATGTGTCCATAGCATGGGGACGACATAAATGTGAAAATGACATAGAAACCGAGATAAACGCGCAGAAAATTTACTCTTCCTCCTCCTCCTCGCCACCCTCTTCTCGCTTGGCAGCAGCGGCAGCGCGCTTGCGCTTAACACGGCCAGCGCGTCCGCCTCCGTATGGCGATGTGAGAGCGAAGTCGATGTGCTTCTGGGAGTCAAGACGGACGACGAACGATGGAATGTTGACAATTTGCTTGCCAACGCTGCGCAATGTTTAGAATTATAGCGATCGAAAATAGGATGCACATACCGAATGTGACGTTGTCTAATCAAAACACGGGCGTGGTGAATGCTCTTTGCGAGGTTGGTCTTGAAGACCTGGGTTTGGAGACGACGTTCCAAGAAGTCCTCTACTTTCAATGCCAACACGTAATCCAGTCGCATGCGTGTCTCGTCCAACACACCAATCCGAACGAGCCGACGAATAAGAGCGTTACCCTCGAAGAGACGCTTGGGATCCTTGTCATCAAGTTTGAGCAGCTCACGGGCTGCACGACGGATTTTGGAAAGGATGAGACCGATACGCCAGATCTCACGCTTGTTTCGTAGACCGTACTCGCCGGCAAGCTGTAGGATGCAAAACATGAGATTTTTGCATTTAGAATTCCGGGTTAATTATACCTTCAACTCAGCATCGAGACGAGCTGAACCGAATGGGCGACGAGGGACTTTGTATCTGTAGGATTAATGCGATTCGAACAAGGCCATAAATCAGCAAGCTGAAAGCCTTCCACTTAAGTGGATCTTGAAGAATGAGACGCTCACGTCTTGCTGTGATTCCGCGGGGCCCTAAAAAGCTGCTCAACAGTCTATTCATCACGTCCAACAACATTCGTACCTGGGCATTTTTCTTGAAGGATGGCCTTGACGGTGTACACCAAATGTTGGTGGCCTAATTAGGATGTAAGTTTCGCCTGTGCCACAACTGTAAAGTACCAAGCAAGCCACCCGGAGATTTCCGGTGCAACAAGCTTTCACATACTCAATATCGACACCGCCGCCGACGACATTGTACGTCTACCCAATTCCATCCTAGCCCGCTGCTGACGTTCTACTCAAGCCCTCAAGATGCCTCACTCATTCGGTTACCGCGCGCGCACGCGCGACATGTTCAAACGGGGCTTCAAGGGTCGGTCATTTAATCAAGTCCGTGAAAGACTCGACGACTGACATTGCGTGCAGACCATGGCCCCGTCAAAATGTCTACGTACCTCATTAACTACCGCATTGGTGACATCGTCGATATCAAGGCCAACGCCGCCCAACAAAAGGGTATGCCTCACAAATACTACCACGGGTGCGCTCCTTCAAAGTGACATCTGTCCTTGATCATTTAAACATCTTCCAGACGGACTGGCATTGTCTACAACGTCACCCCACACGCCGTCGGAGTCATTGTCTACAAGGTTGTAGGCAACCGTTATATCGAGAAGCGGGTGAACCTCCGTGTCGAACACGTGAGGCACTCAAAATGTCGGCAGGAATTTTTGGACAGGGTGAAGCGCAACCATGATGCACACGCCGCTGCAAAAGAGAAGGGTGGTAAGTGATCGTGACTTCTTGGTATCCGCTGCACCCTATAACTCGTTGTTCAGAACGTGTATCACTGAAGCGTGTCCATGTTCTCCCTCGTGAGGCACGCACCGTCTCGATCGCCCAAAACACGCCGCAAACGATGACGCCCGTTCCTTACGAGACCACCATCTAATTGGAATTGTGTTCGTGCTACTATGAGATTTCCACTATGCATCGTATACTACTGTCATGCTCCCATGCAATCATGACTTGAACACATCATTACCCACGAATCTTTCCAGATCGTACGTCTAACAATCGAGTAAATGCCACGCCACATCACCCTGGTTTTTGGTTTTTTCGTCGTTCAATTTGCGTAGTTGGGTTGCTGGTCAAAATGAACAGAGTACACGAAGGTCAACAAATCCAGTTCATTGCCAGTAAATATTTTGAAACAAAGTCCTAAGTATGTGTAAATATCAATGAAGACCATAGATACCTATGGCGAATGAATACGGTATGTTTTGTTTACAGCCGGCGGTTTTGGTATGTACGGTATGTTTTGTTTACACATCAAGCTAGCTGGCGGTTTTGGTATGTATGGTCAGTGCTGTTTCTCGGTGCCCTCGACTGGATCGAGGCGCAGGTGGTGGGCCAAGGATGAGTGAAGACATATGCTGGTCCGCGACTGACATGCCAGTATGCTCAAGATATGAACCGTCATCGGATGAGCCGTCCCATGTCGGTGTCTTCCATATGTGCACTGTACCGTCATGACTGCCTGTCGCTAACATGAAAGAATCGTCGGTGGAATGATTCCATGTGACGCATGTCAAATCCCCGTCGAACACCTGAGGCCTAATGTAGTGGAGCAAAATTGCAGTATCGCGTTCCCAGATATGGATATCGCCCGCTGAAATAGAGGATTCAGAACTTAGGTGTTTGAACAAGATCTCGGTCGAAACACACCTTTGCCCGCACATAACACTAGCTGATCATCCATACCGCCGAAGTAGCTTGGGCCCACGAAATCCACACGAGCTGTAGGCTCATACGTGTGACGGAGAATAAGCCTAGCGGTCTGGGCATGGGAGTTTTCACGGTCTTTATTATCCCGAACTAGCTCCATCTTCCATAACTGCGGAGGTGTCTGCAAATATGAAACGGCATGGATAGAGAATCTGACGCGTATGGCTGGCAACATACCTTGTACCCGAATGAAACCAACACATTTCCACCCCTTTTGGACACCTTGATGTCACGCGCGTCGTTGAAGACGGGTATTCGACTTTTGAACTCTATCAGTGAAATGGTTCGAAGAAATTGAAGGTAACCGACTTTTCAAATGTTCTGGTCTCTATATTGAAAACTGCGGTAGTTGGTGTCAAAAGAACCATCCGCGGATACGCATACCACTTACCTACTATACACTTCTCAACCCTAGTAGTGCGGCTTGGATGCATCCCGTTGGGTGCCGCGAGCAGTGGACCTACACCTAGCAACCGCTGACCATCTGGGGTCACAGCCACATTGTGCAATTGGATGCCACCGAAGTGGTAAGAATCAAGAACCTCGAAGAAATTCAGTCAAAATTCCCTTGGCGCAGAATGGTCTAATCACCCTTCCTTTGATGTCCTGGTGATGGATCCATGAGTAACCAGGAGGCACAGATGATAATAGTCGCACTGACCAGTTTCAGAACTCTGCTACCTTCGACGGAAAAGAATTGTGCTATCGTAGGAAAGCATCAGCAACATGCAATCAGACAAAAAGGATGGAATCAATCACTCTCGTTCGCAGGCAGCCATACAACGGAAGACACAGAGTGCGGGGCGTTCAATCGTTTTTTTACAGTGTCCATCCTCCGTCCAAACCTTGATTTCACGGGGTAATCTCGTCAAGAGAAGGGTACTAGAATCGGACCTGTCCGTTCACGTTTGATGTTTAGAAACAGAAGAACATTCACTGCACCACATACCATGCAACCTGACCGACGAAGCCTCGCACGTGTACCAGAATGGCATGAATTGAAAAAGCATCCTAGGCAGGATCAGTGTAAACAACGAGTATGAAAATGCGGCATTTCAGATGCTTACCTCAACGCGAAAGATGACGGAAGATCGATCCCAACTTAATGCTTCACCTCAGCACGAGAAGCCCCGATGAACTTGTCACAACGCACCTTGACGTAGCCAGATACCTACCACTCGGGGAGAATTGTAAATGCCGGACAAGGGCGGTGTGTACGGAGAGGTCCTGCACAGGTTCTAGGGTTTTAAGTTTGGGGATTAAAGCGGCTCGCGGTCCTCGAATAGCATCCAAATCCACGGACGAGGGCCGGGTGGGAGACATCCCCATGGCAGAGTTCCAGTCGAAGGATGGGATCCGTTGCGGCATCAAGGGTCGCCCCGCTCGCTGCTGTTGCATTACGATGACAGAACGCACAGCTCCTTTGAAGCGCTGACGAGCAATGGCTGGGTGAGACGGCTTGCTATCCTCACTCGCAAGCCCTTTTATCGAGGTGGAATGCTCAGTAAAATCCGAGCACACTGATGTAGAGATGTCACGGTGGTGAGAAAGATCATCCATTGGCGGACCCTCCTGCATGGTGGGAAGTGTATGGTCCCTACGTCCAATCCGGGTGATCATGTCGGGGAACTTGAAAGACACTCGTTTTAACAGGCCGCTGATGGCGAAGATACACCAGTGAATGATATTCCGCATTGCCACGACTAGACAGAGGCGGAGCATGCGGTGGGTTGCTTCATTGATTACATCATCCAGCCAGATCTGACCATGGTAGCGAACAAATACCCAACGTTCTGCGACGAACCAGGCCGAAACAACAGCCAGGCCGAAGGAGGTAACTGCCTGTGATTCGGGTAAGGATGCGTTTCAAAAGAGACTGCAACTATGCATGGACTTGCCGTGAAAACAGTGGTGAACGTGGACGTGACGAATCCCTGAGTGTAGATATTATGTCTTGGAAGTCCTTTCTGCAGCAGAATAAGACCCATACCTGTTCTGTAGCGTATGTGAACAGCATCAAGCCCACGGAAAAGCATGCCACAGACATCACGAGAAACACTAAAGGCGATCGTTTGATCCATATCAACACCCACCAAGGTACCCTATGGCCTGGAGAGCGACTGAGGACTGTCATCTAACCGGACACAAGCGGTACACGGAGAAAAATGAACTTACTACATCGCTTGCTTCCAGGTGAGACCAAGGAGACTATTCACAGCGGCTGCTATACTGAAAACCAACGAAGAGAACCAGAACCCATTGACACAAGTCGCCAGCACGCCGTCCGTTAACCGGTATGAGTACTGTAAGGTCGTCGCCGTCACAACTGAAAAGAATGTTGCGACTGTCGATAAGTTTAGCAAGTTTGATGCTGCATGATGCTGGGCGAATCGAATCGTCGGAACACCTGGAAAAGAAAGTAAATATAAATTTAGTAACGAGAGACTAGTTGTAGACCGATTTCAATAAACATAGACAGATTGATTGTGATATTGTCAATGTGCTCCCCAATCTCCGATGTCAAATCATGGATATAGCGCTGCACTGCTGGATACCGAAATTGACCTGAAACTGGTCTGCACAATTCTCGAGTAGGTCAGTCGGAGGCACAATACCTTTGTACTCCGGAAGACACGAAGCCCAATACTAGACAACAGAGTGAACAAAGAAATCGATTGCGTGTCCAGCCAAAAAAAAATACCTTCAGATCACATTCGAAAGCACGCATTGACGTATTGACTGCCTCGTCTGTAAACTCTGGGAACTCGTTCAGGCAGTTCAGAAACGTTACGACGTCTTCTGCGAAACCAGCAAATTGGTCGGGAAAACTTTCAGGATCAGGGTGGGTCTTCTGCAAAGGTTGAATATCTGTGCGCCGTTGCTCTGTCCACTCGTGGATAATCGGCGCTTCTCGAGGTTGACGCGAAATCTTCCGAGGAAACAAAGTAGCTGCGTTCTCACGGAACAGAACTAGCAATTTCGCAAGGCGCTCTCGCAGTCGAAACCCAGAGGATAAGATTCCAACGGAACTGCCAAGCTGGCGAGCAGCATTAGCAAAGTTGCGCAGCTACATAGAATAAGTGTCAAAGTATAAAGTGCACCCAATCATATTCCCACCTCTTTGTCGAGATTTTCTATTCGCCTGTCAAGATTGCTCAGTGTAAAAAGACGAAAGTACGAAGGCATTCCCACCTCTCAAATTTGTTGAATGATTCCGATCCAGTGATTTGCAGTTTCTCATCTACTGTTGCTGAACGGGCATATAAGGCCAAGATTGCGTGCTGCACTGACCAACACTCACGATTGTCATCCTCAAAGGCAGGAGGAAGGTTGACATCTAAAAGTGTACCATTAGCAGTGTGTGATGACCAGTGGGGGTGACTAACCGTTGTCTGGGGAAGACTCGTTACTAAGTTCGTTTAGGACATTCAAGAGACTGATGATAGCCTGATTCCGTTTCGAGTCCCTATACGCTTCACCTCGAGGGTAGGAGTTGGATACACCTGAAATACTTGAGGCTGCGTCATGAAAAGAACGAGCTGCATGAGCTGCCCCAATGCATTGAATCCGAGTTAGAATGATCATGATCTATTTCCTTGGAAAACATACCACGTAACATAGTGAGCCGGTACTATGAGTTCTTTGCGTCCCTGGGATACAAAGGTGGAAGGATTGGAGAATCTAGCCCTGACACCGGAGAGGAAGAAGCGAGTGAAATAAGGTCCTTTAAATACACTCCGCACGGCAGAGCAGCTTTACAGACAACAACTGCTCGTAAAAGTTGTAATGAAATTATTCATTCGCTCAACCTATCTCCGGACTGAGGAATGGTTCAAGAGGGTCTAAACCGACGGCATGTTATCGCTAGAGAACTCAGCGATTGGAAGCGTGATGGCCTTGCGGATTGGGCAGTGACAAACCCTGACGTCAACGTGGGCTGATCTGTGTGCAATTGTAGTGTCGACAATGCTGATACGGAGTAAATCGATGGATGCACGGTGAATCATGCTTGAAACACATAAATATGGGCCGGGAGGGTAGCCGGCAAGACTAATTATGGGACAAGTTTCAAGGCCAAGTAATGTGCACACTACACAACTACTGGTGGCGATCAAAGGTGTGGAAGCAACGTTTTCAGGAGTGAAGTAAATTAGGCGAAGGAGTGCCAAAACTGCCTAGTGAAAAGACGCTTAGCCATCACGAGCGGTGAAGCGTTGTCAGTATTACGTAGGGAAAGTTATTACCGTAACCGTATTCCATTCTCTGCTTTGCATTCAACAATAGTAGGCTCCGGGAAACGAGTACTGGACTCTGAGTACAGCACAAGTCAGCGGATGGCTCAGGCTTGACTTGAGTATTAATGATTCAGTATGTCTTCATTTTCAGAACCCCCCGCAGTGGTCAGCGCTCTGAGATGAATCCCGCAGCATGGATGTGCATTTGACTGAATCACTCGCGGAAGTTCAACCAGACGCGGACATGACTCTAGCCTTATGTGCTTCGATATCTTCTCGCAGGAAATGAGTCAATGGACTCTTTCATGGGGATGCGGTGGAGTCCCACGAGTCACTCCAAGTAGAAGGAACGACAGTCTTCCATCTATCAAGGTCCGACTACGAAAGAATACAGGTCAGCAGTCGTATGACTCGTATCCCGTTCTTATGAGATCATTATTGACTCAGACTGTGCTTGCTGATCCGGTAATCTGTTAATTTTATAGATCTGCTCTGAGATTCTGCCACGTAACAGTGCCACCAAACAGTTGCCTCGCGATGGAGACGAGAGCGAGGATCCCGTTCTTGATGGTCATGATCCAACATTCGAGTCACCGCGGACATGGGCAGCTCCTTTTTCTTCGCAGTCAGTTTCGTTGTTATGACCTTATAATATCCACATCGTCTCTCGAACCCGCCCACTGATAACTGCGTGGTACGTGTGTAAGTAGTAGCCAACATTCTACTGTGGTGATCGGATGGGGGTCCTCAAGTGGGTTCTCGCGTCATCCTCATGCAATACTGCGCAGTGCAGATACAAATTATACGCATTTGTTGCCAGACGACGCCACACGCACACATGATTTCGGAAGGCATCAGCCTTGCAAGCCCCTATCATAGGGCCTATCGAAGATTCCTTAGCCATGCTCTATTGAACCTACGTTCTTTTAAGCGCTGAACTTCCGTTTAGAGGTGCATTGCTTGCTATACTGGCAGTGGTTTTGTTGCGCTTAAAAGTTTGTCGCACCATTTGATGTCTGTGGTTCGTTGCTTTTTTGGTTTCAAGAAAACAGGTTTACAGCTAGCTCTCTAATCACTGCTTCAAGGACAAGCAAAGGCACTTAATCGGTATTCTCCTTCCATGTGGTACACTGTCCTTGTGTAAATAGCTACAGACATAACATGAGCGTTACACCGACACAGGAAGGCATGGGTGACTACTTCGAAGGCGATGCCGAATGCTTACACTGCTTAGAATCTGCCGGGCACCGAGCCTTGACGTTCCCGCAGTAACCTTCCTCAGCTGCAGACACGCACTGCAGTCTGTGAACGTAACATAATCCATTAAAGGCACAGAATATCACGTTAAAGTGACAGGGCAGCTGTACGTGGCGTCTACAGCATCGCGCCCGAGAATACTATAAGGATGCCAGAATCAGGGTGTGATGGTCGGCTTTTTGTTCGATACCTCCCTCGCTACGTGATCCGTGATCATGCAGCGGCTTTATTTGTTGACCCGTGTGCGACAGCACACAATGATTTCTGCGCGAGGACTCATTCCGTCGCAAATTGGACGCGTCAGAGCTAGCAAGCCCAATGTTCGATTGTATTCTGCGCACTCGCAACAGGCGCCAAAAGCAGACAACAATCCATTCTTCCCACCAAGCGGAAGTAGTACTTGGGGCAAAGTAGACCCTTCGCTAGTCGTTGACATTGCGCTGAAGACCCTGATAGGGTTGGGCGTCGGTAAGTACATTCTCAGCCGAATCATACACCGATCAACCAACTTCTTCTAGTTTTTGCCGGGGGGAGCTTATACGTGTTTTGGTACAAACATAACGTCCTTTCAAAGGTGAGGATGAGCGATGGATTATACGGGCAAACTTATCTAATGGGGCGGTCTCACAAGATTGAAGCAGCATTCAACGAAACGTGGAATGATACAGCCCTAGTGCAATTAATCAAGCAAGAGCTATCACGGTTTGACCTTCTGACACCCGACCTAGAGCACGCTGGCTTGCAACGTTTAGCAGCAAAGCTCTTCGAAGTAAATCCACGGCGGGAGGAACAAGACTTCATCGATTCCATTGTGAAGGGAGAGACGACAGGTTCATACTTTCTTCTCATCGGACCGAAGGCGAGATAATTGGTTGCATTACCTGGCACGCTAGCGTAATCTGAAAGTATCTTTTATGATGCAGGGGGCGGGGAAGTCTGGAATGGTATTCGACGCAATGTTGAACATACGTAACAAAGGCTCGGTATTTCTCGAAGCGCATCCCGACCTTGAGGTGTTTCGTTTGCGCCTAGGAAACGCTTTAAACTATGAATTTAGCGAGGACATGCAGGCAGGACTGTTCCAGAGACCGGACCCTCGATCCGGCATGAAGTCATCTGTTGACGCTTTCGGCATTATAACTAATCCTGGTTCACAGGCGGTCCCGCGATGGATATTGAACGTGGTACGTGTTCAGAGAAGCTAAGAGTTTGGATTCGAATCTGACCTGGCGGTCCAGCGCTAGATAAGCTACATGAAGTTGCTATGCGAAGTGGACGCCGTCGTCCGCTCGTTCTCGTCATTACCAAAATTCAGAATTTTCATAACGACGACCAAGGCCGAAATCTTCTTTTACAGATTCAACAGTATGCTGAACGTTGGGCCATAAGAGGTGGGGTGCTCATGTTCCATACCTCATCAATCTTTCTCAATTGTATCTAGGCATCGTCACTGTTGTATTCACCACGTAAGCTACCCTGCCTTACTTGGTGCAGCAGCATCTTATGAGTATTTTAGGGATGATGTATGGCCGTATACGTTATTACGTGAGTCACAACAAAATTAACTCGCAAGCCCATTACTGACCTTTCGGCAGGCAAAGCAGCAACTTTGATGGAGGTCAGTTATGCAGCTGCGTAATAACATGCTCGTGCTCACTTTGGTAATAATTTAGGTGCACTCTGTCCAAGATCTGGACTGGGGAATGTCAAAGCGCACTCTATTGTGCAGACGGCCAGATGCTGAGAATGTAGACAGTGTTGTGCACGTTGTGGGAGGACGTCAATCCTATCTCAATAAGGTGTCCAGGGCCGAAGAGATGCTGCAAGCTGCGGAGGACCTCCTCCGCTTGGAGAAGGCGTGGCTTGAGAGCTGCCTCGGGCTGATACCGGATTGCGACAATGATGGGGAAGTTGTCATTCAGGTGTGTTTGGTGATCATGATGGTTGCAGAACTATTGACATCAGTTTCTACAGCAAAAATGGAGTTTACACTGCTGGACTTTGCTCCGAGAGTTCGTACGACTATACAGAGCCAAGCAGAAGGAATTGGGGAACTGTTGGGATCCGCTAAAACTCCCCGTTATCCCATCGGTATGCTATTTATTCTGTTTTCTGAGAACCATGCTTCATGTGATTCTGACACGTTTGCAGTGGCGATGTCAGCAGATCATGACACGGCCCGATTATTTGGACGGTAAAATGAATTTCACTAAACTCACTCACTCAGTCTCAAGTTGCCCAATTTAGAGCTTGATAGGTTGGACGTAGTCTATATTGACGTTAGTGCCGCAACATTGTGACGGACCTTTCTGACGGAATACATCTCAGATGAATTCAAACGTGCAGCCCGACTCGATGCTAGTCCTCCGCGCCGTTATAGACATCGTTGAGAAGGAAGGCTTCGATGAGCTCCTAGAAGACGTCCGCTGCAGAATAAAGGAGATAGAGAACCTGCGACGATGAAGGATTGTCGCAGAACATGTTCGAGCTGTATTGGACATGTAGTGCGCTATAATTATTACCTCTATAGTACTACTGATCCAGACTAATTCGTTATTGGAAACATATTTCCTGTAAACAGGACGGAGGCAAGCCCGGTGATTTTTGCTTCTTTCCTGCACTTCATTCTTTACTGGACTTTGACACCAGTGGAGCTTTCCGCTATGATTTTAATTTTTGACACCTTTTTCTCGAAAAACTCTGAAATTCTCTGACCAGTGGCAGCTGGAGATCCGACGCGCACATATCAGCATTTGCTTCCCTACTTCTGGGCATTCCTTGGATCAGGGCTTACACTGACCAAATATACATCCTATGTGTATAGCTCACGCTCCCTGTTGCACGCTTTTTGACTTGATTCATTCTGTCATGAAACAGGAAGGGGAAAGCGTCCATCAAACTTTTGGTACTTCTATCCTATTCGCAGGGTGGGCATCAATTGCACGATACAGACATCTCAGATTCTCACGGGTGTGGGACTAGTAGTTACAATCGATCATAGTTCTGAAGTCGGTTGCATGCTGTTGCATGGCCACTGGCCAGATGCACCTGATATATAATCAGTACTAAAAAAAAAAAGGCTGATCAGTAATTTTCATGAGCTTTGATGCCAAGAAATTAAAAATTCCCAAATGTGGATGTGCATAAATTTTGCCTGAATGTTCAATGAGCAATAAATATTAATGAATAACCGATACTATGTACTACCACCACAACCGTTGTTTTTGCGCTGTCTGGAATCAATTTCTTGGCCGTATATTGGAAATGGTCACCTTTTATATATCATGATGATTTCAAGTTACTGCTGCACGCTTTCCCGCCCCCTCCTTCGTTCATTCCCTTCAGATTATGGCCAGTTTACCACTGGCAACAATATATGGCCCTGTTCTTCTGGGTGGATTTATTGCTTCTGTGTATGTAACACTCAACCTGACTCAACCTGCGGATTCTGATATATGATCAAATTTTGGATCACGCCAACAGATTATCTGGAATAATAACAGCACAGACATTCACTTATATCAAGCAATACCCCACTGACACACGCATCACAAAATCGATTGTGAATATGGCCTCTTAGTCTGTTCTAGAGTGTGAACACCGACTGTTTATTTTCCGACACGGGACAGGTTGCTTTGATTTGGTTGGTTTCATCGCTTTTGTATTCCTTGCAAAATGCTCAGTATAGCTTCTTGATCAGGGTATTGGACTCCGTTCATACCAGTCTCGTGTGCACGGCATCGTGGATTTTTATGATACAGTGGTCCGGTGATGAAACCAAGATAGACTACATACCTGCGTCCGTGTTCTTTTTCACTCATTAGCCGTTTCACGCCTGATTTTTTTGCCCGTTATTCAGTCCATTAGCAATATCCATTGCGCTGACGGTAAGTTGAATATTTCGTCATGCGTTGTTATAATCTCACAAAACCAGGCTTTCCTTACTTTGATCGTGCACTGGTACGCTACTGTTGTTCTGTATATCCTGTATGCCAACACCATTTCAGTTTCTTTGCGCATCGAATTCACAAGCGTAAGCCTCGCCTTATATTATGGGACCTTGTCACTTACCTAGTGAGCTTCAGTAACCCATAACAATTGGCGGATCAGTGTTCCTATTGTAAGCTTCACTCTTCGATGCTCGGAATGACATGGCTGATCGTGCTACAGGTTGTATTCGCTTTCTTGCGATTGGGTAAGTCGACCTGAGGCTTTTGTGTGCTTTTGCTCACCAGACAATGTCATCAAGTTACTGCACTTGGTGAGTTCCCTTGCATGCGGACCCGAATTCACTATTTCATACATCTGCGTACTAGTCACCACCTTTGAGATGTGAGTTCTTTTGCCGTACTCCTTTATATGGAAACGAAACCGAGCAATATTCAGGATCGAACTGCAGACCATGACTGCATTCAGACACAACATCGAAGTAAGCTCCCCTCTTTTGTGCTCTGGGCCTTTCGATGATCCCTATATTCTCCCTACTAGTGGGTGTTTACTGCGGGTCTCTCAATTTCATGTGTAGTAGACGTCCTTGTCACTACAAGTCTGTGCTTTACGCTGCGCAGAAGTCGGAGCTCGTATTCGAAGTGAGTCGCATAACATTAGGCGGCCCGGATACAAAGCTCACACATGCGGGCAGCATGGACCGTATAATTAACTCGATTATCTTGTATACATTGGAGAACAATGCGCTTACGAGGTGTGTGACTCTCGATTCGTCCATGATCGTCCATTCATGTATTATTTGTTATGCATAGTGCCGCCACCATCATCTCGATGATATGCGTAAGTGAAGCAATCCACTGTGATGCGCCTATCTCCTGTTTGACACTGAATGATGGTAGTGGGTGACCATGGACAACCTCGTTTTCCTTGGGGTCCATTTTGTACTCAGTAAACGTGGGTGCCCCACGGTCCATCTGTTTTCTGTCGCTGAGAAACGTTTTTCAAAATTCAGTTTACGCCAACTCTTTGCTAGCAACGTGAGTAATGCGGTCTAGTTGAGAACGAAGTTTGACGATGTGTTCTAGCTTGAATTCCCGTAAACAACTTCAAGAAGAACGGTCGCGTGGAGGCCTTTCAAATGAGCTTCCGGTTGCTTTTCCCGGCCGGTACCAGTCCAAGTATTCGGTGAGTTTCTTTCTCACACCAACATAACTGTACGCTAACAATACAAAGAAACGTTTGGATCCTGGAAATAAAGTGAAGCGTTGGAGCTGTCGTGAACGTTAGGCGGAGCTAACTTTATTTCTAGTTGGAAATCAATGTAGAGCGGACTATCGAGTATGAAGGAGCCGGTGGCCTTGCGAAACAAAATCCGCATATCCCTTCGGAAAGTCCACCCCCAACAGCTGATCCGGACCACATTGCATCCAACGTATTGTAGTGATTATCTCACCACGACTTCCTCTTCGTGAGTGCTGCGCAAGATCTTCTCATTACCTGTTGGTCAAAATCCAATCTTCCGTCGCAATTGCGTACGTTCACATGACAAGCAAAACACGTCATGTACTCGTCTCCCCTGTGTTTGTGCGTGTCTCAATAGTTATTTTCTTCTGCGTGCATACAATTGGTTCAATCGGACGAGGACTCGGGGGCCGTTGAGAACTACATTTTAGCACCGCGTAGAAATCAGGGGTATGGTGTTGCAGATTATGCATTGTGAGGTGTAACAATTGACGTACTAAAGGTGCCTTGACATACTTATTCGCACGAGTTCCTCTGGCGGTTCCAGACCGGGATAATGGCAGTCCTGATCATATCTGCAATGCTATGCGGTGACACAAGTGCCTACATTGCAGGGCAGCCTTTGAAGCATATCAGCTGATGCCGGCCTACGAACACCCAAGCAAATGCGAGTCCTCGGAGCCGGACTAAGTACTGGTGGTGTTAAAACCCGAATCAAAATTCGGCGGATCAAAAACAAATTTTGGTGCTTGTCCTTACCCCGGGGAGGCTCTTCACCTCAACGCCGCCGATCTGACGAGCAGCACCAACTCGCATTTTGGACTTTTTTTTTAAAAAAAACCCAACCTATCAACATCTCTCACAAAACAACGTTCTGTTGCTATAGTATATGAAATGTTTGGTCAAACCCAGTGTTGCCGAGTTAATCGGGAAACGTTGAGTTAATCATCAACGTTAACATGATCAAAGAAGAGTGCTCTTTTTGGGATAGTCCAAGGAACGTGGTACAAGCCGCTGATTCGGACGTCAAAGTTGGCGTGGCCTCCACACTGCTGGTCCATTCGGTGCTAAGGAATGCAGGCCTGCCAAGCGAGTTTGAAGTTTGAACAGATTTTAGAATATAGGGCCTCAGTCCGTGAAGCTTTGAAGCTTGAAAGCATCACGAAAAGCTGCTCAACAGATACCACATTAATTTCAATATGTAATACCGGCATGTCAATTACTGGGCACCTTATTTGTGAGACTTCTTCTAATAGTTGTAACAGCGGATCATTCATCGTCCTGTCAAAAACAAGCTCCGCGCTCTGAGCCTGGAACAAAAAGACACGGTCAACGTTACGGTTGATTTACGCAAATGTTCCATAAAAGGATAAGGAAGAATTCATGTCTCCTCATTCATTTTTCGCTGGGGCCTACATGCCGTTGAATAGTACCTCTTGGAATACTGGGCCTTATGAATACGTTAAAACCTTCTTAAACCCGTGCAGTTCGCGTCTGTGTTCAACATTCAACCTCAGTTTGTCTGTTGTCTTTTTTCTCCCGCTCGCGATTTCTTCATATTTTGTGCCGCCTTTCATCGTTTCCGTATTTCAGTTATTATTCTTACACACAGACTTCCTGTGCAACATGGTTAGCGTGCCTGCAACGTACGGCGCGATCCTTGTGGGTGGTTTTGTGGCCGCTGCGTAAGTCAGAACTATATTCTTTCCGCCACTAATCCTGATGGGCGTCTCGCCACATTCAAGACTTTCAGGGATCGTTACAGTACAATCATTCATTTACTTCAAGTTGTACCCCACAGATCTAGCCTGGAGGAAGGTCATCGTGAGTGACATATTATTAATAATTTGGTGCTTCGCTGAACCTGTTCTGCGGGAAGGTTGCCGTGATATGGTCGGTCACCTACCTTCAGCGAACGCGACTCACAGGTACTAAGTTATCGCATGCGCAGGGTCTTGGACAGTATTCATACCGCACTGGTTTGTGCATCGATATGGATTTATCTAATAAACAACTTTGGCGATACATCGAAAATAAATGATATACCTGAGTACGTCCTTCCTTATGACAATCGTATGTTCTCTGTTTGACAGTTTGACCACGTCGTGCAGCACTGTGGCGGTGCGTAAATTCAATCGAAGTCTATACACGCTCTCTGATTGTAGTCTTGTGTCAGATGACAATAGCATTGACTGTGAGTCTTAGACTCTTGTCATTCTCAAACACGATCGAAGTTTCTTATTAATTTTGCAGGCGATATTGACGTTCATTGTCCACTGGTAAGTCTTTTCAGTGACACATGGCCAGAAGTTGAGACCAAACCGTGCAGCTTTTTCGCCCATCGCATACATAAACGTAAGCCCCATTGATCGTTATATTAAGCACATACCACATTCCGTTGCAGTGAGCCGTTGTAATTGGCGTATCACCGCCCCTATTGTAAGTCTTGTCCTGTCAAAATCGGATGAGGACTGAACGCCCTTTGCCGTAGTTGGCCATCGCATTTTTGCGGTTATGTGAGTCGTCTTGCTCTTCTTCAGGCCTCTTGGGATTAATGGTTGTTTTTAGGTTCTGCCTCTGGTAGGTCGGCATTCTTGACCACGATACGACTCGCTGATCTATTTTTGCCGCCGTAGTCACAACGGCCGAGATGTAAGTACATGTTTTGTAATGCTACACAACGATCATAACGCCAGTGCATAGGATTCATCTCAAGACGTTCTCAGAGTTCAGGCAGGAGTTCCGAGTAAGTGTCGCACTTTGTGTCACAGTGTCATGTAACGTTATGGGCATGTAGTGGGTTTTCACATTGGGTCTCGCATTGTCATCTCTCGTCGACGTTCTCATTGCGATATTCCTTTGTTACTCGTTGCGAGCTACCCGCAAAGCTTCTTCAAGGTGAGTTCACGCTCCGTGCACATTCACGAAGGCTTACACGAACAGTATGGACTATGTCATAAATTCAGTAATCTTGTATACATTGGAGAATAATTCTCTCACCAGGTAATGCCGAAGCTTGGTCAAATCGAGATTATCAGTTGCTCACTATTTCTATCAGCGCCCGCAACTGTCATCTCCATGATTTGCGTGAGCCTAATAGACATTCATTACTGCTGTATCCCTAATCCATGCTGACTCTACAGTGGCTTGTAATGCCCACCAACCTCATTTTCATGGGGCTGCATTTTGTCATTAGTAAACGTGCGTTGCACTCGAGTTATCCTGACGAAATGATAATTACTGATTCACGTTTGACCTATAGTGTATGCGAACTCCCTGTTGGCCACGTGCGTATACTATAAACCTTTCGTATATGTGCATGTTCGATATTCGCTCTGGTCAGATTGAACGCTCGGAAGCAACTCCGGCAAGAGCGAGCCCAGAGAGGCTTGTCGGGAGAACTCCCTTTGGCATTCCCGGGCTTGGTAAATCGCTTCCGTTCAGACCGTGACACTGTGAGTGGCCAGAAAACAATGTTTAGTCTGATGGCTCATACTTGCTGCAGTCGCGGATGGATCCCATTGGAACCAAGGTCCAGCTTTGCACCTTGATCGTGAGATTAATCTAACTTTTACTACAGCTAGAAATCAACGTCGAAAAAACCGTGGAGTATGAGGTAGATGCAGACATCATGACTCCTTCTCCGTCTCCTTCGTCGACTTCTCCGAAAGCTGCCTGCCATTCATCTGAAGCGATTTTACAGATGGCTTAGTTCACAACCTCCTAAACTCCTTTGACCTATATATTGTCCAACTATTGTCGTACCGTGAATCTTCTTTGATATTTGTCCATCTTTGGTTGCCAATCATTTCCACACCTGTCTTTATCGAAAGCTGTACTACCTTCCTCGCTATGTAGCAACATACATCGTCCCATATCTAATAGTATCTCTGCGTTGTCTGTTTCCGCATTAATGTAAAAAAAGCGTTCAGCAACGCAAGCCAAATCACTCGGACTTGCCCGTGGGATGCTGCTGTCCGGCAAGCCGACTGATTACGCGTCCCCTGTTGGGTCAGTGCCACACCGACTTACTGACATGTCACACGTGTACAAGTTCTTTCCAAACCGCCATCATGTCTTCATCCATTGTTTTGCCCCCCGGGTAAGTTTCTCCGCGCTCGGCAGAAAGGTGGTGTCTTACACCACTATTTTGAAGTTTCGGGTATGTAGCAGCTGGACTGGTATCCACCGCTTGGGTTCTTGGCTGGCAGATGCTAGTCGTAGGCAAGCACAGAACAAAATCCGGAATCAAGTACCCTCAGCGTGCGTGCCATTGCTCCTACCAAGTAATGTCGGAATACTCAAAGGGGTGTTTTGCAGTGTATGCCGAGAAAGCAGAAGCTGATGCTTCTAAAGAAGCCTTCCTCTTTAACTGCGCCCAGCGTAAATCGTCATTCACCGAATTTATGGTCTCATGCGTACTCACGATGATTCTTAGGCGCTCACCAAAACACACTCGAGCACATGCCTATTATTGTTGTGACGTGAGTGTTCTGCTGAATCCCTGTATGGCTTGTCTCATCCGTCTGCGGCCGGTTTAGCACTTTGGTGACTGCAATGAAGTATCCTGTCTTTGCTGGATATGGATGTGGTTTATGGGCACTGTCCCGTGTTCTGTATACTCTAGGGTATACCACTGGAGATCCGGCCAAGGTATGTGGGACTTGATCCATTTAATCACCTGCTCATGACGTCCGTGTAGCGTAATACACGCGGTGGTATACTTGGTGAACTTCCTGTTTTTGGTATGTACATCCCATCATCTCAGTTAGTATCACCGGGTGCTGATGTAGCGACCTCGTTAGGACTTTTCCTTGGCTCCACCTACACGGCATATGATCTTTTACGCTCATCTGCTTGAAACGTTCTCGTTGCAAGTTTCGATATTCTAGATACATCTGATGTGACGGGTTGTAATCGGAGAAATACGTACAGACCGACTTGATCAATACGTGCAGAACGTTGAAACTGCATATATCAAATATCAGAATATGAAATTAGCTTGAGCTAAGATAAGATTACCGTAACCGCGAGATCCACATCCCTTTTAGACAGTTCCAACGACCTAGGCAACTACGAATTGATTGTTTCATGGGTTTATCGCTCCACTAGAACTCAGTTTATACTCTGCAGTCTACCTGCAGGTATGAACGCCAACTTCCCCGTCGTGACAATCGACGTCGTGCGTACCCGTTCGTTCTCTACTCGCCAAAACCTCTGATGCGATGCTAGCCCAGATCCTCGACAGACACAGCGCCAAAGAGGTTCTCACCGCAATTCTCCATTCGATACTTTTCCATAGGCTGTTTGGCACTGTGAAGCCTCAGACATTCGAGGTGTTTGATGTCACCATGGTGAGGTTTCTATGTTTCACACTGCTTAGACAGGATCACCAAGTCGTCGTTACAGCCAGGTATTTCGGATCCTGAGATGGAGCAACTCGTGACTGAGAAAGTGGATATCTTTTGGAAAGGAATCGAAAGCGGAGCGAACAAGCGTGGTCAAGTGAGTTTTTTTTTCTGTCTATCGTACATATTCCCTATTCATTTCGTTCTTCATTCAGATGATAGTAACATTTTCGGAGAAAAAGGCAAAGAAGTCTTGGTTTCAGGTATACGTCGGGGAGGAAGAAGTACCATGGGAACAATGGTGTTTTTCTTTGGTGATCCTTGTTGAACGGAGCGGCTAATACTATGTATGTATGACAGGATTGTGAATGCCGAGATGCGACAACCCAAGTCAGAAGGTGAGGATTTCTCCATCTGACGCAATTTTATCGTAACATTCCCGATTACAGACCGGCAAGAATTCAATGCAAATCTTGCGTCAACACTTTTGAAGGCTTTGAACGTGATGCTAACACATACCTCGTCGGAGCGCGGGCGCACGGCAGTTCCTCTCATCACGAATGCGTCAGGGATATCCCCTTTTCCAATCAAGATTGCTGTTAAAGTTGGTGGGGTTGAGCTTGGTTAGTGTGTACAGCTTCAGAAGGATGTTGCAGATGCGATAAGCACAAGATGTATGTTTTAGACCTTGCATTGATTTTTTGTTCCATTTACTGGCGCTACTTATCTCTCTGACATTCGCTCATGGCTATAACACGTGTGAGAAGGCAGCCCTCTACACCTCTAGAATTAGCATCATTACACAAGGTCTAGATGCGGAGCCTGAGGGTGTGTGGCACTCGATTTCGTCCACAGACACTTGACCGTCATTCTCGACACTGACGACAATAGATTCGGCCACTTACGCTGTCTCGATATCTGGGTCACCTCGAACTGCAAATTCGTACTTGGTGCTTGAGAACACCTGCAAGTAGCATGAGCACTTGGCGGCTGACTATACTTTACCTGCGCAAGAGAGCAGGATAGGTCCTGTATGGTGTTTGGCAGCAGGATGGGATGTTGAAGTTCTCGCGTGGGCACACTTCTTGAAAGACTTGACGAATCACTTACCGGCAACTATAGTTCCGGGAACACATGCCCACGATGAACGGGGCTCCGAAGAAGTACACTAACACAGGGGGTTCAATGTCTCCTGGCGTTACCTGTATCGCGACTTACCGACAGCGCAAGTACTTCGTTTTCTCAGTTCCTATCATATCATGAATACATCTCGAGGAGCATGACCATGCTGGGACATGCTATGTACTAGATTTTGCAAGCACAGTTACAGTGTCTATCCAGGCGAGTAACGCGTCTGGTTTCCGCGCTTCCAGAATCCACTCCTGGAGATCACGGGCAGATGTGTGATTTTGAACAGAGTCTCCGAAATAGTGATCAGGTCCAAGGACGAGATAGCCTAGTGATTTCATTCAGCTCCTTTCGTTGCAAACACACAGGTATGCACCGAGTAATCTCATTAATGCTCATGAAAAAGCGTACTTGGATATCCGCCAGGAAGAGTATCACTTTTTGTGTCACAACACTAGCAAGAGGATCAGAAATATATGTTTGGATACAACCAATTAAGATCACTGATATGACCAACTGGTGTGCCTGTGTTTCACAACGTTCAAGCTTCAAGCAGCAGCTACCCCGAGGGTTGGAAATCGTATACAGGGGGTATTATATCCGAGTCGTGTAAGTCACGTGAGACCATGATCCAAAAATCTCTGTCGCCGAAATCTTGCCCATTAGCTTCGAAATACTAGTGCGCCGGTTCTCCAATAACTTCCTTCGTCTCCTTCCTCTCGCGCGCTCTGCGCGAGCGCACTTTCCAACAAGTCGTCACAATGGCAGTTCAGACCACCGATCGTCCCAGGAAACTCGCTGGGTACGATTTCTACCACCAGATCCTCGGTAGCCCAAAGCTCATCGTTGCGCCGATGGTAGATCAAAGTGAGCTGGTGAGTAGAGTACACGTGAACGTCATCCGTTATTTTACGTTTACTTGACTCAGGCCTGGAGAATTCTATCACGCCGATACGGTGCCCAGGTACGCCTCCGATTACCATCACTTGCTGTCCTTGTCATTCACAATTCAAACCTGCTCAGCTTTGTTACACACCCATGATAAACGCAAAGATGTTCTCTCCCCCTTCTGCACACGCATATCGTGCTCAGGCGTTCAATACTTCTTGTCTCGAAGAAGGCTCAAATGCACACGACCGCCCGCTCATCGTTCAGTTCTGTGCAAATAATCCCTCACAGCTCCTCACGAGCGCACTCGCTGTACAAGATCACTGTGATGCCGTTGATATAAATCTTGGGTGTCCTCAGGATATCGCAAAGAAGGGACACTATGGGAGCTTTTTGATGGATGAGTGGGATTTGATTCATGACTTGAGTGCGTTCCTATCATTATTGTATATAATAGTTCTAATGTGTAGGGCTAATAACGTATCCGTCGGAACAGTCAACGTACTTCATGAAAACCTCTCCGTACCTGTCACCGCCAAATTCCGAATATTTCCCTCCGTAGAAAAAACGGTGGCTTACGCCAAAATGCTGGAATCCGCAGGGGCCCAGATCCTCACTTGCCACGGTCGCCTCCGCACACAACGCGGACAAAACACCGGGCTCGCAGACTGGGCGCACATTAAAGCCGTGAAAGAGGCAGTTCGGGTGCCTGTGTTCGCAAACGGCAACATTTTATTTCATGAAGATGTAGAGAAGTGCCTGGAAGAGACCGGCGTGGATGGGGTGATGAGCGCTGAGGGGCAGTTGTATAACCCTGCCTTATTTGCTCCTGCATCGCCTGAGAACCCATCATCGACCCTGACAGGTGCACACCCACCCCATGCGGACCTTGCGCTTGAGTACCTGGCTATCGTTAAGAGCCTCAAGACGCCAACGTCAACTGAGCGCGGTCAAAGGTCATTTGTTTAAAATCATGCATCCTGCTCTGAGCAGGGAGACCGATCTGAGGGAGAGATTAGGACGGATCAGAGGGTCGAATGTCGTTGAGGAATATATTGAGATTGCGAAGGAGATGAAGGAGCGCATGGAGAGGGATGCTGCAGAGGTGATGAAGGGGGGACAGACGATTGACGATTTGATCACGATCGAGCCTACGACAGGGCTCAGAGTACTGCCGCATTGGCTCTCCCAACCGTACTTCAGACCGCTCAAGTCTCCAACAGAGGCTTCGAAACGAGCATCTTCACCGATACCTACCGCTCACGAGGACGTGAAGCGGGCGAGGCTTTCTGGGCAATCTGCCGTAGGCGATATAGACGCCTCTTTGTGATTGCCATCGACTGTGTCCTTCACCGTTCGTTCATATAATATATCTCGTCCATCCATACAATACGACACATAAGGTAGATCGCTGGCTTTATTACGGCGTACACAATGATACAGTTATCTCGAACGTAACATGGAAAGGAGAAACGTCCACACCACCTATCCATCTATCACATCCAAGGTTCGTTCTCCCCGCTACAATCCTCCACCAGTTAGTATATACTCGATCGCCGAGTGCACATTTCCACCAGTAGCAAGAAGCGCTCTAACATTCTGCGATGCATTTGTGAACCCCATATCTTGTAATTGCTGTTTCCAAAATATAAATCCAAGAACAAAAAGGCTCATTGGATCACAAGACGCACCTGCAACTGCACCTGGAAGCGTTCTTCGGGTGGCCGCGAATCCGCGGGTGCAGCAGGAGGCGCACCGAAGCCACCGAATCCGCCTAGACCACCGCCACCGCCACCTCCAAAGGCGGTTTGCATTTGTGCGAGAGCCGCAGGGTCGAACATGCCAAATGGGTTGGCTCCTGCGCCTGTGCCTGCACCACTAGCAGTCCCTGCGCTTGCTGGTGGGACAGGAGGGAAAAATGCTGCGAAAGGATTTGGAGCTGGTTGGCTACCTGTGGGGGAGGCAGTGGGGTTGGAGGAGGCCGATGATGCAGGTGCTGTAGATGGATTGCCTGGTGCCGGGAACGCGCCACCGCCTGCGCCGGGGAAGCCAAATGCTCCACCGAATGGACTGGCGCCTGCGCCCCCACCCGCACCTTGGAATGCTGACGCCATCTGTAGCATCGAGCGGAAGGATTCGGGATTTGATCTAACACGGATCAGTATGCATCTTTAGGAGTAGTGGTAGACAAAACGACGTACATCATCTCTCTGAACCTCTCACTCTGGAAGACTTCGCGGACTTGAGGGGCAATAGCAGCGAGCTGAGGATTGCTCGCGATGATTTGGTCGAGAACAGCGGGATTACTCATGACGCTGCTCATCTGCTGGAGGAATTGGGGATTCTGCATCATTGATTGCATCATGTTAGGATCGTTCGGGTTCAGACCCATTTCTGTAAATGGGTTGAAACCAGCGAGGGCACCGTAACCAAGGTGAGAGTTGAGCTGTGTCAATGGGTCGTGGGGATTCTGGCCAGCTTGCATTGTGGGGAGGGGCGGGACTGGGACAGAGGAGGCTTGAGAACCGGATACGTTTGAGCGAGCGACGCCCTTGACCATGTGGATGGTGTGAGATGTTTGAATTTTATATGTCGACAGGACATCTTCATCCTGTGCAAGAAATTATTAGTGGTCATGAGAGGCATATGCAATGATATATACCTTCAATACTCGGCCTTGTGGATACAATACTTGAATGAACGAAACCTTGACAAATGCATTAACACGCACCAGAGTATATAAGCCTCTGTCGATCAGCCTCTACATCAGACTTTTCTGCGATGGCACGTTTGAGGTCAAGCACAGTCTTGTCAGTACTGATTGTGATCTGCAACTTGAGCTCGCTCGGTCCTAGTTCTGATTAATATGTTTTGCAATGATGAGTTGTGGATTAGTCGCACCCTTGACATTTATCTGAATTTCTTGTGGCGTTGGGTCCATGATGGAGTAGGATAAGCGTGCACTGGCAGTGGCACAGGTAACATCATTAAGGATGGTCTTATCTGCTTACTACAGCGCGGGAAGACTCCAGAACCCTCCCATCTGTCGGCGATTCGTTCTCAATTCTTGTTCAACCTGCCCATCTTCTGCTTTATCGCTTATTATCTCTCGTATGTATACACAAAATTTATGTTTGCTGATTCATTTCCAGGATATAGGTCTTTGTACTGCGTAGTAATTTCTATTACAAAATCTCTCTATATCTGACTACGGTGGCACTAGGTGTATTGCCATAAGCATCGGCCGTGCTTCATAATAGATTGAACTGGGACGATGCCGGTGGGCGACGCAGGGCACGCCACGTCGCTGCCTTTCGTAGTACAGACGTATAAATGGTTTATGTGCATGGTCTCCACTGATGACAGCACCCAATCCCCACTGAGTGACAGCATGACCCCTCAGCTCAGTGAGCACTGTTTTATTGCTGTCTCCCACTCCGGCACTCCAGTTGGCTATCAGGAGGAGATCGCTAACGTACAGACATATGTATCTGAGCCTACAAACCCATCCGAGTCCAAGGGCGTCATCCTCTACTTTTCTGATGTTTTCGGTCCTTTTCTTCCTCAACAACCAGCTCATTATGGACTATTATGCTTCTCATGGTATGATTCCGCGCAGGAACTGTAATTGTCGTATGATTTCCCGGTTTGACCTGTCCACAGGGTTCACAGTGCTCGGCCTCGACTACTTTTTCGGAGAACCTATCCATGAATGCATGAACAAGCCGGACTTCGACAGGGCGGCGTGGATAGAGAAGGCGTTTAGTAACGCTAATACCCATACTCGGCCATGGGCTGACGCTGTTGTGAAGAAATACGGTATGGTAACCTCTTTTCGATCTCACTAATCACCTATCAACTCCCCATAGGCCCAGGCTTGAAATACTGTGCTGTTGGTACGTCTATCCATTATTGTCTTGGCGTTATTCCATACCTACCTGCTTCTAGGCTTTTGCTTTGGCGGGCCGCATGTACTCAATCTTGCCAAGAACGGTGGCTTAATTGTGTGTGGTACGTATATCCTAGCCTCGTACCATATGTGTGCGTAATATCATATAGGCGCAATCGCTCACCCTGCCACTCCCTCCGAGGATCTGACGGAGATCGACGAATGCACAGGTACATTACTTCTCTTTTGTCCTAGATCTACATATTGACAAGTTTGATCGACTAGTCCCGATATTATTTCCTGCGCTGAAACCGACCAAACGTTCCCCAAAGAGACACGTCGGAAGGTTGAAGACAAGCTTGTCGAGCAACAGAAGACGTACCACTTCCAGATTTTCAGCGGTGTGAAACATGGATTTGCGGTTAGATGTGATCTGAACGTGGAGAACGAGCGTGAGTAGTTCTTCTCTCGATTTTTTCTACCCTTTTCGCGCTGGTTCTTGTTTTAACGCACAACTTCCTGCTTTCTCTTTTACTCTTGCCTATGGTCTGCTTATTAACATAATCCTCCAGGATGGGCAAAGGAAGAGTGTCAGCGCTGCATGGTCGCATGGTTCAAGCGTTTCACAGCCTAAATAGACAGCTCATCATAGGACAGACTTTGTCGCGGAGTCTGCAAACCTATCGAAGACTGGCCATTTTTTGCGTGTTCTAGCTATGTGGTGTAGTATTAATGACGTACAAATCTACCAGACTATGTCATTATGGCCCTCTCTGCTGTAACAACGGAGCCTTGCACTGCCAAAAGAAGTGTCTTGCCCTCAAGTCATTGACAGGCTTAGAAAAGTATTCCGCGCAAGAAGATATTGTCACTCGTCTCGTCACCTCAAGAACAGGTTGAACTTGACGGAAGCTTAGATCGTTCGGCGTCTGTGTAAGATTCACATCGTGGTTGTACTCAACGTAACTCAAATATGTCGGCATCAGAACAATTTGCTCACCGTTCCACATCGATCTCAAGATATTGATGTTCATGCGAGATTAACGGATCCCGGGAGGACGAACGTGGCATGCTACGGTGCGGCATGACGTTACTTGTCATAAGTAATTTGTTCTTCGACATCGCTTCACTCCAGTTCTTCAAGCTCCTT